AACTCAGCGAGTGCGCCGGGCAGCGCATTTTTAGACGAGGACGGAGCCCTCGGGCTGGTCTTTTGCACAGGGAGCTACGCAAGGATGCCGAGCGCGGGGCAGAGCCCTCGGCCCCCACGGTCTTCAGGGAGACGCGAGGGAGGCCGCGGTGGCGTTTGCTGGACAGTGAGTCCAGCGGCTGAAGTGGCAATGACGTGCCCCAGCCAGAGCCGAGGAGGCCCGGGGGCTGCGGCTGGAGTGAAACACACGCCTCGCCTCTGACCCGGCATGTCCACCCGGGCACGCTTCAGTTCCAGAGGACACGTGAGCACACGCCTGCACGCACACATGTGCTCACAGCGGCTTTTACTTACAACAACCCACAGATGGAAGCCACCAGACGCTCACCAGGAGGAGGCTGAGGACAAGGGGTGGTCCGTCCACGCAGCGGACGGCACTCGGCAACGAGACGGGAGGGACCGCCGGACAGGCAGCGGCTCGGCGGCAGACACGATGAGACACGATGTTGGGGGAACGAAGCCGGGCACAAGGGACCGCCCCACGCGGCGCCGTGCGGGGGACCTGCGAGGGCAGACCAGCCGAATCTCGGGGAGAACGGCCGTGAGGGCGGGTCCTGGGGGAGGGGCGGGGGTGGTTTCAGGACGTTGCGGGGTGGGGGAGTGAGGGTGTTCGGTGAGCGTCGGCTGCGAGTTACACGGGGCATCCGTGGGTCCTGTGGGGGCGGCTGAGGCCACGTGCCCATCTGTAGGAACCTGAGCAGTCCGTGCCCGGTGCACGTAGGTGGGCGCCCGGGAGAGGGAAGTGGACAAGGGACTCGACCCCTCGGACACCTGGTCCAGCACCCAGTGGTCCATGGGGGCCTTCAAGCACCTTCCAAGTCCTGCCTGTCCCGGAGGCTCCCCGGAGGGAGGTGGGGCCGGTGCCAGCCTCGCCCCGCGGTCCGTAGACCCCTCCGTGCCCGCTCAGAGCGCGGCCCCCTCAGGTGCTCGGGCATGAACGTGGGGTGGCTGGTGCCCCCGAGGGAGATGTGGCAGGATGGGAACACGTCCCCCAGAAGACCCCTGAGGTCTAGGCAAGCCCCCGCGCCGGGCGCCCCGCCCGCCCGCGAGGACACGGGCTCAGGGAAGGAAACGCCGCCGCATGTTGCACACCGGCTCTGGGGGTCGGGGCGGCGCGGGGGTCTCTGCTGGGCAGGATTCTGAGCAGCGCGACGAGGGGCGCAGGGACCTGTTAGCTGTCCCCCCAGACGTGGGATGCGGGGGGCTCTCATGCGGGCAGTGGGTGTCCCCGCACCCAGTGTCCTCGAGGCCCCTTCCCGGCCGACGTTCCGTCCCTTTTATTAATTTCATTGTTTCTTAAAATGTTGAACTGCCGGCTGTGGCCGGTGGGGTTGGCTGGGGCGTCGCCCCACACCCGAAAGGCCGCGGCGTCTGTTCCCGGTCAGGGCGCGGCCCGGGTTGTGAGTGCGGTCTCTGGTCCAGGCACGCAGGCCCGGTCCGGGCGCCCACGGGAGGCAACCCGGCGACGTTGCTCTCCCTCCCTCCCCCTCTCTAGAAGCCGTGGCAAAGCGTCCTCCGGTGAGGATTAAAAAACACACGTGCCCCCCCACCTTCCTCCCGCTGCCCCGGCGCAGAGCCCCTGTCCCCGGCAGGACGAATGGCCTCATCTGCCTCGGATGGAGCCCCCAGGGTGCATCGGTGCCCCGTCTCTGCCCGGTGCCCCGTCTCTGCCCGGTGCCCCGTCTCTGCCGCAGTTCCCCGTCTCTGCCCGGATCCCCGTCTCTGCCGCGGTTCCCCGTCTCTGCCCGGTGCCCCTTCTCTGCCCGGATCCCCCATCTCTGCCCGGTGCCCCGTCTCTGCCCGGCGCCCCGTCTCTGCCCGGTGCCCCTTCTCTGCCCGGATCCCCCGTCTCTGCCCGGTGCCCCGTCTCTGCCCGGTGCCCCGTCTCTGCCCGGTGCCCCGTCTCTGCCCGGATCCCCGTCTCTGCTGTGGTTCCCCGTCTCTGCCCGGTGCCCCGTCTCTGCCGTGGTTCCCCGTCTCTGCCCGGTGCCCCGTCTCTGCCCGGTGCCCCGTCTCTGCCCGGCGCCCCGTCTCTGCCCGGCTCCCCGTCTCTGCCGCGGTTCCCCGTCTCTGCCCGGTCCCCCGTCTCTGCCGCGGTTCCCCGTCTCTGCCCGGATCCCCGTCTCTGCCCGGTCCCCCGTCTCTGCCGCGGTTCCCCGTCTCTGCCCGGTCCCCCGTCTCTGCCCGGTCCCCCGTCTCTGCCCGGCTCCCCTGTCTCTGCCCGGATCCCCGTCTCTGCCGTGGTGCCCCGTCTCTGCCCGGTCCCCGTCTCTGCCGTGGTTCCCCGTCTCTGCCGCGGTTCCCCGTCTCTGCCGCGGTGCCCCGTCTCTGCCGCGGTGCCCCGTCTCTGCCCGGCTCCCCGTCTCTGCCGCGGTTCCCCGTCTCTGCCCGGTGCCCCGTCTCTGCCGCGGTTCCCCGTCTCTGCCCGGTGCCCCGTCTCTGCCGCGGTTCCCCGTCTCTGCCCGGATCCCCGTCTCTGCCGCGGTTCCCCGTCTCTGCCCGGTGCCCCGTCTCTGCCGCGGTTCCCCGTCTCTGCCGCGGTGCCCCGTCTCTGCCCGGTCCCCCGTCTCTGCCGCGGTTCCCCGTCTCTGCCGCGGTGCCCCGTCTCTGCCCGGTCCCCCGTCTCTGCCGCGGTTCCCCGTCTCTGCCCGGCGCCCCGTCTCTGCCCGGCGCCCCGTCTCTGCCCGGTTCCCCGTCTCTGCCCGGTGCCCCGTCTCTGCCCGGTGCCCCGTCTCTGCCGCGGTTCCCCGTCTCTGCCGCGGTGCCCCGTCTCTGCCCGGCTCCCCTGTCTCTGCCGCGGTGCCCCGTCTCTGCCCGGCTCCCCGTCTCTGCCGCGGTGCCCCGTCTCTGCCCGGATCCCCGTCTCTGCCGCAGTTCCCCGTCTCTGCTGCGGTGCCCCGTCTCTGCCGCGGTGCCCCGTCTCTGCCCGGTTCCCCGTCTCTGCCACGGTGCCCCGTCTCTGCCGCGGTGCCCCGTCTCTGCCCGGATCCCCGTCTCTGCCCGGTGCCCCGTCTCTGCCCGGATCCCCGTCTCTGCCCGGTTCCCCGTCTCTGCCGCGGTTCCCCGTCTCTGCCGCGGTGCCCCGTCTCTGCCCGGTGCCCCGTCTCTGCCGCGGTTCTCAACACGGGCTTTGTCACCAGGCTCGCTCCTCCTCTCACCCCGCGGCAGCGCCAAGGAAACCAGGACAGAAACCCGGGGCCGGGGGCGGGCGCGGGATCTGATTCTTTGGGGGCGGCATCTGCAGAGACGGGGAGGTGATTTGTGCCCCGCCAGGGGCGGGGCTGGGGAGGGACACACCCCTGAGATGGTGACAGACGCCCTCCCGGCCCCGGTTCCGGGCGGAGCCCTGGTGGCCACTGGGTGCCACGGCGCATCCGCCGTGAGTTCCCGGGCTGCCCGCACCCTGATGGCGGGAGAGGAGGAGGGAGGGTGGGCCGGGTCCCCAGGGCCACGCCGTCCCCTCCTGCACAGGAGGAGCCCGTGCGTGTTCCTGGGGACCAGGCCACGGAGCTCTGCACGTCCTGCGTGGGAGGCTGGCACCCAGGCACGTTTCTCAGGCGCCTCAGGCACTGCCCCCGCCGGGCCTGGCCCTCCCTCACACCTGGGGCGGCGCAGACAAGTGTCCGAACGCGGCTTCCTCTCCTTCCCCGGCTCCCCGCCCCCAGCGCCGCCCCCCGCCCCCCGCTGCACCGCCTGCCTTCCCACTCTCAGCTGCGCTGAGCGGCCCCCAGCAGCCCCGCCCCGGCCCGTGAAATGGCAGCTGCCATTCAGAAGCTGGGTTTGGGGGTCTGGGGACCCATTCGTAAGAGCTGCGGGATATCATTTCTGCTCTCCTCCCCCCCGCCCCCGTGAATTGTGGCTGCCCTGTGAGGTGCGGGGGGGCTCCCCACGTTTCAGTTCCTTCTAGAAGGAACCTTGCGGGCCCTGCCTGAAGCCCGGCTGTGAGGCGGGCCCTTCCCCCGCGGGTGGGCCGGGCCTGCAGGGGGAGCCGGCCTCTGGGTTCAGCCAGCCCTGGGCCGGGGCGGTCCCTGGAACCCCAGGTGACCCCCGGCGGGCTTGTCCCGGCCACGGGCGCTGCCGGGGTCGGACTGGCCCGTCGCGGATTTGGCGGACCCCTGCCGAGCACCGGCTTGGCGTCAGGCAGCGCGAACAGGCGGGAACGAGCAGCCGGGTTTGTGCGGGGAGGAGGCAGCCTCTCCCACGGTCAGTCATCAGTCGCAGGCCGTCGGAGCTGCAGCGTCGGGCGCGCTTCGCAGGGAGCGCCAGGGGGAGCCCCGGAGTGCAGGCCGCGCGGGGTCCGGGAAGGCCCCTTGGAGGAGGCGCCCGGCCGGCCTGCGCCTTCCAGGGCAGAGGTTGGCGGCTCGTGGGAGCAGAGTCGGGGCCGGACCACGGGCTGCAGCACAGGTCTGCTGAGTGCCAGGTTAAGCGCTCATTTCCTTGATGCGTATGGGGAGGTGCATCACAGACTCGGGTCCCCTCCGCCCTGCTCCCTCAGCATGTGACCTCTGCACCTTGACCTTCACCCCTGGGGGGCCCCCGGGCTGAGCACAGGGGCCCCAGGCCGCAGGCAGGGGCCAGGCCAAGGGTGTTTGGCCCGGGGGCAGCGCTCCGCGGACCAGCCCTGCGGAGGTTCCCGCGGAGGGTGCCCCCGCCACCCCGGCCGGTGCCCCCCGCGCTCACTGAGGGGCTGGGCATGTGGGGGCTTTGTCCCGGGAGGTCCTCGCACACTCCGCCGGATATAAACCTGCAGACTCCGGGAGGCAGGCGCCGGTCTCCCCCACGTTCAAAAGCTGGGTTTGGGGGTCCGTGCTCCCCCACCGTTTCCCAGACCGGAGGCTGGGCTGGGGGAGGGGCGCTCGCGGCGGCTGGCCGCCTGTGCCCTCGCCCCGCGGGCCCCCTTCCTTCTGACAGCGATGGCTCCCCCCCCCCCGCCCCGTGCAGCGAGCATGACCTGGGGGAGGACATCTACGACTGCGTCCCGTGCGAGGATGAAGGTGACGACATCTACGAGGACATCATCAAGGTGGAGGTGCAGCCGCCCATGGTGAGCCGCCCGCGCCCGCCGGCACGGGCGCGGGGACCCGGCAGAGCCCGCCCAGCGCGGGGGCGCCGTGGGGGGCCGCTCCCCAGGCCCTGTGTCCCTGTGAGGTCCCGAAAGGAGCCCGGGGCAGGGGTGGGCGTGACACGGTTGCCACTGTGGGATTTGCCCCGAAGGGTGTGCGGGGCTGCGAGCCCCTGGGCGGGGAGCCGGAGCGCAGCCCGGCACGCACGCGTCGGCCCCTGTTTCTGGGGGGCGCGAGGACCCCGCGGCCGCCTGCGCCGGCCGGCGGGGAGCCTCCTTTCCGGGGCGGGGGCCTTTACTCCTGAGCGGGGGTCCCTAATGGGCTCTCGAGGCCAGCTGGCCCCAGGGCAGGTGCTTGCCTGAGCTGCTGCAGGGGAGGTGTGGGTCCTGCGGGCCGGGGCGCGAGGAGGGCGCCCGGCGGGGTGGGCCACAGCCCCTCGGGCCCCCGGACTCTAGGAGGTCGTCGAGGTGCCGCTTGCCCACTCGGCAGGCTTTTGATGCCATTTGTTTCCCTGAAGAAATGAGGCAATTTCTCACAAAAGGGATTTCAGCTCCATCCTTCCTCGGGCGCCACCAGCAGGGGGCAGCGGACAGAAAGCCGCAGCGGCTCCCGGCGAGGCCGCGCCGAGCTGGCAAGGGCCAGAGGCGTGGGCCCGCTGGGCAGCAGCCCCCGCAGCCCGCGGCTTGGCTCCTGGGAACGGGTTTCTCCTTTGGCCCCGAGGGTCTGAGGGTGGGTTTCCTATCCCCCTGCCACCGGAGCCCTCCGTCTGTGGGTCTTTGACTGCGGGGCTGCCTCCAGCGAGTCTGCCCTCCCCGGGCAGCCGGGCAGGGGGGCGGCTCTGTCCCTGGGCCTTCCAAGGACGCCTGTGAGAGGCGGGGAGGCCGAGTCCTTGCCCGGCGGCAGGTGGCCCCTGCCTCGCCTCCCCGGGCCACCCCGGGCGCCTGGCCAGCTGCCCAGACTGGGCGCCTCAGTCCCCAAGCCCTTCTGAGGCTGGCGTGACGCACAGGCGTGTGCGCAGCGGTCTGCCTTACCCGGAGGGTCCCTGGACCCCAGGTCGCACAAGCTCCCGAGAGATGCCCGCACGTGCCCAGCCGGCAGAGACCCTGCAGTGAGCGCCCCGAGAGGGCTCTGCTGCCCCTGGTCCCGAAGCGCACAGGCAGGACGCGGGCGCCCACCTGCCCTGCTCAGCTCCTAAGCTGTCATGCCACGGAGGGTGGGGAGGGGTGGGCCCCCGGGCACGTCCCCCGAGACACAGCAGCAGTTCCACTCTGTCGCTCGTCCTGCCTGGGGCTCAGGTCTGAGCGGAAGGTGAGGGGTCGGTGGCTTTGGCAAAGGAAGATAAAGCCAGAGGGTGGCAGGGGTCGCTCTCAGAGCCCAGACACGGGAAGCCGGGCGACGGCGTGGTCTGGGTGCTGCCCCCGCGCCCAGCCAGGCCCCCGGGCGTCCCTGAGGCTGCGGGCTGAACGCGCTCAGCCTCCCTGAGGCTCACGCACAGCGGGGATGGCGCGCCGGTGCCACTCACCGGGTCCCTCTGCCGTTTGTTTTCCACGCTCTCAGATTAGGTACATGCAGGTAAGCACTGCCGGTCGTCCGCCTCTCTGGGCGGCCGCGGGCCCCGGCCCCAGGGGGCGCTGTTGAGCCCACTTTTTCACACAGTTTCCGGGATGTCACGGGCCCTCGGCCTCCCCAGCCCTTGAAGCCCTGGGAGCGACGGCCCCCAGGCTGAGCAGGGCTGTCTCCGGGGAGGGAACCCAGGGGGCTCCGGCGACCCTGGCCCCGGGGCGTGGGCCCGGATAGGCAGGGCCCTGGGCCCGCCTCGGGGGAGGATGGCGTCGGGGCCTGTGAGCCCAAATGTCAGGCCACGGGGCCCAGCTCCGTCTCCCCAGAGCCTTGCTTACGGGCGGATACAGAGGGGACTGCCCCTGCTCGGTCACGTCCCCCTCAGCCCCTGTGGGCGTGGTCTCTGGATCAGCCCTGCCCCCCAGAGGCCAGGGTCAGGCCCTGCCATGGAGGCGTGTCCCCCAGTGACCCCTGGTTGGAGACCAGGAAACACCCGGAAGCCCAGCCCTGTGAGGAGCTGGCGTTTTTCTCTGAGGCCCTCACTGGCCGGCAGGGGGCCTTCAGGGGGACTCCGAGCCTCTCCCTGTGCACACAGTAGGTGCTTTAAGCACGTCACGCCGGCTGTGCTCCCGGCCGGCAGCCTCCCTTCCTCCCCTGGCTCTGCCGCCCGCTCACGGGGTCAGCCCCGTCCCCTCACGCTCAGTCGCCTCACCTGTGGACGGAGGGAAGGCCTCGGCCCCGCCACTGTCTCCCGTCCAGCCCCCCGTCTCGTGCGCGGCCACGCCGCGGCCAGGCCCGGCGGTCCGCTGGCGGCGTCCCGGCTCACGGCGCGTGTCGCCCTCCAGAAAATGGGCATGACCGAGGATGACAAGAGGAACTGCTGCCTGCTGGAGATCCAGGAGACGGAGGCCAAGTACTGCCGGACCCTGGAGGACATCGAGAAGGTGGGCAGGGGCGGGGCCCTTTCCTGGGGCTGCCGGCACCGGGAGGGCACCCGGGGCGGCGGTGTGGGGCGGCGGCGGCCCTCGGCGGTCCTCTCGGCTTTGCTGCCAGGCACCCTGCTCACCACCAGCACTGAGCAGGGTGGGAAAAACCAGCGTTGCCTTGAAGATGGAACCTTCCTGGCCGCTCTTTGGTTGCGGGTCCCGCACGGTCGAGGGTGCTGTGCGGCCTCCAGCCTGCAGCCCCGGGCTGCCCCCCGGACCCAGGTCTGGCTCGGGCTCTGATTGATGTCGCCTCCCCCCTGCGCCCTTCCAGGCACCCAGCCCCGCGGGGCCCCCTTCTGCCCGCTGACCCCTGTGCCCAGGCACTGCCCTCGCTGCGCGCCCTGGCCCTCGACTTCCGCCGCCGCTCCCCGGGCAGCCCCAGCCCTCGCTTCCCCCGCGCGGCCCCGGTTTGTGCGGGACACTGGCGGACGGCGTGCTCCGCCTCCTCCCCGAGAACGCGGCCTCCGTGGGCTGGTGCCACCGGCGCGTGGCATGGCCGAGGGACACGGGGCCTCAGCCAGGGCCCCGCGGGGCAGAAGCGGCCGGGAGAGGAAGGGTGGCAGGCCCTTCTCTGCAGGGGCGTCCGGGCAGGAGCGACATCGAAGGCCGGGCTGCGGCGCTGCCTGCCGCCTGGCACCCCTGGGCTTGGGGAGCTCGGTCCCCGGAGCCCGAGTGCTGGGCGGGAGCCTGTCACCGTCCTCGGGGGCAGGTGGCCTGGTGCCGCGCCCCCTGGGCCGCTGTGGCCACCAGAGTCTCAGACAACGCGGCGACGTTCCCCTTGGTCACTGCAGGGTCAGGGCCCGCGCCAGGCTGAGGGCCCTTGGGGCTCTGCCCACGGGGCCCGCGCGCGTGTTTGGCCGGTGCTCTGGCCCGATGGGCCCGGCCTCCCCGCAGGCTCTCCTGTGAGCGGCCCCGGCCGGGGGCGGGCCCGGCCGGGCTGAGACGCGGCTTCGGGTTCTCTCTTCCAGAACTACCTGGTCCCCCTGAGGCTGGTGCTGAGCCCGGCGGACGTGGCGGCCATCTTTATCAACCTGGAGGTGAGCATCGGGCCCCGGGGTCCCGGCGCTGAGTCGCTGCCCGGGCGCGGCTGGTCCTGGCTCGGGGGTCTCGATGGCTGGCAGGTGACAGGAGGCCGCCGGCTCCTCCCTCCGGGACTTTGGTCGGAGGGGCCGGGAGGACGCCGGGCCAGGGAGCTGGGAGCCCCGGGTGCCGTGCGCCGGTCGCCCGTCTGCCCCGAAACGTGGGACACGGCCCCCCCCAGGCCCGAGGCCCCAACCCTGCAACGGGGGAGCTGCATCCTGCAGAGCTGGGGGCCCCGGGCCACCGCGGCCCCATTCGGGCACCAGAGCCTGCCTGGGCCGGCCGCACGTGTCTGGACAGACCGCGCGGGGGACTGCAGTGTGCGCAGGCCTCCCGGTGTGCCCGCCGCCGAGCGCCTCCCCGCTGCGCTGCGCCCTGCGTTCACATGGGAACACAGGCCACGAGGGCCGTGTGGCCCTTCCGTGCGCTGACGGGCGGCTTCGCCCCCAGGACCTCATCAAGGCCCATCACAGCTTCCTGCGGGCCATCGACCTGTCCATGATGGCCGGCGGCGGCACGCTGGCCAAGGTCTTCCTCGACTTCAAGGAGAGGTGGGTAGCCAGCCGCGCCCGCTGCGGGGGCCTCGGGACTCTGCCCTGGGATGGGGCGGCGCGGGTGGGGGACTTCACCTGGAGCGTCCCCGGCTGTGTGTGGCTCCTGGCCGGGCGGTATTTCGGGAGCGGCGCGGGGGGGGGGGGGGCGGGGGGCGGGGGAGGAAGCAGCCAACACAAAGCGAACCCGTCAAACGTGTCAGTGTGTGGGGAGGTGTCCCAAGGAGACGGCTGTTAGCGGAGCGCTCGCAGCCGCCGGGAGGCGGAAGGGCTCACGGCGCCCTCAGCCCGCGCATGTGTGCATGCGTCTGCGTGTGTGAGCGTGTCTACCTGTCTGCGTGTCCAGGCTCCTCATCTACGGCGAGTACTGCAGCCACATGGAACATGCCCAGAACACGCTGAACCAGCTGCTCGCCAGCCGGGAGGACTTCAGGCTGAAAGTGGAGGTGACAGTGGCTCCCCGGCCGTCCCTGCCCGCCCCCTGCCTGGCCCTGGCCCGTGCCTCCGGGCCACAGCTCGCTGGCCTCTTGCTCGCTCATTTGGTGGGAAGCGGGGAGGGGGCAGGGATAGGACTCTCTTGTGCAGGGTGTTAGCAGGCGCTTTTCTCCTTTGTTGGGGTGGGGAGTGGGCAGGTGGGAGTCACTGTCCCAGGCCAGAATGCAGCCAGAGCCCTTGGGTGCAGTTGGGATGGGCCCCCAGGACCAGACCGGGCACGGCGAGGGGCCAGGACTGACCCCTCACCACCCTGGCCTGCGTGGACCCCAAGGGGGCTCCAGGTGATGGATGTTGGCTGGGGGCCTGGAGCCCCCGCCGTCCGGTCCCCACCCCAGGCTCCGGGACAGCCCCGGGCCGGGTTTCCCACGTCAGCCCCTCTCTAGGACCCTCCGCCGCTCCCATCCTTGGGGTGAGCGCGGCCGCGCCCCAGGCTGGGGCTCCCGGGGTAAACCCTGTTTCCGGGGGGACCTGGCGCAGGGCCCTTTGCTCTGTCAGTGTTGGCGGAAAGGCGCCCCGTGTGTCTAGGCAGCTGGTGGGGAGCCTCTGATCTGGCGGGGTGTCCCCCTCCGTGTGAGCCGGCTTCCCCGGGGGTCTTGACGCGGGCCCAGCAGGGCGCCAGCTCCAGAATCCCGGAGCCCTCGCGTGGCCGCTGTGGCCCCCAGAGGCTGTGACAGGCGGGGCCCCGCACCTGGTTCGGGGGGGTTCGGGGAGCCAGGCCAGAGAAGGACCGGACGCCTGGGCCCCAGTTCCGGCCCTAGGTCTGCCCGGCCGGGCTGCGGGCGTGTCGGGGCCCGGCGTCCCCCGGCGAGAGCGTGCTTCCCGACGTGCCGCCCCCGACACCCAGGAATGCACGCTGAAGGTCCAGGACGGCAAGTTCAAGCTCCAGGACCTGCTGGTGGTGCCCATGCAGCGGGTGCTCAAGTACCACCTGCTCCTGAAGGTGAGCGCCCCGCCCCCCGCCCCTGTGGGTGGACGAGGCGGCCCCGGGCGGCCAGGACAGCGGGCACCCTGAGTCAGGCCGGGCTTAGCACGTAGAAGCTGGGCAGTGTCGGTTAGAATCTGCTCGGTGCGTGCGGGGGTGTTAATCGCATTAAACACAGAAGGGAGCCGTGGTTAAACTCAGCACGAGGGCAGAGAAAGTGACAGAGGCAGAGGAGCGTCCTCCCGCCAGGAGCGAGAGAGCTCTGTTCTCCTTCACCATCTCCGAGCTCCCCGGGAGCCACGGCAAAAAAGGAAATAGGAAATCCTTCTGGACAGACGCGCCTGGGAGGAGGCAGGGGTTTCCAGGAGGCTCTCGAGGGGCTCAACCAGCTCCCTGTTAGCGCCTTGCTTTGTGCCGCCTCATGGCCCCAATGTCCACGAGGTTCGGGGACACTTTGCCCTGCCGCAGCATGTCGCGGGGGTGAAGGCCCGCGGCCTGTCTGCCGGAGCCCGGCAGCCGACCCGGAGCCTAGGCCAGCGGGAGGGTCGCCGTCCCTGAAGGCCTTGCGCCGTGCACACCCCTGTGCCCGCGGGTGCGAGGAGAGGCCAGGACACCCGAGTGGTGACCCGTGGCTCCCATCACTGCTCCAGGAACTTCTGAGCCATTCCACCGACCGGCCGGAGAGGCAGCAGCTGAAGGAAGCGCTGGAAGCCATGCAGGTGGGTGGGCAAATGCAGGCAGGGAGCGGCCGGGCCGGCCTGGGCTTCAAGCACTGAGCTTGCGTTTTTGGACTGGAATTGGGCTCCCTAACAAGCCTCACTCTGTGACTGTATATGTAGATTTTTCATGGGACAGCAAGGAACAGAGTAAGGGACAGGGCGGCGGGGGACACCGCCCAGGGCCAGAAGGGCAGGAGGGAGGGGCTGCCGGCCTCCTCTCCTCCTGCTCCCCCGAGCGTCTGCCGGGGCCGGCGCTGGCCCCCAGGCGCTGGATGCAGTCCCGGGCTGCCCGCGGCCCCGCCTGCGGCCTCTGCCTCTGAAATGCCCGCCCCACCCCGCCAGCCCGCCTCTGCCCTCCTCTCTCTGTCCGCGGAAGCCGCTGTGCAGGCAGGAGGCGCGGCCCCAGTCACGCTCCCCCAAAGCCCCCCAGTGGCTCCTCTCTGTCCCTGGTGTTGGGCACAGGCTTGCGTGGCTCCGCAGCCGGGTTGGCCACGGCACCAGGTGAGCGTGGCCACTTCCAGGCCCCCAAACACACTCCACCCGCCCCCACCCTGGAGGGTTGGCTCAGGCTGGGCCCCTCCTTGTCACCTGGGCACATCCTTCACATGCACAGTCTTCACAAAGTGACGTTTCCCATGAGGATGGTCCCCTCTGGGCTCTGCCTCCCCGATGCCCGCCGTCCCCACAGATGGCCCCTCCGAGCAGCCTCGTGCCCATGGGGACTTCACGCCCAGTCGTGTGTGAGCCTGTGGCCCCGGCCTCCAAGGCCGAGTGGCGCGTCAGCGTGCCTGGCCATCCCCTAACCTGGGTTTTGGACTCCACCCTGCTAGTGGGCTTCTTGTAGGAACCGCAGGAGGCGCTGGAGAGGCTGGAGCCGGCCCCGCCTCGGCCTGGCCGAGCCTTCCCCACCCGAGGCGGCCTGCCCTCCCGCTGGGCAGGGCTGCTGCCGCCTGTGTGGTCCCGGGCTGGGGCTGGGTCCCCTGGCTGGCTGAGGCACTGGGTGCTGGGCCTGGCCACTGCGGCCTCTGGATTGCAGCGGCACTGCCCCCTGGTGGCCGGCTGGCGCCTGCAGCACAGGGGCATGCCAGCCGTGGGGCAGCGGAGGCTCTGGGGGCGGTGGCCTGCGGAGCGTCGCTCCCCACACAGAGCCAAGGGATCAGCTGATCCAAGTCTTGCTGGGAGCGGTTTTTCTGCTCTAACCCAGAAGGGGGATCAGGAGGCAGGCGTTGGGGGGGGTCTTGGCACAACGTCCGGAGTGTGCTTTTGGATTGGCGTTACCTTTTCTGCCTTAGTTTCTTCATTTGTCAGACGGGGTTTTGAGAGCCAGGCGCCTCTGGCGGGCAGCTGAAGGGGCTGTGAAAGTGCCCAGCCCCGGGCGGGCGTGGGGCGGGGGTGGGGCTGAGCCTGCAGGCCCCGCCCAGGACCTGCGCGCCGACCCCTCCCCCACTTGTCATTTCCAAGGACTTGGCGATGTACATAAATGAAGTTAAGCGGGACAAAGAGACCCTCAAGAAGATCAGCGAATTCCAGAGCTCCATAGAGAACTTGGTAAGTGTTCAGCCCCCCGGGGGAGGAGTAACAATGGCTTTTAAACGGGACTTCGGTCTCATCTTGAACAGGCAGCAGCGGGGGCTCGCTCGTCCAGCCGGGGCCGGTGAGCTGTGACACCCTGCACGGGCCAGCCCGGGGCCCGGCGCCCGGGGGGCTTGCCGCCGACGGGCGGTACCGGCCACCGCACCCTGCCCCCGGCCTGCACAGAGGGCGCCCCCGGGTCCGAGAGGCCCGTGGACCCCTGGCCCGCCTCAGGCCCTCCTGTCCCCCGCGGTCAGGCAGGGCTGCCGCCTCAGGGACCCTCCGAGGCTCATCCTTGGGTGCCGGGTGAGGAGGAGAGGAGCCGGGCCATCCAGGGGCAGGCACGTCCACGCGTGTGCCTGCCATCGACTCGGGGGTCTGCCGGGTGTGCACCCTGGAGTTTCTCCGCCTCTGCGGTCGCCCCATGGGGTCGGTCGCTCTTCACTGTGGGCTCCGTCCTGGGAGCTGCGGGACGGCAAGCGGCACCTGTGCCCACGGGGGGCCCAGTGATGACAACCAAATGCCTCTCCAGACATGACGAGATGCCCCCTGGGGACAGAACTGCCCCCGGCTGAGAACCGCTGGCTGGTACCGGACACTTTCTCTCTCTGGTCCCTGAACGTGGCCGGGTCCTGCGCAGTCCCTGTCAGAGTCACATCAGCACAGAAGCTTTTGCCAAGGAGGCTCCCGGTGTCTGGGCTGACGCCTGCTGCCCGTTTGTCCATCCCTCACCCGCCAGGACCAGAGAGCCCGAAGAGGCCGGGCCTGCGCGCCGTGGCCTGGAGAGCGCCCGCTGTGGGTCACCGGGAAGGAAGGGCGTTCCCGGACAGTTAGGATACAGCCCCAGTTTCCTTCCTGTTTAGAATAAATCGGGAGCCCAAGCGCAGAGGTTAGGGATGGACGTCTGTGGTCCGGTTCACGGAGCTGGCGGCGCCTGGTGGGGCTGAGGCGGCCAGACTTCCCCTCGTCGGTCAGTGATGGTTCCTAGATGCTCCGTGATGGATGGGCATCACTCTGATACAGGAAGAGAGACGATTTTGTTTGTTGTTTAAGAAGTTTTTTTATGTATGTGTAAAACAATAACAAAACTACGGCTGCGACAGCAAACTGGCATGGAGCGTTCCCTTCGGCCAGGCGCCCACGCAGGCTGCGTGGGGGCCTGAACCCGTCACCCAGGCAGGGGCGGCGGCTTGTTTCCGCCCTTCAGTGCCGAGACGCGGAGAGATGCCGAGGCCTGGCTGGAGTCGCGCGGGGTGCGCGCCCCGAAGCTGCTGCGCTTGGAGTCTTGTTCTGGCAGCTCCTGGAATGTTCAGAGAACTCAGAAGATGGTGGGAACCACCTGTTGGAGTGCCACACGGACGCGTCCCCGCCACCTGTCCCATCTGCGTGGACCGTGCGGGAACATGGCGGGAGACCCTCTCTGAACCGAAGCCGAGGGCCGAGATAGCCAACCAGCCGGGAAACGAACACGAGATCTCAGCGCGCCCGGGAGGGTCTGCCGGGAAGCCCCTTCCCGCGGAGGCGCGGCCGCTAGCAGGCCCCGAGCTCACCCGCCGCCCGCCGGCCCTCTCTGATTAGGCCCTTTGTTCCCTTGGACTTGGTTTTCGGCCGTGAGTCTGGCTTATCCTGCCGCGCCTGTTGAGGTCGCCCTCCGCGAATCGCTCTTTGTTTCCACAGGACCGAAGGCAGTCCTTGCCGGGGCGCCGGGGCGGCGGGGCGGCGGGGCGGCGGGGCATGAGCCCCCAGGCGGTGCCCCTGTCCTCTGCTGCCCCCTGTTCGGAGCACCAGCCGGGGCCCACCGCGTCCATTTCCTGGGTCTGCCTCTGGGCTCCGGGGACCCTGCCCCTTGGCTGGGGCACAGCTGCCCCTCCTCCCGAGGAGCAGCTGCACGGGAGGGCCCTGCTCTGGCCTGGGGCCAACGGCCTCCCCTGTCTTTCCCAGCAAGTGAAACTGGAGGAGTTCGGGAGGCCAAAGATCGACGGGGAGCTGAAGGTCCGGTCCATAGTCAACCACACCAAGCAGGACAGGTGAGCGGAGCGGGGCCGCAGGCGGGTGGCGCCCAGCGTGGCCGGGCACCCGCTGGACACAGCTTTTCCGGTGCGGAGAGCTGCCTGCCCGTTCGGCTTTGTGTGGCTCCATTTTAATTGCTTCCTTCCTTCTCGGCGAGAGCGTTGGGGAGCCGTGTCCGCCAGCGGCCGCCACGCCCGTGGGGCGCTCTGCCCGCGGCCGGCGCTGGGCTGGGCTGGGGGGCAGCCAGCGGCCCTGGCCGGGGAGCTCTCAGGCTCCCGGGAGCTGGACAGACGGCGGCCACATGAGCTCTTTGCCAAGTGACCAAGGGGCTGCCCAGGCGGGTAACAGGCTCGGCTCCGGCGGAGCTGGCAGGCCCGCAGCTGCTCAGCCCTGCGTGTGCACCTACTGTGTGCAAGGCCCGGGGCCGTGGCGGGAGTCGCAGCACACAGGGGTTCGGCCCCCACGGGGCTCCCGGTCTAGTTAGCTGGAGACGGAGCCAGGGGGCGGAGGAGCCCAGACGCCTGGGCCGTGGGGGGAGGCCAGGGAGGGCCCCCTGGAGGAACTGGAGCTGAGCACGGAGGCCTGGCTGAGGGTCAGCGTTGGCGGGAGACCCAGGCGGAGGGCACACGGTGCGCGGGCCGCGCTGATGGCCCCCTGGCCGCGCCGCCGGGCCAGGTACTTGTTCCTGTTCGACAAGGTGGTCATCGTCTGCAAGAGGAGGGGCTACAACTACGAGCTGAAGGAGATCATCGAGTTGCTATTCCACAAGATGACCGATGACCCCACGAACAACAAGGACGTCAAGAAGGTGGGTCCCCGGCTCCTGCGGGTGGCGATGGCGGTGTCTGGGCCGTGCTGGGCGGGGTAGGCGGGGAGGCCCCCTGCGGGAGGCGTCCTGGGTGGCCTTGGGGAGAGGGTGAGGCAGAGTGGAGTCAGCGGTGACTGACCGGCGGCTGCGGTGGGGACGGAGCCTCCTTGGTCAGCCATTCCCGTGTCACCGTGACTTCTGCTGAAGGCAGGTCCCCTCCTAGCCACCGGACACTGCCCTGGCCTTTGTCTGAATCTTTCCCGGGAGTGGGCATGGCTAGGAGCCCCGCCCAAGGTCTGGGGTGGGGCCTCAGGCCTTCGCTGCCGACTCCCCCGCATGGCCCCCGCCCCAAGCAGGCCATCCTGGCCCTCGCAATCCCTTTGAAGGAGGGCTCTGGGTGGTCCACACTGTGGCCGTCAGACCAGGGTCCAGCCAGTGGGCTATGGCAGCTGGAGGTGAGGCTACGGTTGCTAGGAGCAGGACCCTGATGTCCAGGGGCGGAGCCATGGCTGTTGGGGGTGGGGCCATGGCCATGGGGGCGGGGTTGTGCTGCTGGGGGCGGTGCTGCCGGCTCTCCTGTGTGCATCGGCTTCTGCAGAGGCTTTGCCCCCAGAGCCTGAGCACTCGCCATGGGCAGCCCTGAGCTAGATGTGGGGCTGGAGCTGGCCTGTTAAACGCCCCAGCGCCCGGACTTCAGAGCTGCCAGTGCAGAACGCGGGCGCCCCCTGGAGGAATTTTAGGGCTGACCCACCGAGCCCTGATGTCCGCACAAGTTACGGTGTCTCCGGTGGGGGCGCTGAGGCCGCTCCGCAGGCTCCGGGCCCCTGGCGCCTTGCACCCCGGGAGGGGCCCTCGCGGGTGGCCCCAGCCCAGGCCCTTGGCGGCAGTCAGTGTCTCGGGCCGCAGGGCCGGGCGAGTCTCGTAACGACCTGTCTCCCCTTTCCTTCCCTCCCTTCATGCTTCCTAGTCTCATGGGAAAATGGTAAGCACCTGGCACCCTCCTCGCCTTGCACCGGCCCGAGCCGGGAATGGGGACCCGGCTGGGCCCCAGGAGGGCGGGCTCAGGGCCGCCACCTTCCTTCCCTAGTGTTTTAATCACTAGGGTGACTTGTGTGCAGGAGAAGAGGTTGGCCCGTTACAGAGGGCGCCGAGTGGGGGTCCCACGCCCTCCCCGCCCACCCCACCCTCGCCTGCTCCCTAGAGGGCGGGGCCCGCAGCTGCCCCGGGTGTGGTGTCTCAGCCCCTCTGTCATCCTCGCCTTTCTCTGTCCCCCCTCCCTCCCTTCCTCTCTGGGTCCCTCCCTCCCTTCTCTCTTCCTGGGCCCCTTTGAAAGCCCCAGAGAGGGCCAGGTGGGGGTGGACGCGGGGCTGTGTAGGGCTTCGTCTGGGCTCCTGCCTTTCTTTCCGTTCATTTGCCTCTGAGGAGTTTCTTTAGCATCACATTCAGGAAGTGAAAGTGGGTGGGCCGGTGTCACGGATGGCCAGGGCCAGTTCCTGAGCTCGGGCTCCCTGGGGACCCGGCGCTGCCACTGGGGGCGTCCAGCGGCCCTGGCAGAGCTCCGCGGGGAGCGCCCTGTGCTGGGGGTCGGGGAGGGGCCCCGGGGAACCTTGCTGCAGGGCTGTGCACAGGCCTTAACACATGCATGTACAGACCAGACGTGAGGACACCACACACAGGCACGGGCAATGCGCGCACGTACTCACATGTGCACACGCAGGCACGGGCACGTGTCCATGAGTATCTGTACACACACACACACACACACACACACATGTTCGTGCTGTGTGCCAGAAGCCCTGCCAGTGACAGGTGGCTGCGCCTCTCCCCGCAGTGGTCCTACGGCTTCTACCTGATCCACCTGCAAGGCAAGCAGGGCTTCCAGTTCTTCTGCAAGACGGAGGACATGAAGCGCAAGTGGATGGAGCAGTTTGAGATGGCCATGTGAGTCCGGCGGGCGGTGCGGCCAGCCGGCCACCTGGGGGCTCCGTCCGCGACCCTCTTGGACGCGGGCCCGGGCAGGTGCCTGAGACAGGCAGGCCCCGCCGCCCCCACCCCACTCTGGGGGCGTCCTGGCCACTTTACAGTCTGCCGGGGCAGGAGGGCCCTCGCTCCGTCCCAGCCTGTCCCTGCTGGGCTCTGCTGGCCGCTGCCTCGGGCTGGGCCTTGTGCGCCCGTCCGGCCGAGCCGCAAGTGGCCGGGGACGGCCGTGATGCCAGCTGGGCCCCTGGCGACCGGGCCCCTCAGGGCCTCGCAGGCTGGCGGAGTGCCCCCTCTGCGGGGAAACCGTGAGCTGTGTCTCCGTGGAATCTAGGAGGAGCCCCAGTATGTCCCACAGAGAAAGGTGCTCAGTGGGTCATTGGGGTGCCCAGGCTCACCGGGCCTGAGCCCGAGGGGCAGGTCCTGGTGCCCTCAGACTCAGCGGTCAGGCATGCAGGCTGCTCGCGTCCCGGCCGTGTCCCCTGGTGGAGTGGCGGTGGAAGGAGGGGTCATCGGGGACACGTCAGAGCAGTGCAGCCGGGCCACAGGCCGTCCCCCGCCTGCTCCTCAGTTCCCGGGGTGGGGCTTGCTCCCCAGTGTCCTGGGAGGAGCACTTCTGGGCGCTTGTCCCCATTGAAAGGCGGCGTGGCGCACGCCCTCGCGCTCCACCTGCTGGCTTCGCCGCTGTCCCCTGCCCCGGCCTCCGCGCCGTCGGACAGCGGACGTGTCTCTAGGTGGAGGGCAGGCCCAGCGCCCGACCTCTAAGCACTTCAGGGCGCCTGCTGCCCGCTCGAGGCCACTGTCCGCCCGGAGCCGCGCGTGTCTGACCCGGGGCAGCGGCGTCCCGCGGGCCTGTCAGGGTGTGGCCGCGGCCTTGGCCCCACCCGCGGTCTCCCGTGCCCGGGTGGCCGCACCGTAACGCGCCCCCCGCCCCACTGACCCCTTCTGGCCGCAGTGCCGGGCAGCCCATTCTCCGAGTCCCCGCCCAGCCCGGCTGGTTTGGGGCTCAGGGCACCTGGCGCCCCTTTCCCTCCCTCCCGCAGGTCAAACATCAAGCCCGACAAAGCCAACGCCAACCACCACAGCTTCCAGATGTACACGTTTGACAAGACCACCAACTGCAAAGCCTGCAGAATGTTCCTCAGGTGAGGGGCTCCGCGCCCCGTCCCCGTCCCCGCCCCCACCCCCGAGGGAGCCTGGGGCTGGGTGCACCCGGTGTCCCTGTCGCCGCTGACCGCCTCCCTCCCCTAGCCCTGGGCTGGGCCCATCGGCTGCGTCATGTCTAGCCGGGGCGGGAGGCAACTCCCCACGGCTGCTCAGGGCCCCCTGTGTGGGACAGCAGAGCAAGCGGGGGGGTGTCCTTAGGGGGAGCGGCCCCGGGCAGCACATGGGCAGGGGTCCCGGAGGCCCAGGGCTGTCGGGGGTGGGCGCTCTGGGGGGACGGCGAGGTGGGCCTCGGGCTCCCTGGGCCCTGCCTGCGGCTGCAGGGTGTGGAGGCCCGGGCACCTCACCTCCACCTTCTCCCCGCTTCCGGCCCAGGGGCACCTTCTACCAGGGGTACCTGTGCACCAAGTGCGGCGTCGGGGCGCACAAGGAGTGTCTGGAAGTGACGCCTCCCTGCAAGATCAGTGAGTGCCGCCCGCCTCCCGCCTGCCTGCGGGGCCCACGCCTCCGGGGCTGGTGCCTGGGGTCGCAGGTCACATCCCAGCCGCCCCCGGCCCCCCGCACGGCCCCGGCCGAGGGCGCGTGTTCTCTCCTGCCGTGGTGACCCCTGGGACGGAGATGAGGAAACTGAGGCTCAGAGACGGTGAACGTCTGCCCTGGTCACACAGCGCCCAGCCCCCACTCTGGACTGTGATCTGAGGGCCCTTCTCCGCCCCTGCTCCCTCCCTGCCCCACGCCAGCTGTAAATGTCTAGAGTCCACCCCAGCTGGACACAGAACGTTCTCGGCCGTTGCGTGGAGGTTTCTGACCACAGAGAAACCCCCCAGCCCAGCTCTCCTGTCCGGAGCACCGAGCCCCCCGTAGCTACGGCCTCGGTGGCCCACGCACACACGTGTGCGCGGGGACAGTGTCCCTTCCTCCTCCCCCTCCTCGTGAGGGTGTGTTAGCCAGAAGCCCGAGGCTCAGGCGGGGAAAGGGCTTGAGGCCGCCTGGCGGCCCCCCGAGGCGTATTGGTTCACGGCGTGGGAAGGGCGGTGCCTGTCCTGGAGCAGCCGGTGGGCGGCGGAAGCCTGAGGCGGTGCCACAAGGTGGCGGAGCCCCCACGGCCGGGCCCGGCTGAGCGCTAGGTCCCACGGGGAGCGGCCCCAGGGCCTCGTTCTGAAGCGGAAGCGGCAGGGAGGGGGCACCGGCCGAGAGGCAGCCTGGCCCCCGCCCCCGGGCGTCCCTGTCAGAGGTGTCACTGCGCTGAGGGGGTGGCCCCAGGCCTGCCCATCGCCCGAGGCACCTCCACCAAGAACAGGAGATTTTCTCAATTTCCCGTTTGTCGTCGGCACTGGCCCAGGCCCCTGTCCTCACTGCAGGCCGTGCGCCCCCTCGCTGCGCCCTGGCCAGACGTGCGGCCCCTGCCGGCCCCTCGGCTGCCCGCTGGCCCGCTGGCTCAACTTTGCTGGCCAATACTGCCCTCTGGTGGCCGCGTGGCCAGCGCACTGCAACTCCGGCCTTGTCTTTGGCACTTTGTCGTTGTTCTGATTCTACAAGTAATGTACTTGTCGAAAATTTGGAGGCTAGAACAAAAGAAGAAATGAAACAAAAAAAAGAAAATATCGCCTGTGAACTTACCAAGAAACGGCCAGGGGCGGCGTTTGGGGATGGGCTCTGGGCAAGCCGGCAGGGCAGCGGGCCAGCGCCCCGCAGGACACGGGAACTGGCAGAGCCTCCCGTCGTGGCGGCGGCACCTCGGGCAGCGGGCAGGCCTGGTGTGTTTCTCTGTCTGCCTGGAGTGAGGCAGCCCCGCGGCCGCCGCGCATGCGACACGCAGGAGGTGGCGGACCCTCAGCAGGCGCCCCGCCCCTGCGTCCACCAGCCCCTGCCTGCCGTGGCGGCTCCGTGGGCCCTGCCAAGTGGAAGGTCGGCGGTTCAATTCGCAGTCGGGGCACAGGCCTGGGTTGTGGGCTCGGCCCCCACTTCAGCCTTCCGCTGCCGGGCCCGCTGCTCCCAGTTGGGCACCCTTCCCCCCGCCCCCCAACCAACACGTTTCAGGGGAGTGAGATTCCTGTGTTTCCCCCTCGAATTATTAAACTCCACGTCCTGTAGACAATGTGGAAAACGTAGGCATAGCAGAGCAGGTGCGCACGCAGGCCTCTGGCCGGCGCGCGGCCGTCCTTCCCGGTGCCAGCCCCCGCGGCGCGGCGCGGGTGTGCGGCTCTCCTCACCCCTGTGGCTGGGATCCTCCCGGGTGGGCAGGTGCGCATCTTCGGGAGCCAGCGTTACCGCCAGCAGCCTCCCGCATCTTTCCAGCCCGTGGAGGCCCCCAGTTTATTGAGGCACCTGGCTCCCCACAGGCGTACACATGGCTCCCTTTCCTGTTCCTCTGCTGGGGGCGCTGGCCTGCCCCCGTCTCCTCTGGGGAGTTTCAAGCTCTTCCTGTCCTGCCTGGTGCTCATCCTTTGTTCTGGGCGGGGGCTCACGGGAGTGACGGAGTCTTTCTTGCCCGCACCCCTGGGCCCACCGGGCCTGTCCTCTCGGTCCTGCGGTCTGCGCTGAGGGTCAGGGCGTGTGGAGCCCCGGAGGGCCTGGCTTTGTCAGCTGGTGAGGTGGCAGACCCAGAGCAGGGGGCCGGGGCCCGGGGCCCGGCCTGGCGCTGCGTCCTCTCCTCGGGGCCTGCAGGCGAGCGGGCGGTGGGAGTCTCTGGTCCAGGCGCCTTCCAAGGTCTGATCAGCCGAGGTGCCGTGTCCTTGAGCCCCCTGGCACCTGCGTGCCCAGGACGTGGCTGTCCCATAGGTGGTCTGAGCACCGCCGCCGCCTCGTCACTGGCGCACGGCAGGCGTCGCCGATCGCTGTGGAAGCCTCTCCATGGAGCCCAGGCCTCCCCGGTGCCCAGGAGGCTGCCGCCCCGAGTAGAGGTGGCCGGGCAGGAAACCCACTGCCCCCGGGTCTGACCCCTGTCACGTCCTCCTGTGGGCTCGTGAGGCCGGAGCTCAGGACCTGCCCTCAGAAGTGGCAGAGGGACTTGCGTAGTCGCCCGCTGGGCGTGTCTGTGCCCAGGTCCGACGTGCACGCGCGCACACACGCACCTCACTCGCGCCGGGCCAGAGCCCCGGCCAGGGCGCCCGCCCGCTAAGGCCCGGCCTGCTTCCGTTTCAGGTTCGCCTGCAGACCTGGTGAGTCCGCTGTTTGCCTCCTCCTGCCGCCCTGCACCCCGCGCGCCCCTCGAGGCCCACGTGCCAGCCCGGCGCCCCTGTGGCCGCCGGCTCGTGGCTGTGGGTGCCCAGTGTTGTGACGTGTGCCTCCCCCCGCCCCCAGTCTGTTCAGCTGACCTGAGGATGAAGTCTCTGAAGTCACTCACAGGGTGGGGGACACTGTGTCTTGTCCCCGATTTGGGGACTGGTCAAACTAGCCAGCACTTAAAGGTGCTCGCTAGGCCCTGCTTGGGGTATGGAGACACCCCAGTCGTAGGGAGCGGGACCTGCCCCAGGCAGCGGACAAAGAAAGGCCGGCTCAGGGCAGGGAGGCCCCAGGGCTGGGGTGGTCCGGGCAGGCTTCCTGAGGGGGGCAGTTACTGGTAAGGCATCGGAGAGGGCCCGGGTGGGTGTCCCAGGGCGGGACAGGCAGGGCACAAGGTGGAAGGTGTAGCAAGAAAAGCAGGGGCTGCCCCAGAGGGAAACTGTCAGACATCTGCAGGAGTCTCGGACGCGTCCCCGCCCCCCTCCTGCCTTGACCCTTCCCTCTGGGGGCGCGGGGTGGTGTCGGGAGCCGGGCAGCCTTCCGTCATCACTGGTGTCCGTCTGTCCTTGCCCCCGCAGGACGCCTCCGGAGCCGGACCAGGTGAGTCTGTGGGCTCGGTCCCTCGCGGCCGCCTTCCTCATCGGCCGCCACCTGGGGCGCCGAGCGGGCGCCTGGCCGTGGTGGCTGCCCGGCTGCCCCCGGCCTTCTGGGCTCCGCCCCCGCCCTGTGTGTGCCCACTGGCCTCGTCCCTCCTGGGACGAGGAAGTGCTGGGCGAGGGGGCAGGGCCCGCCCGCCAAGGGCCAGCGTCCTTGCACACGGGAACGCTGTTGCCGTCTCTCTGCCATTTTCGGTCTCCTCGCGCCCCCTCCCCCTGCTCTGCGTGGCGTCGCGGGAGGGTGGCTTCTCGCGGTTCAGGGCTGACAGCACCGCGTGCTGGGAAGTTCCAGCGCCGACCGAATGCTGGGAAACCTGGGCGCGCACCGCCGTGGCGGCCGCGTCGGAGCGGGGCCTGGTCTAGGAGCAGCCTGCACGTTCTCGGGGGCCTCACTGGGACCCCCATTTCAGCCCCAAGGCTGCCCAGTCCAGCAGTGTGACCAGGGCCAGGCCCTGGCTCGGCCGACCCCGGCCCACCTCTGACATGAAGGGCTCCGTCCCCAGCTGCACGTGCCGATTCTGAGCCGCGGCTTTGGAAGGTGTTTAGGAGAAAGTGAAAGTTAAAAGTGCCGTTTACAAATGAGCTGCTGCTCCGTCCCGCCCCCTGGTGTGCTCGTCGTGTAACACGTGCGACAGCACCTGGGGGGTCTTCTCGAGGGCAGGACGAAGTCCCCGAGCCACCGCCTGCCGCTCCGCCCCCCACAGGGCCCAAGATGGTGGCCGTGCAGAACTACCACGGCAACCCCGCTCCTCCCGGGAAGCCGGTGCTGACCTTCCAGACGGGCGACGTGATCGAGCTGCTCAGAGGGGACCCCGACTCTCAGTGGTGGGAGGTGGGTCTTGGGCCTGGAGGGGGTGCCCGGCTCCCCTGAACCCTGCCCTGGGGCAGAGGTCCGTTTGGGAGGAGGGCGCAGGGGTGGAGCGGGGCAGCGGAGCACAGCCTGGGTTCCTCGACGTCTCCTCTTCCCTGCGGGGGGTGCCGCGTCCCGTCCACTCCCTGCCTCGGCCACGTCCTGCGCACCCTCCCCGAGTGGTACCGGGGCCACCAGTGTGGGGTGGCCCTGCAGACTCCTTGCCGACGTGGCACCGCCCTGGGCAGAGGGACGGGCGGCGAAGGCCAAGCCCCTCCCAGACCCTCCGATGTGTCTGCGGAGACCAGAGGCAGCGGTGGCCTGCGGGGGCGGGGGGGGGGCTCGGTCCCAGCTGTGAGTGAGCCGCTCCCCTCCCGTGGGCCTGGCGCTCTCCTCTGCGAGGCGGGGATGCCCGCCCCATCCCCACCTGCAGTGGGCGCGGTGTCGCGAGGTCACAGCAGGCGGCGGTGCCGACATACACGCGCGTCTCAGGAGCTGTCCTCACGCTGTCCTGCTCCTCAGGGAGCAGCGGCCCCGCCCGCTGACCGTCTCTGCCTCTCCCAGGGTCGGCTGGTGCAAACCAGGAAGTCAGGCTACTTCCCCAGCGCGTCGGTGAAGCCCTGCCCCGTGGACGGAAGGGTGAGTGCGCCCGCAGAAGCTCCCGGAGCCTGGCGGCCGGGCACCGGGGCTGCCGAGAGCTGCGCCCTCACCGGGGACGTCCCTGCGCAGTGGCCACTGGGAGCCGGCCCAGAGTGCCGTCTGCACCCCGAGAAGACGGGTGGGGGCCAAGGGACAGGGGCGCCTTCCTGCCTGAGGAGCTCGGCCGGTGGGGGCCGCACTGGGTCGGGGGTTACAAACGCCAGGAGGGGCCCGCGCCTCGAGCCCAGGCCCGGCAGCCCCGCCTGCCCAGCGCCCACGTTAAAGCACTCGGGGCCCGGGCCAGGCTGCCCCGGAGACCGGGCGGCCGCGGCCGAGAGCGGCAGGACGGGCCGTGGGCACCGTGCAGGTCCGCCGCCCTGGGGGTCACACCCCTCCCGGGCTCCGGCGCACCGGGAGCCGGCCGCTCCTCGTTCGTCCAGTCATTTAATCAATCCCCGCCCAGCCATTCGGTCCCTCACACCTACTGTGCGTTCACCTGGGGTGGTGAGTCCCAGCCTCTGCCCTCGGGGACCTCGCAGTCCAGGGGCTCCGGCCGGAGGGTCTGGTCATTGCCGACAAGCCCCCGGGGGACCCCCTCTGTGGACGGCCTCTGAGGGGGCATTAACCCGAAGGTTCTCTTTTGCCAGCCCCCCATCGGCCGGCTGCCGTCCCGGGAGATCGACTACAGTGCCTACCCCTGGTGAGTGGAAGGCGCCGCGCCGCGGGCGTGGCCCTGTGCCCCTGGCTGTGGGGTGGCCCAGGGAGGCGGGCGTGGCCCTTGGGCTGGAGGCGTGGCCTGTGGTTGTGGGCGTGGACTATGGCAGTGGGCGTGGCCCCAGACACCCAATAGCAGGCCCCGTCTAGGACCCAGGCTGTTTGCAGATCCGTGGCGCCCAGCGGCCCCAGCCCAGCTCCTTCCACAGCCCTAAGTCACCTGAACCCCGGGGTCGACCCTACCCCTTGGCAGCCAGTGTCCCTCGTCAGAGCACATCCTGGCGTGGAACACGCGCGAGAATGAAGTTCTTTTTTTTTTTTTTTAACACAATCTCCATGGAGGCTCGTTGTATAAAATACAGGGTGGCACAAATAACGCCCCTGTTTTTTATTACAAATCATAAGCCTCTGATTCGGTAACATAACAATACCGCACTCAAGCACACCATGTGACATGTGAGGTGACATGTTCAAGTTGAAACTGTAAATTATCACACCCGTATTACCACCCGACCAGCCCACCTGGGCGGGCCGGGCGCTGCACAGAAAAGCGGTGAGTTTAGGGGTGACGCACGCGCGGGGTGGTTCCAGGGTGTTACAACAACGCCCCCACCCCCGCAAGGGGAGCAATTTTTATTTATCGCTGCTTTTTATACTCAGAACTGAGTCTGTCGTCCCTGTTACCTGGACCCTTCTTTGAGGCCCCGCGTTCCATACAGCTGAGCCCCCCGGACTGGCCGAGTCTGGGGTCCTCACCGCCCCCCCCTTTCCTGTGCGCATTCTGTGCCCGCAGGCAGATGCCCCGCCCAGCCGCCTCCAGATCCCGCCCACCGCCGGCCCCTCCCACAGGGGCGCGGCCTCGTTTCCTGATGGGCTCCCTACGCAGATTAGAGACCCAGTCCCAGGGCTAGAGGCTGTCAGAGGCCGGTCGGTGTGACCGTCCCCACTTCCCCCTGCGCCCTAGGTTTGCAGGCAACATGGAGAGGCAGCAGACGGACAACCTGCTCAAACCCCACGCCAGCGGGACCTACCTGATCCGGGAGCGGCCGGCGGAGGCGGAGCGCTTCGCCATTAGCATCAAGTGCGTGTCGGCCCCGCGGGCCATGGGGACCGTTCCCGGGCCGTTCGGAACCTCAGAACCCCCTCCCCGCCCGGCCTGGGGTGTGCCGGGGTGGTGTGGCCGTGGGATGAAGTGGCCACACGCCGGCACTTCTGGGACGAAAGGTGTCTGTGGGCGTGTCTCGCTGGGCCCGGACCTGCATGGTCGGTCCGGCTGCTGCGGGTCCCCAGCTGCCCCTGGGCACGGCGGACGTTTTCGCGTCACGGGAACTAGATAAGCGCAGGCCCCAGAGCAGGGCAGGGAGACTGTGGGCGTCCGGGACTCCCAGCGGCCCCACGGGTGGGCCTGGGGGAGGGTGGGACGGCGGCACAGATGCCAGCTCGTGGCCGCAGCCAGTGGCCCGCAGTGCGGGCGCCCTCCCACCCCGCCGTGGCCCCCTCCTGGGTCTGCCGCCCCCTCTCCCGGGGTGGCGGGTCACCCCGGGCATAGGGTGCCTACGTACCAAACAGGAGTCTTGGGCCAGGCTGCTGGGCACGGGCCGGCGAATCAAGGGCTGGTCAGCGTCGCCGGAGGGGCCGAGGGCCCCGCTCAGGGTGGCCCATGTCACCGCGGCCTCCTGTTCCCGGGACGCCCCGTTTGGCTGTGGCATCGAGTCCTCTGCACGCGATGGGATTGTGCGGGTGCGGGTGTGGAGAGCAATGGGGTTTGTGGGAGACCTTAGCGCCCGCTGTCCTAAGGGTCGCTGGTGGGTCGTTTCCTTCCCTGTGGGGTCCCGGGCTGCATTCGGTGCCGGCGGAAGGGGTGGGGTGGGTCCCTGGGAGGGGCGTCCCGCCTGAGCTGAGACCTGAGGACAGAGGGCGCGACGGGAGGCGCCCGCGGGGCTGAGGGGACAGCCGCGCCGGGGCCTGGCGGCTCGTGCTCGGGGTGGCTGAGGCAGAGCCCAAGGCCGGGCGGCTGCAGTGCCGGGTGCGGCCGTGGGGATATCGGGAGAGGGCACCAAAGCTGGCGTGCGCGCTCCCCTCTGGCCTCCCCGGCCAAGGTCAGACCTTTGATCTGCAAACCAGGCCGCGAAGGCCTGACAGGCGGTGGGGACACAGGAGGCGGGGACGTTCCAGGCAGGGCAGGAGCGGGAGGTGGGAGCCCGGGGCTGGGGGTGTGGCACGTGCTGAGTCTGGACCCCAGGGGCGCGGGGGGCCGTGCGGCCCGTGCGCTGACCGCCGGGGCCGGGGCCTTCCGCGCAGGTTCAACGACGAGGTGAAGCACATTAAGGTGGTGGAGAAGGACAGCTGGATCCACATTACGGAAGCGAAGAAGTTCGAGAGCCTCTTGGTGGGTGATCCTGCGGCCCCTCCGGCCTGGCCCGGGGTGGGGTGGCCCTGGCTCCCCACTGCAGCCGCCTCACGGAGGCCTGGCCCCCGCCTGCACCGCGCCTCAGGGCCTCCCTGCAGCCCCGAGTCAGGACCACCCCCAGAGCCCCCAAAGGGCCAGGTGGGCTGACCGTGGAGGACAGTGAGGGGGTGCCCAGCCGCCCCGGCCACCAGCGTCACAGCTTCCTGCCGGGCCTCCGGCCTGAGTCAGAAACCGTGGCCCGCGGAGGCTGCGTCCGGTGCCCGGCGTGTAGCCAGCCTCGCGCACGGGGGGGCCTCCAGCAGCGCCCCTTCCCTGCCTGCCTCCCCCCGCCACCCTCCCCCCACAAACGCCAAGGGCACCGTTGCAGCTGTTCAGCGTTGTGGAAACGTCCCATCTGAACAACCGCCCCTCCCCGCCCCCCGCTTTCCTTGACTGGTACCCGTGTGGCGTTCGGTCACTTGGATAAGCTGCTGTTTCTAGAAGCCTCTCCCTGGCGTCAGACCGGGGGGGGGGGGCTCCCGCCTTTCTCCATCATAAACAGTGTCACGGGGCTTCCCTGTCCCCCGGTCTCAGCATGTCACTGGTGTTCCCTTTAGAAAACTTTGGGGGAGAAATTGCTGGCTCAGAAGTCTTTGAGGTGCTGGCCAGCCACGTGGGTCTAGTGCCGGGGGAAGAGGAGGAGGGGAGTCCTCGGGGGTCCGGGGAGGCGTCCCTGCATGGACCCGAGGAGGCGGGGGCGGGAGGCCCAGGCGCCCGGGGGGCCTGCCTGGAGGCGGCAGCCACAGCCAGTGAGCCCGTGCGTCCCGCAGGAGCTGGTGGAGTACTACCAGTGCCACTCACTCAAAGAGAGCTTCAAGCAGCTGGACACCACGCTCAAGTACCCCTACAAGTCGCGGGAGCGCGCGGCCTCCAGGGCCTCCAGCCGGTCCCCAGGTAACGCCACGCCCGCCCGGCACAGCGGCGCTCGCCTGCACCAGTGCCCATGGCCCAGGCCCTCGGGGCCACCCCCTGCCCCGCAGGAAGCTTTCCGTGGGCCACGCCGACCCAGCCAGGAGCCCGTTCCCGACTCCCGCCCTCCGGAGCGGTGGCCCTGGCGCCCCCCCGCCCATGACAGACGCCCTCCCAAGCCGGGGCCGCCCCGGGGGTCTGAGGGGACAGGCGGGGGGCGCCAGCTCTGAATTGCTGCCCAGAGGTCAGCCTGGGAGAGACCTGGGCAGCCCCGCCTGCGCTCACGCGCCTCTCCCTGCCCTGCCCCCAGGGGCCTCCGCTGTGGGGGAGCCGGGCCAGCCGCCGTGTGGGCGACGGGGCCCCACAGCACAGGCCGGGGCTGCCTGGAGTCCAGTGAGGGCAGGGGGCCGAGCCAGAGCGTTTGGCATCCAGCCCAGGACTCACCCCTGAACCCCCTGCTCCCCACAGGCTGCGGGGGCCAGGGCCCCACCCGGGCAGAGCAGGCCAGGGGAGGCGTGACGGGCCTCTAGCGAGCACCTACTGTGTGCTGGGCAGGGGGCGGGGCTCCAGGCAGGCGCCCGTGCCCGTCCAGCTGCCCCCGGGAGCAGGTGGTCCTGACTTGCTGTCGAGGACACAGGCGCCCAGCGGTGGAGCAAGGGCAGCCGGGACGTGGCCGGGCTGCTCCTGCGCCCGGGTGGGCCCCAAGGCCGACCCCCCGCGCCCCCCAGGCAGGGCCCGGCCCCGCCCTGCCGCCTGCGACCTCGCGCTGTGGGTCCTGCGGACTCTCCTCCGCTCCCTCTCACCTCCTCTCTCGCCTCTTTGCAGCTTCCTGCGCCTCCTGCAACTTTTCTTTTCTCAGCCCTCAGGGCCTCAGCTTTGCCTCTCAGGGCCCCTCCGCTCCCTTCTGGTCAGGTACCGCTGTCCTCGGGCCGTGGGGGGCCGGCGGGCCCACAGCCCCTGCGCGCTGGAGGCCGCCGCGCCGGGGGCGGGGGGACAGGCGGGCGGGGCTGCCACCGCCCCCGAGGCCCCCGCAGGCTTGGCGCTGCCCTCCCCGCTGCCGCCGCCTCTCTGACCCGCTCACCCCGAATGGCCTCTCTGCGGCTTGTCGGCCACTGTCCCTCGCCGCTCACGGAGAGCCTTGCCTCTGGTAGCGGCCGGCTCCCTGGCGGCCACCCTCGGGGGGAGGTGGCGCAGAGCCCGCGAGACCCGCTCAGCGCTGGGGGGTCTGTGGGACTCGGGGGCCGGAGGGCGGGGTCCCCGGGGCCCTGAGCGCTCGGCCCTCCGCTGCCACAGCCAGAGCCCTCCTCGCAGCCGTGTGCACGCGCCCCCTGGCACGGTCATCGCCGCCTGGCCATCACGGCCCCGGGACCCCGGGCTGAGCTGCTCCGGCCGGGTTTCCCGTTTGGTCCGGGGATCTGGAACGGGGGCGTGTTGGAGGTGGGGCGCCAGGCTCTGGGGTCCCGTCCAGGTGCTCAGTCAGAGGAAGGCTGTCCCCTGGCCACGGGACGCCCGTGCAGCAGGCCCACGGGACGGCGGCCAGGGGCTGCCCTGGTCGGAGGGCTGGCGTCCGCGCTCGTCCCCATGAGCGGGATCGCTGCCCGCGACAGCCCCCAGCGTGGGCGGTGACCGCCCGGGCCCCCCTCCCGGGGGATCTCAGGCCGCACGCGCGCCACAGTGTGGGCTCCCGCAGAGGAGCGAGGGGCCCTGGGCGGGGGCCCGGGCTGTGACGCCCTCCCCCGGGCGCAGGGCCGGGCTCCCGGGGAGAGACCCCGCCCGGCCCGCAGCCGCGTGACACCGACCACATCCCCACAGTGTGCGCGCCCCGCGTCATCGGCACGGCCGTGGCCAGGTACAACTTCGCCGCCCGGGACATGCGGGAGCTCTCGCTGCGGGAAGGCGACGTGGTGAAGATCTACAGCCGCATCGGCGGGGACCAGGGCTGGTGGCGGGGCGAGACGAACGGCCGGGTGAGTGGGCCGCCCGGGCCCGGCCACGGCTCCGGAGGGGCCCCGACAGGAGGGCTTTTGCTGCTGCTCCCGGGCTTGACTGTGTCCACTTTTCTCCCAGTGTTTGGGGAGGCGGCGTGCGTCCTAAGTCTCCCTGTTTTTAACCCGCGGAGACGTCACCTTCATCGTAAGCCATCGGCGCTCACTTAGGTATCCCTTCCCGCGCCCTGGCGCCGCCCCCGCCCGAGGGCACGGTCCTGCCGCCGGAACGCCCCCTCCTTCGTTTGCTCACTGGCGTGCACACGTGCGCCGAATCTCGGCGTTTGCTGGGTCTGAGTGCGTCTTTATTTCACTCTTTCTCTAAGGTTCTCGCTGTAAAATTGCTATCATTTATTTGGCCGCACCGTCAGACTCTAGGTCGCAGCACAGAGCTCCGTGCGCCCGGGTCCGCCCGGCGCGGCCGGTGTGTCCGCTGGCTCCATCGGGCGCCTCCTGTCCGCCCTCTCTCCGGGGGGTGTGTTCACGCACGCTCACTCGCTTTTCTCCAAGCCGTTTGAGAATCCATTGCAGAACGGCCCCTTTACCCTGGACGCTCCAGCGTGTGTTTCATAAGATCACGGACGTCCCCTTAGATAGAAACTGGGGCCTAACCCACAGTCCGTAGTCCAGCATCACCAGGTGTCCCGAGAGGGTCTTTCCCAGCGGTGCGGCCCTGGCCCCGGATGCAGCCGAGGACCGCGAATGACGCTCGCGTGCCGTGGCCGCCAGCCCCCCTTCACCTGGGGCCGCTCCTTGGCCCTCCCCCCTCTTACGTGACTTCGACCTTTGTACGGCGCATCTTCGCGATGAGGCAGAGGTTCTCCATGTTCGAGGGGACACCCCCGTGCGATGTCGTGTCTTCTTCGGTGCTGGAGAGTCCTCTCCAGAGCTGGGACGGTCCCATGGCTGTGACACTCACTTTGGTCGCTTGGTTAGGGTGGTATCGGCCAGGCTGCTCCCCCGTGAGGCGGCGGTCACTCAGGAGCCATTTGCGGGGCGATGGCTTGAAGTCAGGTGAGCGCCCTGTCCCGCCCCCGCCTTTGAACCCGCCGGTGGTGTCCCTCATTGGTGAACTCCGTCGAGTCGGCCGTGTCGGCCGTGGCCGACGAGCAGCGGTTTTCTAACTGTCGCGTGTTCCCCAGTCCCTGGTAACCCTCGTTCCATCTGGAACGCCTTTCCCTTCCGCCCCGGGCCGTTCTCCCCGGGAGTCCCTCATCTCTCCAGAGAGACCGGCTCCCTTTCGGGGAGCAGCGGTGCTGAGCCCACGTCCGAAGGGGATTTCCCCTGGGGTAGGATTCTAGGCCGTGAGGTGTCTTGGTTCAGCCCTCGGGTGCTTCCATCGTTGCCTGGCCTCCAGCATTTCTGTAGGAACGTTAGCCGACATTCTTAATGTCGCTCCTTGTAGGAAGCATCTGCCCTCCTCCCTGATGGGTGACGACACGTTGCACCCCCTCCCCCCCAAAAGGCTTTGTGTTCCATCCATCAGCTTCCCTCTGATGTGTCCAGACATGGCTACATGCGGTTTCCCCTGCGTGCGCTCTGCCTGAGATTTGTAGGGATGGCGTCACAGCGGTGTGCAGGCCTCCGTCAGTGTGGGACGTGTCTCCCGTGGCGTCTGCCTCGCCGCCCTCAGGGCTCGGGTCCCGTGGCGGTTCGCTGTCCCCGCCGAGGCCTGTGGGCGGTCGCCCTGTCCCATGTGGTTTCCACCCAGTCGCTTCCACCGGCCCCGCGTCCGGTTCGTTAGTCTCTCCTGCTTCGCGTCATCTGCTCTTCCGTCCTTCTACTGGATTCCTTTTCTTTTTTTTTTTTAATTTAAAAAAATTTTTTTATTGTATTTTCCCTGTGCCCTTGATCCCCTCCCCTGCCCCGCTCTCCCCCGTCCTCTGGGTTCTACATCGCAGTTGTTGTTTTCGGGTCAGGGATTCTGTGCGCCGCCCGAGTTCTGTTCTCGGGTAGTTTTCTGCTTTGTCATCAGTTTTCTGAAACATACAAGTTAGAGTCACTTACATGCCTGTCGGTCAAGTCCCGTGTCTGGGGAGCTGCAGGCTGGTCCCTGGGGTCGGCCCTCCCCTCCGTGCCCATCCCTGGGCCGGGACGGAGCGCTGAGCTTGCGTCCTGGCCACCGTCCAGGCTCTGGATAACGCTGCTTCCTCCGGACGGGCTTTTTTTTCCCGGCTGGCAGCTACAGAGAGAGCAGCCGCATCTTAAACTGCTCAGGGCTGGCGCGTCCTGGGGTCCCCTCAGCCCCCGGGCCACGGCTCCCCCGGGCACGGAGCCTCTTTTCCCAGCGAAGGGCGCCTCCTGTCCCAGGGCCCGCCCCCGCCCCCAGCGCACACGCTCGCGCACTCACACCCTTACGCGACCCTGCCCTCTCTTTCAGGTCGGCTGGTTTCCGTCGACGTACGTAGAGGAGGAGGGCGTCCAGTGACAGCGGGGGCGCCGGCGGGACCCAGGAGCCTCCTGGAAGGGCGGCGCCAGCTCTGACGTCCGTCTCCAGCTCGGCCACCTGCTGCAGGGGGAAGCGCCCGCGGAGCCGGCAGCCTGCAGCGGCCCGCAGGGATGGGGAGGGTGTCTGAAGTCCTAAACGCGAACCGTCCCGCCGGCCGCCTGCCCTCGGGGGCCGTCCCGGGCTCGCCGCTTGTACATAGAGGAAACCTGGTTGCCCGCCGGAGCGCGGAGGCGAGGGCGCGGGTGGCGGCTGAGGCCGGGCTCGTGTGGCCCCCATCGGGTCACGATGGCACGAAGAAGCCTGGGTTTGAACGCAGGTGCGGCCCCAGAGAGGGCCGGGGTCGGCGGAGGAGCCTGTCCCCTCACCCTTTCTGCGCAGCCCCGGACTCTCCGCTCTCGGCCTCCTGCTGCTCCCAGGGGTGACTTCAGGCCTTGGCAGGCAGTGGTGCCCGGGCAGCCCCGGCGTGGGCACAGGAGACAGCGCCGCAAGGGCCTGCCGAGACCCTGGGCAGGCCCCCCTCCGGAGGGAGCCCCAGGAACAAGCACGTTGCCGGCCCTGCTGCCCGGTCCCTGGACCTGTCTCTGCCCTGAGTCCGTGGTGTCCGTCCTGCCTGCTGCCCGAGGCATCTCTTGTAAACCCCGATACGGCGGGAAGGACATGGGGCCCCCCCACTCTGTCCCTGCTGCTCACATTCCTCTGTGGGAGGAGGCCCCGCCGCTCCCGTGCAGGGCGCCCTCTGGGTGTCCTGTGTCCTGCAGGGTGGTCCCTGGGCCCCCCGCCCCCGACCTTTGCACAGGGTGTCAGCTTTTGCCCTCGGTAGGTCTTCCCGTCCAAGAGCTCCTGCGGCTCGTGAACTGGCTGGTGGCCAGCCCGGAATAAGTGCTCTTCGGGGTGGCTCCACCCCTGCAATGCCCGCTCCCGGCCTCGACCGCCCCTGGCTGGCTGGGCCGGACCCTGCTTCTGCTGCCCGGATGTTGCATGACACCCAGCAACAGCCTCCCTCTGAGCTCTGTTCAGCTTCCTGGTGGGACCCGGGCTCCGCCTTGGTGCTCGGCACAGCCCCGCGCCGGGAGCAGGGGCCAGGCTGGACCTTGGTGGCCGCGCTGCACCCTGGGGCCCCTCTGAGGCCGGCCGGGTAGCCCCCTGGCACCCTGGCCCGGGGATGAGGCAGGAAGGGGTCCAGGCGGTGGGGAAGAGAGAAGGCAGCCTGTGGGGGCTGGAGGGACGAGGGCGAGCAGGGCGGCGAGCAGGGCTGCGAGCCGGGAGGCGGGGGAATCGGCCTCAGTGGGAGCGGACCAAGTCCCTGCCTTCAGGGCGCACCCAGCACTTTGCACGCGGCCCTCGGCCCAGCCAGGCTGGCCAGGCGCCCGGGGCGGGAGGGGACACAACCAGCCCCTTTTTGTTTACTGTTGTCAAAGGGTTTTGCTTTGTGTTTTTGTTGTTTTGTTTTGGGTTTGGCTTGTTTGCCTTTTAAGGGAAAAAGAAGCGTGTAATTATTTCATCCAAAGCTCCCACTATGTATCTGTGAATCCTAAGGAAGAGACTTTATAACGGCAAGAAAGCGACGTGCACTCGAGGCCGCCCTGAAGCGGTCGCCGCGGAGCCGGGGGGCGCCGGCCACACCGCACCTGGAGCCTGGGTTTTTTTGTGAATGTCGAGTTTTGTTTGTTCTGACACGTGGGTTTGCTTTGGTTGGGTTTTGCACTGTCGCACAGCAGGGGAGGCGGGCCGGGGGCAGACAGGGGCTGGGGGTTCCGCCCGCGGACGGAGGGGCTTTGGGCCTGGGCCTGGCTGAGCTGTGAACGCGGGTGCCCGCTGCATGGGGGTCCGGGGCCTGGGGTCCCGCGGCTGGAGGAGGCCCCCCAGGGAACACAGACTGCACATGTGCCAGTAGATTTTCAATCCATGGTTTTTACTGCAAATAAACCTGAGTTCTTTTCTTCGGGAGTGGCTGGCCTTTCGTGTGGGGGCGGAGGGTGCGGCTGGATTCCTCAGTCTCCCACTGGGTCTGCCCCGCCCGGCCCCGCCAGCCCCGGGGACACAGGCTGTGGGCCTGGAGGGGAGGGTGACACCAGAGCCACCGGCTGGCTCCGCCTGCCGGCCCGTGCAGCCCCACAGGCTTCCCAGGCAGCCAGCGGAAGCTGGCCACTGCCTTCCTGCCTGGAGGGATTCCAGCCCCAGCCCAGGGTGAATTCGGGATAAACTCAGTCCTCTGTCCTGGGGCGGGACTGCGGCCTGCGATAGAGGCAGAGCTGTAAGGGGAAGGGTCCCTCCTTTCACCTGCAGAAGCCGGTAGGCATGGTCTCAGTGTGGTTTGGAGCTTCCCCCCCTGCCCCCCCCCTCCCTGGCTCTTACTATTCTCAGCATGTACTTCCCTTCTCACAGTCCTGGCCCAAAGTGGCTGCTGGAGCTCCTGCCCTCGCAGCCGCATGCAAAAGTGGGGGTGGGCACAGTGTGCCCCCGCCCCTCCTGACCAGGCACTGGCCGCTGCTGGCTGCGGTGGAGGCTGGACGTGCAAGGGCCTGAGCCAGGTGCACGGCCACCCTAGGGGACGCCAGGGCCCATTCCTGAGGGGGCAGGAGCGTGGCCTTTGGGGTGGGCGACCAGCCACGGAACCCGCCCCACAGGGTCGTGAGGGTCTGTGGAGCCGCACAGCCGGTGCCCAGCTGGTGCCCGGCAGTAGTGGGATTTGTTACCAAGGAGGGAGGCGAGTTCAGGTGTTGGAGGCGACACAGGCACCCCCAAGGGCCGCATGGGGGCCTGTTCTGGGACCGTCCCCTCTCTGGAGGAGCTCTCAGGCCCGACTCCACGGGAGGCCTGGTTGTCCAGCGTCAGCTCCCCGAGAGCCAGCCCCTACTCCTGAGGCGCAGGCGCAGCGGCCCGCCTGGCGGCCGCCCTGGACACAAGCCAGCCTGGGCAGCCCTGGAGGACGACCTGGCCAGGAGCCGAGCCCGTGGTGGCCTGAGGGGAGGTCGCTGCGTCCACGGCAGCTGCAGGGGGACTGGGGCAGGGGTCGCCCTGGGGGGAGGGCATCAGAGCATCTGTGGTGGGTCCAGACCCAAAACGGGAGGGTGCCCCGCCTGCCTGTCCGAGGACCCGCAGGGGGCGCGGACGGGAGGTGGCTGCGGAGGGGGTGCCTGCCCGGGGTTACCCAGGACACTGGAGGCCGGTGGGAGCGGGCGCCCTGGGGTCAGGGTTTGTTCCCGTCGTCTCGAGGCAGCAGTCAGGGAGCAGCGCGGCCTGGGGAGCGACAGGTGTCCAGGCACCGGACACCAGGAGAGGCAGCGTGCTGAGCTCGGACGGCGTGGGGACGGGAGGGAGGAGGGCGGCCAGCAGCCGATGCACGAGGTGAGGGGTGCAGTGTGGAGAGTCGGGGCCGGGCTTCGGGTCCGGCCCGGAGCAGGGACTGGTGTTCCGTTGCTGCCGCAACAGGCCGCCACGAACGCCGCGGCGCAGAGCAGCCCACGCCTGCTGTGTGCAGCTTCCTGTGTCCCGGGGCCCCGGCAGGTGCCCCTGGGCTGAAGCCGGGGTGCTGCCCAGCTGCGTGCCTGTCGGGGGTGCTCCAGGCAGAGCCCATTTTCTTGCCTTTTCCAGCTTCTAGAAGGTTCCTACATTCCCTGGAACATGGCCCCCCCGCCCCTCATCAAGCCAGCAAAGGTGCCTCTGTGACCTTCTGTGGTCACAGCTGGGACAGTGTCTCGGCTCTTAGAGACTTGGGTAAGACTTCAGGAAGCGCCCCAGGGGCATCTGCCCAGCGGGGCGCGCGTCCATCAGCGTAGCCTGGCTGGGCCTGGGGGTGGGGGCAGGGCCCAGGGACCCCCCAAGTGCCACCTCTAAGAGGAAGCAAACCCCTTAGCCCCAGCTGGTGCGGCTCCGTGGACTGAGCGCTGGCCTGTGAACTGAAGGGTCGCTGGTTCGATTCCCAGTCAGGGTGCAGGCCTGGGTTGCAGGCCCGGTCCCCAGCGGGGCGGGGGGCACTCGAGAGGCACCCACACACGGATGTGTCACTCTCTTCCTCCCTCCCTTCCCTGCTCTCTAAAAATAAATAAAATCTAAGGGAAAAAAAGTACAAAGGAAAAATAACACCGAAACACCTGGGACCCTGATGGACGTCCTCCAGGAGGCCAGGCCGTGTGGGAACAGCCCCCGCCCCCGCCGGCTCACAGTCGGGGGTGGCCAGGGAGACGCTGCTTTGTGCCTCGATGACGCGGGGAGAGAAGACAAGCCTCCCCTGAAACTGTGTCGTGGGTCGAACCGTGTCCTTCCCAAGGAGATGGCTGATGCCCCAGCCCCAGTCCCCCTGCGCGTGACCCCACGTGGCAGCCAGGCCCCTGCAGCGCAGTCAGGTTGGGGCGATGTGGCCCCGGGCGCCGAGCCCAGCATGACAGGCATCCGTGTGACGAGGGGACGTTTGAACAGGGACGAGTCCGCGGAGGTGGACGTGCGGCCGACCCATCCGTAGGCCAGGGGACCCCAAACATGCCAGCAAACTGTCGGACGCTGCGGGGGGATGGGGCAGTGTCCCCCAGGTCCCTCAGAGGGAGCCGGCTCTGCCGGCGCCTTGACCTTGGGCCTCTGGCCTGCAGAGCTGGAGAGAATACGTTTCGGTTGTTGGTGCCGCTCCGCCTGTGGCACTCGGCCGCCTCACCGCCGTGTGTGCCTCGCACCTCCTGGGGGCCTGCGGGCGCAGGGCGGGGGCGGGGGGCAGGGCCTCCTTGCGGATGCCCCTGCCCGCCCAGCAGGCGGGCGCGCAGGTTGTCTCGGCGGCTCGGCCCCAGCCGCCCCCGGGAAGTTCCAACGCACATGCTCCGCGTCCAAAAGCAGCACATTCCCGAGGAAATGGGGCGCGTCCGGGGTGGCAGAGGTGCAGGGCGCTGACCCGCGCCGACAGAACGCGAGCGCGCACGCGGGACGTGGGACGGTGGCCCCGGGGCGGCGGCTGGGAAGGGCGGAACCGGCGAAGGACTAGGCAAACCAACCAGGCCGCTTAGGCAAAGAGTCTAACCCGGAGCCGCCAGGCAGCTGGGCCCGGCGGGTCGCCGCGGCCTCGCGTGCTGTGGCTCAGGGGCGGCACGCCGGTGGGGCCGCGGGGGGCCAGCCTGCAGCCCGTGCCGCCGCCGACACCCACGGTGTGGCAGTTCCGCGGAGCGACACTGTCTCCCCAGCCCCGCGACGCTGCCGTCTTCAGGTCCGAGCGAGGGGCGACGGCCTCGCTGGGGGCGGATTCCAGTCGTGCGTGGGAGTTGTCCGGGGCTGCCTGCCGCGCGCTGGGGCGCCTGGGGCGTGGGGCACGGCGGGCCCTTTTGCTGCGGAAGGGCCGCCTGTGCCCCCGGAAGCCGGATCCCCGGACGATCTCTTCTGCGGAAGCTGCTCACCAGCCAGGCAGCCTGCAGGCGACTCCAACGCTCCCCAGCGCTGATCGCAGCGGGGGCGGGGGAGGAGTAGGTCAGGTTAGCCCGCGGCAGAGGAGGAGGAGCGAGCTGGGGTGCAGCTCTGAGGGGGTGAGAAAGCCCAACGGGCGTCTCCTCCCAGCGGATCCCAGAGAGCGAGGAAACGGAGGCTGGGAGCCAGGCGGTGCCAGAAGACAAACTGGCCGGCCAGCCTCCGGGGCGGGAGAAGGCCAGCGTAGGGGGTCAACGACCCGAAGGCCCCCAAGGAGGGTGAATCTAAGGAGGCAAGTCCGGAATCACCCCAGCGAAGCTGCAAAACGCTGCGCACAGAGAGGAGGCCTTAAAAACAACCGGAGGCCCTGGCCAGGAGGCTCGGCAGGTCGGAGCGCCATCCCGTGGCCAAAGGTCAGGGGTCTGGCGTCCGGTGTGCACGGGAGGCGACCAACCGATGCTTCTCTCTCGCTCCCATGTTTCTCTCTCTCCCTTCCCCCGCCTCTAAAAGCCAAGAGGAAATGCCTTGGGTGAGGATTCAAAGTAAAACAGCCAAAATAACCGGAGAGAACGGAGGGAGGTTTCTTCTAGCGGAACGGCCGTGCGGAGGGTTTTCCACAGCAGCGACAGGGCCCAGAGGCAGTGGAATACTGTCCCCTCAGGGCCTGCGTAGACTCTGCAGCCCCAAAAGTGGGTTTCCAAAAAAGAAAAAGGACAATATCAAGGCATTTTAAGGCAAAAGAAGGAGAAGCAGCTTAACATACCCTCCCTGAAGGATTGTCTATAGAAAGTTCTCAAGCGTCTTCAGAGGGAAGGAGAACGGTAACGATGCAGCTGTATCCGACACTGAGAGGAACGGGTAGAGTGGATACTATGTGGCTGAAGACAGGATGGCGTTTACACGGGGACAGTAAACCCTAAGGCCTGGGAGGGGCCACCCAGCACCTTGGGACCCTCCGCAGTTTGGGAGGAGGGCGAGGTGACAGCTCTGGTAACTGTCTTCATTTTACTGCCTTGTGACAAACTCCGGTGGGTCAGGTCGGGCACAGCTGAGCTGGCCCCTGCACCCAGGGTCTCCCCAGGCTGCGTCCAGGTGACGGCGGGCTGTGTTCTCGTCTCAGGGGTGACCGGGGAAGGCCCCGGCCACACGCGCCGAGGCTGCTGGCAGAATTCACGTCCCCGCGGGCACTGGCTGAGGCCCAGCCTGTCGGCCCCTGCCACTCGGCCAGCAGGACGGTGTCTCTGCCGTCCGCCCTAACAAGCTGGGGTCGAGGGTGTGACGCCCGTCCCCCGCGTGAGGGGCCCCGCCTGCCCGTGGGGCAGGCACCGTGTGGGGCGAGCTCGCCCCGCACGGGGCGCTGGGTTAGAAATCAGCGATGAAATGCACAGAGGGAACTCCCGTGTGCTTCCAAACCGAGACCATGCTTCCAAAAGATAGTCGAGACGAGAACGCACCGTGTTTCAAATTTATTTGCGAACGTGAAGCGAGGAAAGCCCGGGGTGGCGGACCGGCAGCGTGCCGCCGACGCTGACCCCGAGCCGCGGCGGGCGGCCCTGGCCGCTGAGAACCGGGGGCTCGGCGGGCTCTGCGGGCTGAGAGTCTGCGCCGGCTCCTTGAACAAAAGTTCCATGTTTCCGTTGAGCGTTCTCAAATTGTCCATGTAAAATGTAGTTTTTCCGTGTAGAAAATTACAAATGTAATAGATGTGCACGGATTACAGGCACGGTTACTGAAACGACCGCCGTCCGCCGATGGCTTGGGCGGGGCGGGGGGGCAGCCAAGCCCGCGCCCTCCCAGGACCGGTTTCCCGCGGCTGCGGGTGAAGCCAGACCCCTGTCCTTTGGCCCCAGCGTGATGTGTTTGTTCTCCTGAAGGACTGAGTTTTGATCCTTTTTCCTGTAAGAAGAAAACCCACACGTGCACGTATGTGGTCCCCTGGCTTCTCTCTGGATGATGATTCCGTGTCTTTTATTTTTTAACGTTTATTTTATTCTCATTTGAGAGAGGGCGGAGGGAGACAGAGAGAAACATCGATGTGAGAGAGAAACATCGACCGGTTGCCTCTCCCATGCACCTGGACAGGGGTCGAACCCGCAGCCCAGGCAGGTGCCCTGACCGGGAACCGACCGGCGACCTTTTCATTGTGGGACGATGCTCCCCCTGAGCCACACCGCCCAGGGCGTGTCCCTCATCCTGACACTGCCGAGCTGCGGGGACTGTGTGGCAGGGGGCCTCAGCCCTCGGCAGCTCCGTGTGGACGCACACCCGCCGCGGTGAGGGTTCCGGCCTGGCGTAGCGAGGGACAACCACAGCAAGAGACGGTCACCTCTCGCTCACATGACAGCCGGGGCCGTGACCCGGGGCTAGGGCGGGCCCACAGTGTCAGACACGGGGCCTCCCTGGGGCTGTCTGGTCCCCGGTGTGTGGCCGCCCCAGTTCACCTCTGGTCCACGAGGGGACTTCGCCTCCAGCCCCTGAACCCACACTCCCGCCGCGGAGGGAGAAGGTGCAGGGAAGGCACGACCCCTCTCGCCGGCCACCACCGCCCGTCGGCTCTAACCTGGCTGCAGGGAGGGCGGGGACGCAGTGCCAGTTCTGGCCCGAGGGCTGCGGAGGAGGAAGAGAGGACGGCAAGGCACCGAGGGGAGGGCCGTCCGCTGCCACAGTCCCAAAGCTTAGACAGTGGGGGCGGACGGCGGCGGCGGGGAGAAGCGGACACCGCCGGGGAGCGGAGAGGGCCCGCGCCGGCCAGCGAGGGCCCTGCCAGGGCGCGTTGCGCCTGCAGGACAGTGTGAGAGCCAGGCTGAGCCCGAGCGGCCGTGGCAGCGGCGATCCACCCGCCTTTCGGTCACACGTCCTAGGGACAGTCTCGGGATCCAGCTCTCAGCATGTCATACTTACCTGTGGCCACCAGGGGGAGGCGTTTCCTGCGAAGGCTCAGCCTTCTGGACCGGGCGCCTGAGGGCCTGCAGAGCCCCGTCACTGCGAGGGGTCACTGGCTGCCCCGCCACCCGAGGGCGGCCTCTGCGGGGCTCCTGCCCCTGGAGCCGGAGAGAGGAAGCTGCCGCCGCGACCGCCCCCCAGGGCCTGGGGCGCCCGGCCGGGGCTCTGGGGAGGGCAAAGTGGCGGGGTTGGGGGAGGTGGCTGGGGACACAGTGGGGCTCCACCGAAGTGTGTTGGGCAAGGGCGTGGGCCGGGGCCCCGTGTCCCCGCTTTCCAAGAGAAGCCTGGAAACCTGGGCGGTTGCAGGAACCGCCCGGCGCGTCCGCGACGTGTGTAAACAGAAACCCCTCAGCGAGAGGGGCCTGGGGGGAAGGCCCCGCAGCTCCGCCTGCCTCCCCGGCCGGGGGCGCCCACATCCCCGGGTGTGCGGGGCCCCCGTCCCTGGGAACGCCGGTGCCCCAGTGGCCAGCCCGGGCCGCTTCCGCCTGCCCCCGGAGTGTGGGTGTCGGGAACGGGGCGCCCTCCTGGCGCCGCCGGCAACCCACCACTCACCCCGGATGACTGAGCACAGCCTTCTGAAGACATCAGGGTAGTTGACGTGGTTATTTATTTTTTTATTAAAGATTCTCGTTGGATAAATAGAACTTTGGCCGTGTAAACCCAGCCCTCAGAAGTTGTTCTGGAAGCTTCCCTGGGCCGTGACTCGCCCGGGGCTGGCGCCCCGCTGTGTCCGGCTCCGTCGGCTCTGCCCTACAGCGGGCGACGGCGGTTCTCGCGCGCGGCGCGCTCGGAGGAGCCTGGGCTGCACACCCGGTGTGGCCGGGCCTCGCCGTCCTCTGGGCTGTGCTGTCTTTAGTGTCCCTCTTTCTCAGGGCCACACGAGAGCTTACCCCGGCCCCTCCCCCAGCCCCACCCCAGGCTTCTGCCCAGTCAGAGTGCGGCAGCCGCGCGCCTCACCTCCGTCTGCCCTGGGGGCCTGGGCAGGCACCGCCGACGGCCGGCCCGGGCAAGAAGCGGGCGTCTCTGGCTGGCCACGTGGGCAGGGGCGGCCACACCCCCGCCGCGGTTTGCCCGTGGCGGGAGGGGGAGGGCCGTGGGCCGGCCTGCCGAGGTGGGGACTTTGAGTTGCACATGGTTTTCTCCCGAGCGCGCTGAAAGGCCAGGTAATAATCCACAGGCAGACTCACAAACCCTCCCTCCGTGGGCCCTAGGGGGGCGGAGGGGCCCTGCTCGCCAGAACGAGGGGCTGAGGCTCGGCCGGGGGACCAGCCCCAGCAGGAGCTGCCAGGCGGCAGCAGGACCCGCTCGGTGCCCCTCGCTGGGGCCGGGCCACCTCCCGAGCCGTGCTCCCCAGCGCCAGGAGAGACCCGGTCGCCCATCCGCCTCCCCAAGACCCGAGCAGGGCCCGGCCAGTCACCTGGCTGACCGCGGCCCGGCCTGGCCCGGCCGCCGCCCCTTGTCCAGAGTCCAGGGGCCTCTGCTGGCCACTTGCCGTGTGAGAATTTTGCAAGAGCGGCTTGTCCGAGTGCAAGGCCAGGGGCAACTGGGGCCTAGGCTGTTCCAGCTGTTGCCCTGGGGCTGCGGTGCCCGGCAGGTCACACGCCCGTGGACCCTGTGCCCGGGCTTCTCAGGGGGACGTGGCCACGCTCCTTCCTTGCCCTCTCTGACCACGTCGAGCGCGGCCCTGCCTCAGGCTGCTGGGCCAGGCTGGCCGCCCCACAGAGTCCAGGCTGGCATCCACCCTGCCTGGACCCCCGATATACCCCGAGACACCCCAAGGAAGCCCCATGCCAAGGGGCCACCCTTCCTCTGGGGGAGCCAGGTGCGCAAGGGATGGGCTCTGTCCCCGTGGTGGGGACAGAGAATGGCGGCAGCACAGTCAGGCCAGGGCCTGGGCCGCCTCCTCCAGGATGCCCTCCTGGGTTTCCTGCGGGGAGGCGGCCCCAGCGCACCAGCCTCGTCTTCCCCCCGGACCCTGCACCCCACGAAGGCAGGGCCCCCCAGCAACGCACCGTGTGCCGTAGCGGCTCAGTGAGCACGGACAACACGAGTCAGCGGCAAGGTGGCCCTGCGTCCCGGTGCCCATGAGAACCCGGCCAGCTGTCAGACTGCAGTCACCGCAGGGACCGGCGACACCCAGCTGCCACCCGGCCGCCACCCGGACATGGGGGGGGGACACTGCCTTCCTTGGTCCCATGGGGGATGGGGCCCCGGTTTCACTCCGGCGCCTGTCCGCACGCTGGGCACACCCACGCGCATATGCGTGGAGTTCTCCTGGCACCCTCTCCTCCTGGGCACGGACGAAACGCCCCAGACCCAGGGTCGGACAGCAGGCCTCGTGCTGTGGCCCGAGCCAAGCTGGCCGCCCGTTCCGGCCCCGGCGCCCCCAACCGTTCAAGGGCGGCCCGGCGGCCCTAGACACTCAGGCTGGACGGGCAGGTCCGTGCAGAGGCTGCGCACTGGCCGGCACTTTCTGCCCACCTGCGGGGCGAGCCTGGGGGCGCGGGAGTGCATGGGCAGGCAGGGGTGCCCGGCTGGCCCGGGGCAGCAGCCCTGTGACCCCCGTCTGAGCGGTGAGGAGGTGAGGCCACCAGCCCCGCCCCGAGGACCGTGGACAGGGCCTCAGGGTCACAGCCCACTGGGAGCCGCCTGCTTGGCTGCTGCCCCAGCGGGCGGCGCGGTCTGGGCGGCGCATCCCTGGCGGGGGGCGGGGGCGGGGGCAGGGGCTGGCCGAGCTGCAGGGGGCGGGGCGGCCCAGTTCCTGCCGGAGGCCGCAGGAAGGAAGGAGGGGACAGCGCCACAGAGGCCACGAGGCCAAACCCTGGCGGGCCTCTGGGACCGAGGGGCCCTGCGGCGCCCAGGTAGCCCCTCGGGAAGGAGGCAGGGCCCAGGCCCTCCCCTGGGGGCGGGAGCTTGCACGCCCCTCTCTGCCTCCCGCTGCTGCTGCGAGCCTTGGCCTGAGTGGGCGGGGCCACACGTCTGTGTGCAAGTGTGTGCTTGTGCGTGTGGGGGGGTGGGCGGCAGGCAGGGGTGGGAGCTGTGCCTGGCCCTTTCCCTGATCACTCCCCACCCTGCAGCCCCCGAGGGGCTCCTCCGGGCCCCGCTTCACAACTCGGTCAAGGGGTCGCTCCAGCCCCCGTCCGTCTGTGTGACCCCAAACCCTGGGCTGTTCTGCACCGCCTCCCCCCGCCCCCCCCTGCCGCTGGCAGCCAGGGGCCCCTCTGCCGACCCAGGCGTGGGAAAGGGTCTGGGAAGGGGGCGGGAGAGCAGGTTAATGTTGAAGCAGCTGCCTCCCGGCGGCGCAGGCACACGGGGCTGCCCGGCCCAGGAGGAGATCCCGGACTGGCCGGCGGGCGGGCAGGCAGGGCACGTGGCAGCGCCCAGGCCGGAGCGTGGGGGGTACGCAGGTGGGGGGAGGCCAGGGGTGGGCAGGGGGCTGGGCGGGGCCGCGGTGGGGCAGTCCTCCCCGCGCCCACGTGAGGCCGACTCTCCACAGGTAGGACACCTCTCCTGGGGGGTCCTGGGAGGCTGAGGAGCTTCGAGGAGCTTACGGGAGGTGAGTTCAGACTCTAGTAGGGGGCACCTCCCCGTGCCCGGGCCACCTGCCGGAACGAGGCGGCGGGGGGGCGGGGTCCGACCCTGGGGCCGAAGGAATGGGGAGGCCCTGCCCCAACCTCCAGTCCCTGCTCCCCAAGGCCTCCCAAATCATGGCTCCCTGCAGCCCCTCTGTCCCCCTCCCGGGAGGGCTGCTGTGCGGGGGCAGGGCAGCCCTGCCCCCCGGAGCTGGGCCCGCACCCAGGTCCCCCATGGGGAAGGATGGGACAGGGCAGGACAGCGGGTCAGGCGCCTCCCCCACACCGGGCCCCGGGCGTCTGCAGACCCGAGGCCGGGACGGGGCCACACACAGGCCTGGCCCTGCCGCCCAGCTCCGCCGCGGAGCAGCCCCGGGCCTGTCTCCTCCCTGTGGCCGGGGACCTGGCCCGGAGCGGGGCGGCCTGGGCCGGCCTGTGGCGCGTGGGCCCGCAGCTCCGTGCGGGAAAGGCGCCTGACGGCGTGTTTATGAAAGCTGGGGACAGCGACACAGGGAAGGGCCCAGGCTGGGCTGCCTCAGCTCACTGAGGACGCGGAGAAAGGGGCCTTGGGCACAGGCGGGGGGGTCAGCCTGGGACGCGCGGCCTCGCCCACAGCTCCCCGGGCTGCCGGTCTCCGAGCCTCCAGGGCCCTTAATTTAGGAGACGCATGCCTGGTGGGGGCGGGGAGGGGCTCCCCCGAGGGGGGGCGGGAGCCCCAGGGCCTGGTCTGGGGCCTTTATCTCTGTCCCGCAGGCGAGCGGGACCCGAGGGGGGCCTCGGGGGCGGGTTTCCGTGGAACAGGCCTCCGTCCTCCAGGTGCGCCCTGGCTTGCTTTCTTTTTAACGTCTTTTTCTGTTTGACTTTTTTTTGAAGATTTTATTTATTCAATTTTAGACAGAGGGAGAGGGAGGGAGAGAGAGAGAGAGAATTATCGATCGGTTGCCTCTCGTGCGCGCCCAGGCACGTGCCCTGACCGGGAATTGAACGGCGACCTTTTGGTTCTCAGGACGACGTTCCGCCCACGGAACCACCCCAGCCAGGGCTAGGTGTGACCTTCAGGGTCATGGTCTGCACCGATGGGTCAGCGCCAGGGCGGGGGATGGTTAGTCATTGCAGCTGGTCCTGGTGTGGCCCCACGGCTTTGCTGTTCTCCGGGGCCAGGAACTGAATGTTGTCTCCAGAGAGGAAAGGGGGGGCAGACGTCACCCCGGGGGCGAGGCCCTTGCTCTCCCAGGTTTGCCCCGTGCCCGGCGCTTGGGACTTCTGCCCTGGTGACCCTGTGCACCTGGCTGAAACTTGCTCAGTCATGGGTTTAGCTCTATGCCTCAGTTTCCCCATTCTACTCGCCAAGGAACTGTCCTCGCTTCTCACTCCGCTGCCTCAACCTCAGGACCTTCTGCCAGACGAGAGCAGGTCCTTGGTACTGGAAATGGAGGTCACCTTTCTCAGTTAGTTAATTGACATCAATTGGGATGGGACAGCAGACGGCAAGGCCCAGCTCCACACCGGCTCACGGCCAAGCCCCTCGGCTTTCCCTGCTCAGCCTGGGGGGGCCCAGGAGGCCCCTCCGAGGCGTGCCTTGTCCCCATGTTGGGCAGGACCCACCCCCGTCCTCAGGGTGACGTCCCTCTAGCACCCCTGTCCGGGGAAGATGGGCTCCTGGTCACATTCTTCTAATTTTGAGGTTTTTCTGGCTGGGGAAGTCCAGGAGAGCTTCCTGAAGGAGGAGGGACTCAGGTGGGCCCTGAAGTCCGTGGGGAGGACAGTGAAGAGGTAGGGGGGTGGCGGGGACCCAGCTTCTGAGCCCCTGTGTGCTGTTCAGGTGGCTGGACCTCATGACCGTTCTTGGTTTCGCCTCGGGCCCCAAAGGGCTCGGGGTGCATGAGGCAGGTGCACACCGCACGGTGGCAGGAGCCCACGAGGCCGTGGGGCGGCAGGAGGAGGGCCCGAGGGCCACGGCCCAGGCTCGCACCCTGCCCAGCCCCCACCCCAGTCGTCTGCTCTCTCCCCAGCGCCCCCTGCTGATGCCGCCTGGGGTCTCTATGGCCTCGCTGAGCCGAGCTCTGCGTGTGGCCGCCACGCGCCCCCCTCGGAGACCCGCGCAGGGCCTGGGGCCACGGCCCCTGACCTCGGGGGCGGGCACCACCACGGAGAAGAGTGTGCCCTACCAGCGGACGCTGAAGGAGGCCCAGGGCTCCTCGGCGGTGGCCCAAGGCCCAAGCCGGCCCCTGCCCAGCTCGGCCAGCGTCGTGGTCATCGGCGGAGGCAGCCTGGGCTGCCAGACGCTGTACCACCTGGCCAAGCTGGGCGTGAGTGGGGCTCTGCTACTCGAGCGGCAGCGCCTGACCTCCGGGACCACCTGGCACACGGCAGGTAGGGCGGGCGGCGGGCGGCGGGCTGGCACGGGGCCGACCCGCCCGGGCAGGCCCCGGCCTGGGCCGATTTCAGTCTGCGGGTGGGCAGATCGGGGCTGCCGGTCCCTCAGCCCCCCAGCTCTGGGGGGAGGCGGAGTGGACGTCGCCCCGGGAACCCCCGAGGTCGACCCTGAGACCGAGCTGGGAGCCAGCTGTCTATTGAAAGAGCGAAGCCCCTCCCGGCAGGGCCCCTGCGGTGGGGTGTGCGGGGCCTGAGGGGGGGCAGGGAGGGGCCGGCGGGGTGGGGTGCACACTGGGCTCCTCCACACCCAACTCTTCCTCCTGACCAACCGCTGGGTGCGAATGACGCACCTACTGCGTGCAGGTCCCCAGAGCGCCCAACCTTCGGCCCTGACCCGGGGCAGGTCAAGTCCACCTGTTTCTCTGGGGTAGGCACCCTAACTTGGCCAACGTCACGCCACCAGCATGAGGTCACTGAACGCAGAGGTGGGAAGCGTCCAGGCCGCACGCGTCCTGGGGGGTGACCGGCGGCCCGAATGCACGGCATCCACCTCCGTCTGCCCCGCCCCCTCAGTCAGTGCGCGCAAGGCCCTGGAGGCGGCGGCTGCGTGGGAGGAGGGCCTGGATTGGCTGCAGTAACCCTCCTGCCTCAGGCACCGCGGTCTCCCCGCGGCAGCCGGGCCGGGCTCAGCGGCAGCCGGTGCCCGCGGAACCCGGCCTTTGACGGTGCCGCCCTCCGAGCTGCCCGGGCCCAGCCTCGACCCCGCGTTTCCTGCTCACCGGCCTCTCGGGGCTGCCGGGGCTGCAGGGACGGACCCGGGCCCCGGGCGCCGCCTGACATGCTGGGGCCCTGCCCGGGGGAGGGGCGCGGCACCCCGGTGCCGGGACCGACGGCGCCCGCCGCTCCCCGCCAGGCCTGCTGTGGCAGCTGCGGCCCAGCGACGTGGAGGTGGAGCTGCTGGCCCACACGCGGCGCGTGGTCAGCCAGGACCTGCAGGCCGAGACCGGGCTGCACACGGGCTGGATCCAGAACGGGGGCCTGTTCATCGCGTCCAACCGGCAGCGCCTGGATGAGTACAAGAGGCTCATGTCGGTGGGTGCGCCCCGCTGGGGCGGGGGGCTCGGCGGGGGGTGCGCCCCCTGCGGGGAGGGTGGGCGGGTGGCGCAGGGACGGAGCCCCGCTGGGGCTGGGTTCCACCCCCGGCGCGGCCCTGGCCGGCCCCTCTGAGCCTCGGCAGCCTCCCCGTGGGAAGGGGACCCGTTGCAGAGCAGGGGACGCTGAGCCCGGGGGGCCGGGGGGCCGGGCACGCGGGCTTTGCTGTCGTCACGCGCGGGGCTTGCAGGGGCCGCTGGGGCGTGGGGAGGGTCCGAGCTGAGCGTTGAGCTGCAGGAGGCCTGCTCCCCGAGGGCTCAGGTGCTGTCCCCTGGGCCCCTAGCTGGGCAAGGCCTACGGTGTGGAGTCCTACGTGCTGAGCCCGGCGGAGACCAAGGAGCTGTACCCGCTGATGAACGTGGACGACCTGTACGGGACCCTGTACGTGCCGCACGATGGCACCATGGACCCTGCCGGCACCTGCAGCACCCTCGCCCGGGCCGCCACCGCCCGCGGGGCACAGGTACCGAGGGCCCGGCCCAGGGTCCCCGCTGCCAGGCCGCTGCTCCTGCCGAAGGACCCGGAGCGGGAGAATGGGCACCCTGCTCGCTGCGGCGGGGCCTCGGGGCCTCTGAGCGGCGGCCCGCTCCCGCGAGGGCGGTGTTGGCGTTGGGGACCCGCGGGGGCTGTCCGCCAGCCCCCTCCCCCAAGGTCCCGGCCCCGAAGGACGAGGGGCGCCTCTGCCAACCTCGCCTCGTCGTTTTTATCTTCTCTTGTCTCAAGGGTGCACATAATTGTAGGAAAACACATTAGAAAAGGCCAACAAGCAGAAAAGACTGAAATCCCCGCGAGGGGACAGTATGTCCAGGCCACTCCGAACACGCTTGCTGGGCCGCTGGGCCGCTGTGCGGACGCTCGGGACAGGTTTTAGTCAAAGGGGCCTTATTTTTTAAAAGATTTTATTTATTTATTTGTAGAGAGCGGGGAAGGGAGGGAGGAAGAGAGAAAGAGAAACGTCCCTGTGCGGTTGCCTCTCGCGTGCCCCCCACTGGGGACGTGGCCCGCAACCCAGGCAGGCGCCCTGACTAGGAACTGAGCCAGCGACTCTCTGGTGTGCAGGCCGGCGCTCAGTCCTCCGAGCCACACCCGCTGGGGCAGGGCCTTATTTTTTTAAGTCACTTCATGGAAAGGAGCCACTGGGGTGGGGCAGCCCTCCCCGTGAAGGGGCGGGGGTGCAGTCCCCAGGGCGGGGCGGCCGCCTTTCCCCGACGCCGTCCTGTGCGGCCGGGCCCTTTGGGATGGGGCGGTGAGAGCCCGCGCGGCTTCGGAAGCAGCCCGTCTCTCCCCAGGTCATCGAGAACTGCCCGGTGACGGGCATCCGTGTGCGGACGGATGACTTTGGGGTGCGGCGGGTCGCGGCCGTGGAGACCGAGCACGGCTCCATCCAGACGCCCTGTGTGGTCAACTGCGCAGGTGGGCGCGGCGCTCTGCCGGTCCCCGTGCCCCTCCCCGCGGGCCCCCCCGCCCCCGGCGCCCGCAGAGCTGAGCTGTCCTGCTGTGCCCGCAGGAGTGTGGGCGGACGCGGTCGGCCGGATGGCTGGAGTCAAGGTGCCACTGGTGGCCATGCACCACGCCTACGTCGTCACCGAGCGCATCGAGGGCATCCAGGCAAGCGGCCGGCCAGGCGGGGCGGCGGCCTGGCGTGTGGGGAGGCGCGGGGCCCGGCACTTATGCGCCGTACGACCTGCGCGGGCTCCCTCACCCCCAGGGCCTCGGTCGCCTGGGCAGGGAATCGGGCACACGGCCCCGGGTGTTCCGGGCGGCGTGAGACCCCGGTGAGGCAGCGGCGCCGTCGCCGGGGGCGCGGACTCCCTGGGCCCTCGGCACTGCTCCCCCGGGACAGCCAGGCCGGACCGCGTCCTGCAGGCGGCCCAGGGGAGCCGCGTGCCTGCGGCCCCACGTGCGCGGTCCGGCCTCAGAGCCCCCGGCAGCCCGGCCCTCTCCCCTCCTCGCCTCTCCTGTCCCCTCCCCTGCAGCCGTGCCTGGTGGCTTCCTGCCGCCTGGTCATGGCCTCTCCTCTTTCCCTCCTGCCTCCGCCCACCCTCCGTCCCTCCGTTCACTTCCCTCCCTCCGTGTACCGCCCTTCCGTCGCCGATCCGCCCTCCCACCCCCTCTGACGGGGGCTCTCCTTCCATCCACCCGGTTGTCCATCTGTCTGTCTGCCCAGTCGTCTGTGCATCCCTTCGTCCGGGTGCCTGTGGACTCCTCCTCCTCCTGCTGCTTCCCTCCACGCAGTCATCCACCCATCTGCCCCCCACCATCCCCCTCACTGTCCCCTGTCCCCCCATCTAGCGCTGACAGGACGAGCCCAGTGTTCCAGGCTCCAGTCGAGAACCTGGGGCCGTAAGGAGAGAGGGGCTGAGGCCCCGTCCCAGTGGAGGGCGGGGGACACGGCAAGGGGACAGGCAGGCTGACGCGGACTCGGCGGGCGCCCGGGGCGGCCTGTGGACGCTCCCGTGGGGGCGGCGGGGGGGGCGAGGCGGGGGAGCGCCTGGAGCGGGGCAGCCGCCGCCGCGGGCCGTTCGGGGGGCGGGGGGCAGAGCGTCTGGGGTGGGGGCGGCGTGAGGCAAGGCCGCCCAGGGTTAGGGTCAGGCCCCAGCAAGGGGTCCTGGGCGCCTCGTCCCTGCCCTGCACAAGCCTGGCTTCCTTCGGTCACCGGCCACCGGGAGGCGGGGACGCTGATTCTGCGGGAAGACAAGTCAGGGCCTTCCCTGGCCACCAGGTGTCCCCACTGCCCTGCTCTCTGGCCCCGGTGCTGGGCTCCGTCGGTTCGGCAGCCGTGACTGCGGACGTCACGCTCGGTCGCCGCCATGGCTCCCGTGGCGCAGTTCCCCGGGGTGCCCTGCACCCCAACACCGGCGCCCCCCCACCCCGCGCCCCGCCGTGTGCACGCTCTCCTTCCAGCGCTGCGGGGCCCGCGCCCACGGGCAGGGCGGGCGGGGCTGAGGGGCGGCCCCAGAGCCCTCGGCGGCGGCCCCTCCCCCGCTCGCCTTCGCGGACGACTCGGTCTCGCTCCTTTGTTACCTCAGGGGCCGGGGGCGGCGATACAATGACGATGTTAATACTGTCAACCCCCGGGCACACAGCGTCCAGCTGCGCTGTGCCCTGGATTTGTGAATAGTGTTTTCTCTAGTTGCTCCGTGTCCCACACGGCTGCCACGCATCGCCCCACCTGCTAGCTGTCCGCCGGCCACCCGTCACCTTGCCTGTCCTCTGCTGCCCACCCAGGTCCGTCTCCCCACCTGCCTGTACTCGGCTGCCAGGCATTCTGTGTCTACCTGCCATCTGTCACCTATCGATCTCTCTCGCCGCCGGCCTGTCATCTGCGGCCCGCCGGCCCCCGTCCATCCGCCAGCATCCCCTGCGCCCCGAACCCCGCCCGCTCCCGGTCACGCCCACGCCCGCCCGGCGCCAGCCGTCCCTCCCCTGCCCTCTGTCTTGTGGGTTTCCATTTCCGGACGTTTAATGAGGGGGACTCACCCTCTGGGACCTCTCATGGCCGCTCCTGTCCCTCGAGCGGCGTCTGCAAGGCCCCCCAGGGCGCAGGCATGAGGTCTCTGTGCCTTCCCGCAGCGGATCGCTGCCCCAGGGCCGGCCGCGGTCTCCGGCCGCCCGGCTGCTGAGGGGCGTCTGAGCTGTAGGCCACTGTAGGTGGTGCAGCTGTGACCATCCCCGGCCGCGTGGCCGCGTGGGGTGTCCGTGTGGACGCGTGCTTTCCTTTCTCCTGGGCAGACACCTCGGAAGGGTCACACGGGGACTCTGCGTTGAACGTTCCGAGGGACCGCCAGACTGTTTTCAAAACAGCTGCGCTGTCTTCTGTCCCCGCCGGCTGGGGAGGGGGCGCCAGCTTCCCCACGTCCTCGCCAACGCTTGTCGCTGTCTGATTCCGGCCACCCCGGCGCGGGCAGCGAGGCCCCCGTGGTTGCGAGTTGCGTGTCTCGGATGACCAGTGGTGTTCGCCTGTTGTCATGAGCTTATTGACCAGTTGCGATTCTTCTTTGGAGAAACGTCCATTCACATGCTTCGCTCATCTTTAGGTTGTGTTATTTGTCCTTTTTTTCACTGTGAGGGTCTTTAATATCTTCTGGACACAAGTCTTTACTCACGTTTACGATTCGCCAATCTCGTCTCCTGTTCCGCTGGCGTCTCCGCGTCCTCGGTGGCGCCGCTGGAGCGCAGGGGTCCCCAGTCTGACCAAGGACAAAGCCGACGCGTGTTTCTTTGTCACTGCGGGTTTGGTGCCGTGTTTAGGAAGGCGTTTCCTAATTCAAGGCCACAAAAATTTACTCCTATGTTTCTTCTAAGAGTTTTATAGCTTTAGCCCTTTTACTTCGGTCTGTGGTCCATTTTGACTAGGTTTTGTGGGTGGTGTGAGGGAGGGGCGCAACTTCAGTCTTGGGGGGGGCTTCGGCCGCCCCGCACGCTGGCTGGAGAGTACTCCTTCCCCCGCGGGATTGCCTGGCCACCTGGTGGAGAGGAACCCCCCCGGGTGGATTTCTGGACCTTGGGTCCGACTCCGCCGAGCCCACCGTCTTGCCGTATGTTACACCCCTACGTCTTGTGCCAGTAGCTTTGTGGTAGTTTTGAACTCAGAGAGTGTGGGTCCTCCACTTGTTTTAAAGACTATTCTGGGTGCCTCGCATTTTCATCCAAACTTCAGGGCGAGCCGTCAGCGTCCCCACAAGGCCAGCGGAGGTTTCGGGGGGCTGTGCTGACAGAGCGGGCCAGCGGGGCAGGGTCCCCGCTTAGCGACAGGGAGCCTCTCCCAGACCCAAGTGTTGGCACTCCCTTGGGTCTCCTTTACTTTCTTTCCAAATTATTTCCTTGTCTTTAAATGAAGCCCTGCACTCCTTTAGTTACATTTACTCACAAGCACCTTGGCAATCTTTCCGATGATGTCAATGGAATTACTTGCTTCCGTTCATTTTGGACTGTTCCTTGCTTGTGAGTAAAATATGATTTTGCGTTCCTGTATGTTGACCTTGCGCCCTTTAGCCTTGGTGAACTATTTTGTTAGTTCTAACGGTCTTTTAGGGGGTCCTTCCGATCCTCCGGATGCGAGATCATGTCGTCTGCAAATGGAGGCCGTCGTATTCCTCCTCCTCCTCCAGGCCGGATGCCTGCTACCCCTTCCTCTCGCCTGAGCGCCGCCCTGGCGAGGGTCCTGCGCCACGTGGCGCGGCCGGGCGGGGGCGGGCAGCCTTCTCCGGGCTGGTCGCGCAGGATGAGCTGCCAATAAGTCTGCACCGGTGGCAGGTGTCCTTAGATGCGCTTCACCAGGGGCTTCCCTCCTGCTCTCAGACGGTCGAGTGCTTGTCACGGGAAGCGTGTTGGGCTCTGCCCAGCGGTTTTTCTGCCTCTATGGAGGGTAGCGGTTTTCACCCTCCGTTGACACGGTGTATCACTGAGGTTGATCGATCTTCAGGTGCTAAACCAACCTTGCCTTCCAGAGATAAATCCCACTGGGCCCTGCATCTCTCTCTGTCGATTATCTATCATCTCCTGCTCTCTCATAGATTAATATGGTATAATCTATCTGTCTAGACCTCATTCTATGGGTGTGATGAGGAAAGACCATAAAAGGATTAGCTGGTGTGTAAGCCCTTTTCTGTGTCCCTGCACTTGTCAGCTAGTATTTTGTTGAGGGTATTGCATTGCTACTCATCACTGTTACAACATCCCCTCAACCATTCCAACAGATCTGCCAAGCGCCTGTCCATAACATATTCTGCCCACTCGTACGGGCCAGAGAAATCATGAGAAGCCTGCAAGTCCCGATCCCTTCCCCGGGACACTGCCAGCGGCCTTCCAGGCCTCTCCGTCTGGACAGAGCCCTTGGCCTCGCTCGGCTGTGCCCCCAGGGCCTTCCCACCCTGTCTGTGGGTCTGCCACCCCGGATGCGTGACACGCTCCCTGGGTGCCCTCTGAGAAGAAGGGCACGCTTTTGTGTCGTGAATGAGCTAGAAAGTCTTTATTCCTTCCTCACACTGGATTGTCTGGGACTGGAGCTCTGCGTTTAAACCGCCCCCCAGAGCCCTGAAGGGGGGCCAGGTCTCCGGCCTTCGGGGTCGCTGTTCCCCCGCGTCGGGCTCGCCCGCTCGCCGAGCGCCGCCGGCTCAGTGCAGGCCCGGTCCGTGCGCGAGGCCGCCGCCGCACAGCTCCAGGGCTTCCGTCGGGGGAACCGTCCCGGGGGCTGCGCCAACGTTTCCTTCGGCGCCGTTTTCTGTTTCTGGGGCCCCTGGATGGGGGTGCTGCCCCCCAGGGCTGACTTGCCGATTCCCATGCTTTTTTGGCCTAATACCTGGAGGACGGTCTCGGCCGGACCCGACCCTTCTGTCGCATCTTCCGTTGGAGGATCCCGTTTCGTGTGAAGATGCCTTTCTTGGTCTGGGGTCTGGCCTCTGTCTTCCGGGCCCGATCTCCTCCCGTTTCTGAACCTCCTTTGCCCGCAGGCCGACCGGCAGCCGGACAGGCAGCAGGAGGGCCCCTTGCGGGGGTTGCGGGAAAGCCCTCTCCTTCTCTGGGGGACCCGGTGTCGGCCTCCGGAGCCTTCTCTGGGCCACGTGGTGCCTCCCCAGAAGCAGCTCCAGCCTGCTGTGGGGGGAGGGGTGCGGCTCACCCCACCTTCCCCGGCCGGCAGTGCCTGGGGACCCCTGACTCCAGAGCCAGACCTCGGGCCTCCCGCTGGGCGGCGCAGGGCCCTCGGCTGCCCCGGTGGGGGTGGGGGGACCTGGGCCCAGCTGCTCAGAAAGGACCCTAGGCCGCCTTCCTGTTCACATCCGGGCACGCACGCGCGCGCGCACACACACACACACACACATGCGCGCACACCCATCCTGCCCGTCACCCCACGCAGAGGGACCCGGGCCGGCCTCCCGCTCAGTCCCTGCAGGCTGGAGGGGCGGGGGCGGCGCACTGACCTGCTTGTTCAGTCCCCCGTCCCCCAAACCCCAGCTGCAGCGCGGCCCTCGCTGTCCCCCTGCACCCCCCACCCCCCTGTGTTGCTGGGATGTCCCTCCTGCTCCCTTCTCCCTCCGCTCCCCCTGCGCCCTCCCCTCGCTCCCTCCCCCTCCCCCTCCCCCTCCTTCATTCCCTCCCTTTTCACGTCTTTGCAGCCCTTTTATGGGGTGTGGGGAAGGAGAGACTGGCGTGATGCTGGTCTGTCCGCTGGGCACCCTGAGGCCCCGGTCCCCTCTGCCCTCGGGGCCGGACGGCGAGGAGGAGGCTGGTGGGCCCTCTGTGCGCCCGGGACCCCTGGGGGGGCGCTGACCCATGGCCTCTCCGCTCTGCCCTCCAGAACATGCCCAACGTCCGTGACCACGACGCCTCGGTCTACCTCCGCCTGCAGGGGGATGCCTTGTCCGTGGGCGGCTACGAGGCGAACCCCATCTTCTGGGAGGAGGTGAGGCGCGCAGGGAGCAGGGGAGGGGAGCGGGGCCTCGGCTCCGCGCGGGAGGCCCTCCCGAAGCTCCTCAGCGCTGCCCCTCAAGGGTCAAACCCCGGGAGGGCCTGGCACACAGGGCGACCCAGGCCCGGGGCAGCTGGGGGGCCGCCCTCAAAGCAGCAGCAGCTGGAGGCTGCAAAATAGTGAAATGGCAGCTTTCGAAGAACGTGAGGACGTTTCCATCCATCGGCCAACAACCCTGTGGCCCCTACCCCACCCCACCTGCGGCTGCAGCAGCGTCACCCCAGCCTGGGCTGCGCCCCTGGCAGCTTCTGGACTTGAGTGCAGACCCGGTGGCCCCTCGGCCACCTCGGGCACGTGTGGGCCACCCTCGCTCTTCTCTTCAGGCATTTAGTCCGAAACTGAATGACTAACTGACCAACGTGGGCTAGGTCCTGTTTTACTTTCTGGGGAAAGAGGGAAACAAAAATAAAAGTCCCTGTCCCAGGAGGCCTGTATTTTGGTGGGGAGACATACAACAAAGAAGTCATGAGGGCTCACTGAGGAGGTGGCCCTGAGCAGGGCCTGCGGAGAGCAAGGCAGGTGAGGGGCTGCCCAGGTGGAGGTGAAGGCCCGAGGCCAAGCTTGCCCGTCTCAAAGGCTGAAGGCAGGCCCGTGGGGCTGGGGGCCGGCGGTCGCTGTGGGCAGGGCCGGCTCACAGAGGGCTTCGCAGACCACAGTGGGGCTCGGGGACCCACCGGAAGCTCAGGGGCAAGAGGGGGCGTGATCCAACTTAGGGGAGCGGGTTGCGGGAGGGCGGGGAAGCAGGGCCCGCGGGAGAGCTGGGCAGGGAGCGACCGGCCCGCTGCAGGCTTGGGGACGGGGAGACAGGCCGAGGGTACCGTAGGGGACCGGGCATCCCTGCCGCTTCCGGGGGCGGTGTCCCAGGGCCCATCCCCGCCTCCCCCCACCCAGGTGTCGGACAACTTTGCTTTCGGCCTCTTCGACCTGGACTGGGACGTGTTCACCCAGCACATTGAAGGGGCCATCAACCGGGTGCCCGTGCTGGAGAAGACAGGGGTCAAGTCCACAGTCTGTGGCCCAGGTGAGTGGGGCGGCCTGGGGCGGGGCGGGGCGGCTTCGGGTCACCTGGCTGACCCCGGGGGCTGCCTGTGCCCGGCAGGAGCCGGGAGTCCCTGCACTTTCTCGCCTCCTCCCAGCGGCCTGGGTGGCAGGCACTGCTCCACTGCTCTCTGCAGGCCGGAGGCCGGGGCTTGGCAGGGGCAGGAACCTGCCCCCAACGGGCACACGGCTGGGCTTCTGGCCGCCCCAGCAGGAGCACCTCCTGGCGTCCCGGGCTGGGCCCCAACCGCCACCCGACTCGCCTCTGGGCCTCGGCTGGGTCACCTGTAAAGCGGGCTAAGCGAGGACCCTGCTCACAGGACTGAAGGCCACCGTGCAGCCCAGCCCCAGTCCCCAGCTCTCCTGCTTTCCAGAATGTTCCATCCGGCTGGCCGGGACCCGGGGCCGTCGGCCGCACTCCCGAGGGTGGACGGACAGGCGCCGACCCGGCCCTGCTCTCTGCCCCAGGGAGAGCTGGACCAAGGGGTTGGCGCAGAAACAGGACTGGGACGGGGCGTCCAGTTCCCAGGTCCCCAGACGGCAGGCGGAGCACAGCCCCCGCCCCCGCCCCGCCCCCGCAGGCCGGGGGCGCAGACCCACAGAGCCGAAGTGCTTGGCCGGGCCACCAGCTCGAGCCTCTGCAGGCTGCCCGCCCGGGCCAGGCCTCGGGACACAGTGCTGAGCAGAGCCCTGCCCTGGCCCACTGGTGCTCACGGTCCAACGGGCAGGAGCGACCGGTGACAAGCCGGCAGGAAGATGGGGCGGGGAGGGGGGCCGTGCGCTGTGCCGGGCGTGCCGGGGGAGGCCCCTTGGCGGCGACAGAACGCAGGAGGCGGCGAGGCTCACCCGGACCCGTACGGAGAAGTCGGCTCAGGGCGACGGTTCTGGCCGTAACTCTGGAGGCACCCCGGGGACGGGGGCAAGAGCAACCTGGGAGGCTCCCTGGAAGAAGTGGCACTGAGCTGGGTCCCGAGGGTGGGGAGGGCCTGGAGGAAGGAGGCGCTTGGAGAGCCCCGCCTCTCGGGGACCTGCCGCTGCGGCCACTGGGTGATGCAGCCCCTCCCTTCCCACAGAGTCCTTCACCCCCGATCACAAGCCCCTGATGGGAGAGGCACCCGAGCTGCGAGGGTTCTTCCTGGGCTGCGGCTTCAACAGTGCAGGTGAGCGCAGCCCCCGGCACCGCGTGGCCTCGCCGCCCCTTCTCCGAGTTCCCCGGGGGTCTGAGGGGCTGGCCCCGGAGCCCTGCGTCCCCCGTACCCCGGACAGGGGTGGAGACAGGGAGGCCTGCAGGGACCGGTGGGGCCCCATTAGAAGGCAGGCTGCACCCCGGGTGTGCGGTCCCAGGCCCGGGGAGCGATGCTGTGAACCGGGGTGAGCAGCCCTGGGGCGGACTGCCCACCGTGGCTCCACGCCTGCAGGGATGATGCTGGGCGGCGGCTGCGGCCAGGAGCTGGCCCACTGGATCGTCCACGGACGCCCGGAGAAGGACATGTACGGCTACGACATCAGGCACGTGCACAGTGAAGTCCGTGGGCCGGGGGTTGGGGCGCGGGCGGCAGGGGCCTCCTTGCCAGCTGCCCCTGGGGCTGGAGCATGCGGTCAATAGGCAGGGCTGTTGAAAAGGAGCCTCCCTGGAAATCCGGAGGGCTTCTGGGAGGAGGAGGCAGCAGGGGAAGACAGGGAGGAAGGCTGGCAGCCTGGCCGGTGCCGGGGGCCAAGGGTCCGGCAGCTCCATGCCCTTTGCAAGTTCCGGGGCCTGCAGCCCGTGTCTTGCCCCGCCTGCCAGATGGCTCCAGGACCAGCAGCGGGACCCGGTCTCTCGCTGGGCGGATGGGGCGGCTGAGGCCCGGGAGTGAGTGGGTGGCGTGGGGCGCCTGGCACAGGCTGCCCAGCTGCGAGGCTGAGCTGGGGGGAGGGTTGTTCGCAGGTGAGCGTCCAGGTGGACGAGCCAGCGGATGGCAGCCCCGCGGCGGTGCCCACGGAGAGGCGGGCGGAGGGGCCGTGGGGGGAGGGCGAACGGAGAGCCAGGAGCTCCTCCTGACGTCCGAACCCCCGGGAGGGCTCTGGCAGGGGAGCTGAGGGTCCGGCTGTGCCCCGGGGCCCCCGTCCTTGGCCGGCCCTTCCCCGCCAGGCCCCCGGCGGTGACGGTCCCCTGCGCCCGCAACAGGCGCTTCCACCACTCGCTCACCGGCCACCGCCGCTGGATCCGCGAGCGCAGCCACGAGTCCTACGCCAAGAACTACTCCGTGGTCTTCCCCCACGACGAGCCCCTGGCCGGCCGCAACGTGAGGCGGGACCCTCTGCACGAGGTGCCCGCTCTGCGCCGGCCCCGCCCCGGGAGGGGTGTGGGTGACAGAGTGCACGCGGGACCCCACCTGCGGGGCAGCTGGGGACGGGGTGGCGCGTGCGCTCCCAGGTGCTTCTGGCAGAAGGTGCGCAGAGCGCGCGCCTGGGGAGCCCTCTGGGGCGCCAGCGGGGGCGGGGCAGACTCGGCTGCTGCCCGCCTGGCCTGGCGTGCGGGCGTCTGACCCGGCGTGAAGGGCGCTGTCCTCCCCCACCCAGGAGCTGGTCGCGCGGGGCTGCGTGTTCCAGGAGCGGCACGGCTGGGAGCGGCCAGGATGGTTTCACCCAGGAGGCGCGGCTCCGGTGAGCACCCCCCACCGCCGCCCACACCTCCCCTCCCGCGGTGCCCGCTGCTGGGCTCTCCACCGGCGCAGCCTGCCCGCCGGCTGCCCGCCTGCCCGTGACCCCGGGGCCCTTCCTCTGCGGGGCTCCCCATGGGCGACCCCTCTTCCGCAGGGGCCGGGCCTGCCTGGTCCAGATGGTCCCCAGGCAGCGCCTGCTCCTGGGGGCGGGGGGCGGGGCGGCAGGTCAGCACACGCGACCCCTCGCGCAGGCTGCAGGAGAAACTAGAGCATCGTCTCATGATTTTGTTCCTATATTTTTGGCAACTGCTACTGCTCGTCTTTGTGAGTGGGAGGACCGAGCAGAGCACTGGGCCTTCTGTGCGTTCCTGTGTGAGCTGGGTCCTCACAGCGTCCCGGCCTCTGGGGGCGGCCCACCCCCCGCCCCAGAGAGGAGAGTCACCACCCCCGGCTCGGAGCCCCTGGGGCCGGGCGTCCGGGGCAGGCCCTGGGGCGCTTTCGCCCGACCGGGGACGCAGTCGGTCCTGATTTGAACAAGTTGGAACCGCTCTCCTGTTGCTGCTTTGCCCTGTCTGGTGCAGCCCGTTTCCACCCCCACAGCAGCCCGTGGCCCCAGGCGGGCGTGTGGTGGCCGTCGCCGGGCGCTCGGGGGCCGGGCCTCCCGGCACAAACCTCGGGGTGGCCTGGGAGAGCAGAGGAGCCCGAGTGCCTGGAGACGCAGGCGGAGCGGCTGCCTCTCGGGGCGGAGGCGGGGCCGCTCGACCTGCAGGCCGACCCTCTCCCCCGCAAGTCCGTGGGCAAGGGGAGGAAACAGGAGTGGGAATCGGGGACACGCCCTGGGCCGCGAGGTGGGCAGGCTCCCACCTGGGGCCATCCTGGGAGTCCGGGGCACCGGGCGAGCAGACGACCCCCACGTCCCTGACCCGCAGCCAGGCCGCAGTGGCTGGGGTGTCCCTCTGACGTCTCAGGGGCCGGGGGGCCGAACCTGGCCGAGCCGGGGACTCTGGTGAAGGGGCCCCCCCCCGGAGGCCGGGGGCCCGGCTGGCGCTGGGGCAGCAGAGAGCCCCGGCTCAGGGTGACCCTCATGGTCAGCTCTCATCTGTGGAAAGGAGGGGAGACTGGGCGGGGGGGAGCTGGTGGGCTGGCTCCCACCTTTCAAGCAGCCAGTGCAACGAGGAGGAGGAGGAGGAGGAGGAGGAGGGGGAGGAAGGGGAGGGGCGGGCAGGAGCGGGCCGGGTTGCTGGCTGGCCCAGCACAGGACATGTTAGGACAAGAGGCGGCCGAAGAGCCAGCCTCGGGCCACCCGGGGTCATGCTAAGCTCTGGCCCGTGCTCACTGTGACCCGGGATATTGTACTATCTCTGTGCCTCGGTTTCCACGCTGTAGAAAGGACCCTCCTCCTCGGGAGAGGGCCGGGCCCAGAGCAGGGCGGGGTCCCGGATCGCCGTGGCAACGGCCTCGGGCGTGGTGCCGGGCGTCCGCGCCTTGTCCCCGGCCCCGGCCTCCCCGCTGCCTTGGCATGGAGTGATGGTGGCCCTGAGGTCCTGTCGGCCCGCCCCGCCTCCCCCCTGTGAGGACACCCAGCTTCTTCCCCTTCCTCCCGGGGCCCCTCAAAGACCTGCCACCCGGCCGCGTGGGGATCACGGGGCCCCCCGTGCACATGGTCCCGGAGCGCCCGCACCCGCCGCCGCCGCCCTCCCGTGTCCGCAACGCGCTCGCCTGGTCGCGAGGCAGCGCGGACAGGGCAGGCGGGCGGGGAGGAGGGAGGAGGCGGGGACCAGGGACGACTGCGCCCTTCCCCAGGTCCTGCACTACGACTACTACGGGGCTTACGGGAACGAGGCGCACAAGGACTACGCCTACAACCGGCTGCTGGGGGACGACTACACCTTCGACTTCCCGCCCCACCACGACGTGGTAGGTAGCCCTCCCGCCCCGCCCCGCCCCGCCCCCGCCCCATGTCCCGCAGGCCTGGCCCGGCACAGCTCCGGCCCTGGCGCCCGCTGTGGCCTGTCCCTGTTTGGGGCCAACTCCGTTTCCGGGAGCGACAGGTGACGCGTTCCTCTCCCACGCAGCTCCCTCCGTGGGTGCCAAGACGCGGCCGGCCGCTCGGCTCGAGGGCAAGGCTGCTGCCGGGCTGGGGTCTGGCTGCGTGGCTTCCGCCTCCCCGAGCCTCCGTCCGTCTGCCCTGGGAGCTGTTTGGGGGGCCGTGCGAGCTTTTGCGAGAGGCCTCCTCTTCTTTCTGGGGCCCCGCGTGGTGGGCTCCCCCCGCAGCCCTCACAGAACAGGACCCCCCTGGGACAAGCAGAGGGGTCCCGGGGTGGGGGTGGGGGGCGTGCTCTGGGGCCTGTTCGCTGCCCCTTGTGCTCCAGGCAGGGTCGGTGGGCAGGTGGGGCTGGTCCGACAGGGCGCCTGGCGGCTCACAGCCCCTCGCCCAAGCGCCTGGCTCCCCACTCCTGTTGAGGGGGAGGTGACAAGGTTGGGGCCGGGCCTTCCCCCGAGTCTGCAGCACACGGGGGGGTGCTCACCGGCAGCCTTTGCAGAAGACACAATGCAGGGTGCTCTGCCGTCCCGTGCCGCAGTTACCAAGTCGCACGGTGCTGTCCCGATACCCTCGGCTGACTGGAGTGCCGGGCGACGTCCGCTCACGCCTCCGTGCGCGAGTGGGGCCGAGGCCCGAGCCCAGGGTCCCCAGAGCCCAGGGAGGCCTGGGAAGCACCCCTGTGGGGCCCCGGCTGGGCGCCTGAGGGTCAGGCAGCAAGAACGGTGCCCTGGGCCCGGGACGCACGCAGACCCGCGGGGCCCCTCGCTCAGGGGCGCCCTGGCCGGCCTCAGCGCCCCGTGGTCGCGCCTGGACACTCTCAATGCTTTCAAACGAGGACCCACAGGTCCGTGTGCACTGAGCCCCACAATCCGGCAGCCACCTCGAAGGGAAGGGACCCCGACGCGGCTTCCGTAGGGAAGCCCCGTTAAAGGCCTCGAAGGGAGCCTCGCAGAGGACCGGGAGGCGTGAGTGTGTGAAGCTCAGAGTCCCCTGGGCGCCTCTGAGGAGGGAGCGGGGCTCCGTCTGGCACCTCCGCACCGCAGCTTCCGAGGCTGGCGGGCGTTCTGCCTGCGAGGACGCGGGAGCGGGAAGGGGTGCCAACTTGGCTCCCGGCTGCGTGCAGCCCGCGCGTCCTCGGAGTGAGCAGCTGCCCGGGCCCGGGAGGCAGCAGGCAGCCCAGGCAGCGGCTTCGGGTTTGGTCGAGGCCCAGCACTGCAAGCGGAGGCGCCCACAGCGGTGGCCGGAGCTCCGTGAAGGGCGACGTGTCTGTGGGGTGGGGGAGGGGCGCGCCCCAGTGTCCAGGGCGCGGGCGCGGGCAGACCCCACGGGGGCTGTTGGAGCACCGGCTCTCGGGGGAGAAGCCGGCACCCCTGTGCGGGCCAGTTTCCCTGGGGCGGACCCTCCCACCGTCCTCTCGGTCCGACCCGCCCACGGGGCCTGGGCGCAGAGTTGGGGAGACGCACGGCCGCCCCCTCTCAGGGTCGTGCGCGGCCCAGCAGCCTGGCGGCCTGGGTGGCGCTGCCGTCCCCGGCCGTCCGCCCTGCGTGCTGCTGTGGGCGTGTGTGTACAAGCCTGTGTGCGGACAGGTGTGTGCGGACAGGTGTGCGCTTCTCTCGGGCAGAGGGACGGCACCCAGCCGTGGAGCCGCTGGTCCTGCGCTGGCTCGGGGTTGACGTTTTGAGGCGCTGCCAGCTGTCTTCCAGAGCGGCCGCACCGTGTACACCCGCGCCGGCCGTGCGGGGGCTCCAGCGTCTCCGCGGCCTCGCTGGCGCTTGTGGTCGTCCGTTGGAGGGGCGCCTGCGGGTCGCGTGTCTCTGGTGCCGGCAGGTGTTCGCACCTTAGCAGGGGCTCGTTCGTTTCTTGTTTGGAGAAACGTCATTCACGTCCTTGCTCATATTTAAATTGTGTTATTTAACTTATCTTTCCATCATGAGGGTCTTTTATATATTCCGATACAAGCCCTTTGTCAGGTGTATGATTCGCAAATGTTCTCTCCCGTTCTGGGGGCGTCTCCCCGCTTGCGCAATGGCGCCGCTGGAGCGTAGGAATCCCCAGTTCTCGCGAGGTACAGCCGATGCGTGTTCCTTGGTCCCTTGGGCCTTCGGTGCCCGTTTAGGAAGGCGTTTCCTCACCCAGGTTCACGAAGGCTCACTCTCATTGCCTCCCTCTGAGAATTTTGCAGCTTTAGCCCTACTACTTGGGTCTGTGGTCCATTTTGACCAGGTTTTGTGGGTGGTGTGAGGGAGGGGCCCAGCGTGATTCTTGCAGGGGGGCTTCGGCCGCCCCGCATGCTGGCTGGAGAGTACTCCTTCCCCCGCGGGATTGCCTGGCCACCTGGTGGAGAGGAGCCCCCCCGGGTGGATTTCTGGACCTTGGGTCCGACTCTGCCGAGCCCACTGTCTCGCTGTATGTTACACCCCTACGTCTTGCGCCAGTAGCTTTGTGGTAGTTTTGAACTCAGAGAGTGTGGGTCCTCCACTTGTTTTTAAAGGCTATTCTGGGTGCCTCGCATTTTCATCCAAACTTCAGGGCGAGCCGTCAGCGTCCCCACAAGGCCAGCGGAGGTTTCGGGGGGCTGTGCTGACAGAGCGGGCCAGCGGGGCAGGGTCCCCGCTTAGCGACAGGGAGCCTCTCCCAGACCCGGGACGTCGCCCCACTCACTTGGGTCTCCTTTGACTCCTTTCCAAATATTTTTTCGTCTTTAGATGAAATTTTATGCGTCTTTTGATAAATTTATTCATAAGCACGTCAGCGCTCTTTTTGACGTAAACGGAATTACTTGCTGAGTTTCACTTTGGATTGTTCGTTGCTAGTGGGTAGAAATACGACCGTTTCTGAGTGTTGTCATACGTTCACCTCGTGACCTGCAGGCTTGGTGAGGCGTTTCCTTAGTTCTGACCGGTTTTCAGTGAGTGGGTGAGGATTTCCCAGATGCGAGATCTTGTCGTCTGCAAATAGCGGCGGTTTTCCTCCTCCCTCTCCGGGTGGGTGCCTCTCATCCCTCCTTCTTGCCGGAGTGGCCTGGCGAGGGCCCCTGGGAGGCGGCGGAGCCGGGGCCGCACCCTGCCGCTCAGTCGCGGGGACGTCTCGTCCGGGTCGGCAGCGGCAGCCGCGGGTTCCTGCTCCCGCTGCAGCCGGCTCTCCTCCCGTGCTGGGCTCGCTTGGCCTTGTCCTGAGCGGGAGCTGGGTCTTGTCAAACGCGTTTTCTGCATTGGTTCTTGCTTTCCTTCTGCTTCCTTTGGGTTTAACTTGCTCTTCTTTTCTGGTCTCAAAGCGGAAGGTTAGGGTCCTGCTCTGGGCGGCTTCTCGAACGTCAGCGTCCATGGGTGCGAAGGCCGCGCCCATGGGTTTCCACGTGTTGTGAGCTTATCACCCCTCACCTCACGGTGCTTCCTAGTTCCCCTTGCGATGCCTTTGCTCAGCCTCCTGGTGATTCAGGAGCATGTTGTTTAACGGCACTTATTTGAGAATTTTCCAATGTCCTTCTACCGCGTCTGGTTTTACGGCCGAGGGACGGCCATGGGCACGTCCCCTGTGCTCGGGGAGAATGCCGCAGGGTTCCTGAGCCAGAGGGGACGCAAGGGAGGCTCAGGGGGGGTGGTGGCCCCCCTCAGAGCCCAGCGTGCACCCTGGAATCTTGCAGATCAAGCGGGAGTGCCTGGCCTGCCGCGGGGCCGCGGCCGTCTTCAACATGTCCTACTTCGGCAAGTTCTACCTGCTGGGCGTGGATGCGGGGAAGGCCGCCGACTGGCTCTTCTCCGCCGACGTCAGCCGACCCCCAGGTATGAGGTCTGGGCTGGGTCCGCCCCGCCCCCGTGCAGCGCCAGGCGGAGCTCCGTGGGCACAGCCCTGGGCACCGGGAGAAGGTGGCAGCTGACCCCGTCGCCTCTGGGCTCCTCCCGCCCATGGCCCTGCCCGGGGCCCTTGCCGCCGACACCCAGGCACGGGGACAGGGCAGCCCCCCCTCATGCTGGTCCCCCTGGGGGGATGGCAGCGTGGGGGACCTGCCGCCCCCTTAAGGCCGTGGTGGCATCGCCGCGCTGCAGGCTCTTTCCGGGGCTCCCTGACATGCGGTTCTCCGGACGTGCGTGCGGCCTGTGCTGAGCTCTGTGTGGCTCCCGGTGGCACGGACGGAGGGACCGACAGATGGCCTTGCTCCCACCCAGGCTCCACCGTGTACACCTGCATGCTGAACGCGCGCGGCGGCACCGAGAGTGACCTGACCGTCAGCCGCCTGGCCCCTGGCCCTGAGGTCGCCCCCCTCGCCCCTGCCTTTGAAGGTAAGCGGGTCAGAGGCCTGGCGTCCCCGGTGGGACTCAGGGTCCCCAGGGCGGGGGTCGAGCTGTGGCCAGGCCCTGGGAGAGGGAGGCGAGGCTAGAGGCAGGGGTTCACTGGCCAGTGACAGCCCAAGGGGTCCCCGGGGGTCAGGCCGGAGCATGCGGGACCCAGCAGGAAAAACAGGAAGGTTCTGGCCCACGTGGGGTCCGTATCTCTGCTGGGGGCGGGGCGGGGCGGTGGGTCAGGCTTGCCTCGCTGCCCATGGGGTCCTTGCGGTTGATTTGGGAGCCGAGGGCTGGCGGGTTCTCCTGGGCCTCGGAGGTGGCTGCTGAACTCAGTGTCACCAGAGTAGCCCTGGCCGGCGAGAGGCTGCAGCGGACGCGCGGCTGGGAGCATGGGGGAGGGTCGCCTGGGGGCCGTGGCTCCTGCTGTGGCTGACGTGGCAGCCAGGAAAGCCATGGGCTTAGCCAGCACACGTGTGCCCCGTGCAAGCATGGAGTCCTCCGCCCGTTTTCCCCCTCAACCGTGATTTGTGGGGACGATGCAGCCGGTGGGGCCTCCCGGGCCTCGCTGTGGACGGTCCAGACAGACGGGCACGGGTCGGGGGTCTGTGAGAACAGTGGGTGAACGTGGGGGTTGGGAGGGCACGGGTGATGGGCGGTCGTGGGCAGCGGCTGAGCCAGGGTGAGGAAGGCTTCCCGGAGGCGGTGACGTCTGGCCAGGCCTGCGCTGCGAAGGGTCCGAGCGGGAACCTGGCGGTGGCCGGGGGGCCGGGAGTGGCCTCCCCGAGCCCCGGTCCCCGACGTGGGCAAGGCGGGAATCCGGGAGATCGGGCGCGTGGGAACGTGGAGCGAAGTGGAAGCCGGCGAGCACCTGAGCCGCAGAGAGGACAGGACATGCGTCCGGGCTGCCCGGCCCCGGCTGAGGTGCTACGCAGACTCTCCCGTGGCGACGGGGTGTCACGGCGCCTCTGCTTTCCTGCGTCAGGAACCTCTTTGGAAAGTGAAAAGCCTCAGACTCTCCCAGAAAAGCCCTCGGGGGTCCCCCGCCCCAGCCCCTGCCCCCAGCGACGGTCCCATGTTTTGTCCTGGGTGCCGTGGAAACCGAGGGCCCGGGGCGCGGGCTGGGCCGGTCACTGAGCTCCGGTGGGTCGGTCACGTTCAAGGAAAGAGCGCTTGTTTTCTCGGCGCAGAGGCGCAGGCCGCCCTTGCGGCCGGCCCCGTCCCCCAGTCCTGCTCCAGGTCTGGCGCTTCTCTTCCAGGGGACGGCTTCTACCTGGCCGTGGGCGGGGCCGTGGCCCAGCACAACTGGTCCCACATCACCACGGTGCTGCAGGACCGGGGGTTCCGGTGCCAGCTCATCGACCGCTCGGAGGACCTGGGCATGATCAGCATCCAGGGCCCGGCCAGGTGAGGACGGGGCGGGGGGGGCCAAGCAGCGGGGCGCACCTGCGGCCCTGACCCTGGTCCCTCGCCGGGGACACGCGACCAGAGCCCCTCCCCAGTCCCGAGTGGGATAGTCTGCCGGCCGAGCTATCTGCTGAACTGGAGACCCCGTTCCGGGTCACTCATTTCCAAAGCTCCAGGGTCAGAAAGCCCTTCACGTGAGAATCAGGCCGAACCCGCCAGGGAGCCAGTGAGTCTGAGGACTCAGGGGTCACGGAAGGGTCCCTGGGTCACTGGTACAGTCTGAGGATTCGGTGTGCCTCCCAGCAGTGGGCGGAGCCCAGCCGGCTTCCGCCGGCTCCCTGGGCTGAGAAGAGCGCCCACACTGAGAAGTCACCGTGCTCACCTCCCCAGGCGCCACTGGGGATGGGATAGGAGGGGTCATTCGCTCATTCATTGGTTTTATAAGTATTGATAGGACATTCCCATCCACAGCCCAGGAGAGGGGAGGGTCACAGCAAAGCGGCCCCAGGGCAGGTGGCTTTGGCAAGGCCCTTCTGTCTGCGGCTTCGGAGGCAGCTGGGGGACAGGCGAGGAAGCGCCATGCGGTGACAGCCACCAAGCAGCCCCTGCTGCGTGCCCGCCCTGGGCCGGCGGCCTCCCTCCCAGGCCGAGCCGTAGCTGCCTTTGTGGGCGCCGCTCGGGCACAGGGCTGACGCGCGCTGCGTGCTGGCCGAACAAGCGAATCAGGGCGGAGGGGGTTGCGTGCTTGAACTGTTTGATTTCCGGCTGCCCCGGAGACCCTAACCTGTAACAGGGACGTTCGGGCATAGCCCCAGAGGAAATGCGGGATCAAGCCCCGGAGCGGTCTGGGGGGACAGCCGGTGAAGTCCCCATGGCAGGAGACGCCTGGCCTGTGTGTGTGTGTGTGCGTGTGCGTGTGTGCGCGTGCGCACGGCAGGGGGCGTAGGCAGAAGGCAGCAAAGCTGCTCATTTGGGTGGAGCTGGGGGGCTGAGCTGAGAGACCTGGCTCGGGCTCTGACAGGGTCTCTGATTCTGAGATAGGGGACGGAACCTCACAGGCATGTGAGGGTCTCAGGGGCAGGTGAAGCAGAGGTTTCGCAGAGGGGGCGATGGGCTGGATCCCCATGGTCAGTGGATCAGCAGGACGAGGACAGAGTTGACCGCTGGGGGCGGAACAGCGGTGCCTGCGGAGGACTTGATGGGAGCTGCCTGAGGGCCGGCCGGAGAGAGGGCGGGGAGGGTCGGTGGGGGTCGGAGTGCGCAGGGCGGCGGACGGCCCCCCGGCAGCGAGAGCAGCCGCGCTAGACAGTGCCCAGCGCCCGCCCGCAGGAGCCCCGGGCGGGGGTGGCTGGGTTCCGCTTCTGCCCTGGGTGGCCCGGCCTCCCCATCGTCGGGGCGAATGGGTGTGGGGGTCCTGCCCCCGCCCCAGCTCGAGGCCTGGCTCTTGGAACTCGGGGCTTCACAGACACGGTGGCCTTGGGCGGGAGCAGGGGAGTGACTCGCTGCTGCAGGCGGCTGGTGCCGTGGCCCCCGCAGGGCGACCACCCCCCGCCTCCTGGGAATTCCCCACCCTTCGCCGGCACACACAACCCCGGGCCTCTTGTGTGAACGACGACGTCCCCACCGCCGCCGACCAGGGCTACGCTCTCTGAGGGATGAGGAAGCGCTTCCCACAGCGCCCGGGCCCAGGGGCGCCGTGCGACGCTGTCGGGCAGAACTTTCGGGAAAGTCTCCATAACGGGCAGGACGGTGGCGCCGGGCCCTCCATGGCCATGGAGCCCTTGCAATGGAGCGGATGCGCCTGCGGGTCTTTGGTTTTATTTTGAGAGGGGCGGGGGAGAGAGAGGGGGAGAGAGAGAGAGAGAGAGAGGTATCGATGCACTCACTGGTTTCCCCTGTACGTGCCCTGACCAAGGACCGAACCCACAACTGTGGCAGGTCAGCGTGATGCGCTACCCCGTGGGGCTACCTGGCCAGGGCAGAGTTTTATTTATTTATTTTCAGAGAGAGGGGAAGGGCGGGAGAAAGGGAGGGAGAGAAACGTCCCTGTGTGGCTGTCTCTTGCATGTCCCCTACTGGGGACCGGCCCGCAACCCAGGCCTGTGCTCTGCCTGGGTTCGAACCAGTGACCTTTTGGTTCACAGGCTGGCGCTCAGCCCACTGAGCCACACCAGCCAGGGCTGGCGTTTTTAATTTTAATCAACTCCAGTGGCCACGCGTGGCTGGTGGAGGCGGCACAGAAGCAAACATCAGTTCTAATTATCAGCACGTGTTGTCTTGCTGATTCCTCGCAAGGGCCCTGTGGGGCTGCCCGGGGGAGCAGCCGGGAGCCAGGGAGGGCGGGGGCGGGGCTGCGAGTGGAGGAGCTGGGACTTGAACCAGAGCCTCTGGCCCAGAACGTGTGCTCTCCAGCGCCACCTGCTGGCACCCAGGGGAGGGATGGCCACCGGCTCCCCAGAAGGAGCTCCCCAGGCCTGGGCGCCAGCTGCCAGTCCTCGCCCCCTTGGCCTGGGCGGGATGGGTGCCCGGAGCCACGGTGGCCCTCGCGCTGCCGAGCCCCTTCAAACCCTGGGCCTGGCGAGGAAACCACTGGAGTGGCCCCCGCCCCAGCGTCCCTTGGGGCCGCAGACAGGACCTGCCCTGTGGGGTCGGGGTCTGGGTTCTCTGGTGCTGGCTCCCCATGGGTCCCAGGAAGGGAGAGGTTGTTCCGGAAGGACCTGGGCCCCTGGGGCCGGCACGGGTGGGCAGCTCTTAGCACCACAGGCATGGGCCTGTGGGTGGGCAGTGGCCCCCGTGCCCTGCGGACCCCCTGTGGGACAGGAGTGGGGGGCTATCTCTTGCCAGTGGGGCGCTCGCCCTGCGGTGCAAGGTCAGGCTGTTCTCAGCCGGCCTGTTTTCCCAGCACCCTCTCTGTGCCGGCGCGGAGCGGGCACACCCACGGCGGGAACACCCTGGTGGGGCGCACCTGACCAGACTCAGGGAGTCGGGGAGGACTTCCTGGAGGAGGCGGCAGCCGGGCCGAGGCCTGAACAGTGACTAAGGGCCGGGTCAGGGGAGGGGGTGGGAGTGGGGAGGGTGCAGAAGGAGTGAACCACGCCAGCAGGGAGGCGAGGGGCTGGGGGCCCGGGAAGTGGTGTCCAGGGACACAGGGAGGTCTCGGCAGCGTGGACGCCAGCCTGCGGGCACGCGGGGTGGGGGTGGGAGTGAGCCCTGCCCTCAGGGGCTCCCGTGGGATGCGGGTAGGCAACCGTCGGGGCCCCGGTTCGCCCACCTGGGGAAGGCGCGCCTTGCGGGGGCATCTGCGGGCCCGGCCTCCAGCCGGGTCTGCTGCTGCTCCGTCGTTCTGACCTGCGTTTGGTGCCTGTGCGCCTCAGCGCGCTTTCACGACGGCCGCGTCTGCTGTCGGCGGTCCCGTGAGGACAGGGCTTGTCCTGCGTGCCGCTCTGTCCCCCGCGCGCTCCCGGGGCAGGGCACGCGCCCAGGTGCGCCCAGGGAGCGTTTGCTGACCGACCGACCGACCTTGCTTTCTCGCAGCCGGGCCGTTCTCCAGGAGGTGCTCGACACAGACCTGAGCAACGAGGCCTTCCCGTTCTCCACCCACAAGCTGGTGAGGGCCGCCGGGCACCTGGTGAGTTCCCGCCGCCCTCTGCGCTGTGGGCGGCCGCCGCTGCGCGCTGCAAGGAGGGGGCCTGGGGCTGGACGTGGGAACCCCCGTGCCCTCGGGCAAGGCCCTCTGCCTCCCCGGACCTTGGCCCCCCCGGTCAGGTAGAGACCACGGTCCTGCCCGCCGGCCGTCCGGACCTCCCAGGGCCGACGGGTCCTCGCTGGGTGCCCGCTGAGCCGCACCCGGTGCCCGGGCCCCCGGGGGCTCCGTCCTGCGCTTCCGCCGGGAAGGCAGCCTCAGTCGTGCCGCCCGCACGGCCGCCCACGGTGTCCCCTCCCGGGAGGGGCAGGGTGGCCGTCACTGCCTCTGCCTCCTTGGGGTGACAGGGCTGCCGACAGTGGGGCTCCAGCAGGTCCCCGCCTCCCCCGAGGAGCTCGTCCTCCGGTGGCAAGTCCCTCCCCGGACCCCGGCGTGCCGGGTGGGGAAGGGGCGCTGCTCGGGGTGGGGGGCCCCGCCCATCCCAGGAGCACCCCCGCCTCCCAGCGCAGACAGTGTAAGACCCGGGCCCGAAGCTTCTGAGACCTCGGACAGCGTCAGGGCTCCCTCAGAGGCCCCGGGGCCAGGGCCCCGGCCCAGCGCCGCGTCCAGCACGTCCCTTTCCCGGCCTCGGGGTCCTTGCCGGAAACGAGGGACCGCGCACTCCGTGCTGCCGTCCTGAGGCCGAGGGCGGGCGAGGGGAGCGTGACAGGAAGAGTCCCACCGGCCACTATCTGCTGCGGGCCCTGCGTCCCGGGCCCTGCCCCAGGCCCGCTCACCCGCGGGCTGTCCGCGGGCCCTCACGACAGTGCGGGCGCTCCGCCGTCACAGGCGGCTTGGCCGCGGCACGCGGACGTTCTCGAACATTCTGTGGCGGGGCCGTCCTGGGCGCTGCACGGTGTGTAGCAGCGACCCGGGCCTCCAGCCGCCCCCTGGTGCGGAGGCCACAAATGGGTCCAGACGGGAGGGATGTCCCCGGGGGACAGAATCGCCCACAAGCAGGTCGGGTTACCCACAAGCAGGGGCGGCCCGCACGCGGGCGCGGTCACAGCCTTGGGCGCGTTACCCCGAGGACGGGCTTCCTCCCGGGGGGCTCGGAGCGGGTCCCCAAGGCGGCCCAGCCCACAGGACAAGAAGCACAAACAAACGCGTGTGAATGAAGCAGATGCGGCCGTGAGGGCGGGCTGGGCAGACAGACAGACGGCCAGGCAGACGGCCCTTTTCTCATCTCACACGCTCGCCTGGGGCTCTGGGCGGGCAGCGTGCGGGGGGACCCTGGGGGGGCCCTCCTGGCCGGCGCAGGGGCTGGGGTCGGGACGCGTCTGGGTCCTGTTAGCAAATACACGGCATCGCGATGACATCGGTGAAGAGGCTGCCAGAGAGGGACGGGACACAGGCAGGACGGGGGAGCCGGCCGGGGGGCTGGCGGGGCTCCGCTCCCGCCTGCGCTCTCCGGAGGCCGCGCTGGGGAGCGGGAAGCTGGGGTGGGGGGGTCCTCTGTCTAGCTCGCTTCCTGCCCCCTTGGTGCAGAGCAGCCTGCTGGGACCAGAGAGGCGGGGCACGCTGCGAGGGCACCGCAGCTCACCTGCAGGCCGCCGGACCCGGCCTGCCCCGCGGCAGCATGGCCGGTGGGCCCCCACGGAGTCGCTGCAGTGCCCGGCCTGGCCCCTGACGGGCTCTGGTGTGTGAAGGGGGTGGGGCGTGGGGGCTGCGAGGCTGGGAGTCCGCTCCGCCTGCTTGAGGCTCGGGGCTGGAGGAGGAGCGGAGCAGGTGGGGACCCTCCTCTCTCCGCAGCCGCCCCGACCGCCGCCCCGGGCCGCCCCGTGGCTGGCTGGCTGCGCCTTGGTCTGCGGGGCCCGGGAGCCAGGCTGGTGGAAGCAGAGGCCAGACTTCAGAATGGATCTCTCCCGGGGGTACCAGGCAGAGACGCAGGCCAAATACAGACGAGTGAAGGAAACCCTAACTCTGAGAGACAGACAGACACGGGCGCCGCGGAGCTTCCCCCCGTCGGCTGTCCCAGCCGCTGACTGAGCCTGGGAACAGGGGCAGGGTTGCCCCACGTGTGCGCCGGTGCACGCACCTCGCCCCCTACAACACTCGGCAGTCGGTCCGTTGTCCGTTTCACTGTTCCCTGAGAACCCCGCCGTCCCGCTCGGCCCTGCGCGCCCTGGGCTTGCCCGTGGACAGCGGGGCCGCACCTGCCCCTCGGACGAGCCCCGGGTCGGGTGTCCCTCAGGCCCGCTCCTTCCACAGCCCCGACTGTCGACCTAAGACAGAACCGGGACCCAGAGACGGTCATCCTGGGCCATCTGCGTGGGCGTGGCGTTCTCTGTCTCCTCCCTAGTGCTGTCCTGGTCCTCCGGGGACAGGAACACAAGCGGAGACGTCCGCAGCATCCTCGGCCTCCGGAGATAAGCCCCGTCCGCTCATGCTTGGCCAGGCTGGGCTCTCCCTGAGCTCTGGCATTTTCTCCTAAACGGAAGGACCCTACGGCTGACGCTGAGCTTCCCTTCCCGCCCTGCCCCTGCCCTGCCCCCGGGCTCTGGGATGAAAGCCGGCGCGTTGGCGGGGAGCCGACCCGGTGTGGGCACGGAGCGGGACCCCGGGCTCCGGGTGGCGCTGCTGTGCTCGGGGTGGGAACTGGGTCAGCGCAGAGCCCGAGGGCTCGGGGCAACGTCACCCCAGCGCTCAGCTGAGCTGGGGGCCAGCAGGCCCAGCTTCCCGGCCTGCCTCAGCCTTCCTTGGGGCAGCTCTCCAGGCCTCAGTTTCCCCTCTGGAGGGCCAAGGCTACACAACGTCTCAGATCCTTCCTGGGCTGCCCCACAAGTCTGTGCAGACGTCCCGAATTCCCCTGGCCCCGGGGGGATTTCACAGTCTCCTACATGAGGTCTTGTCTTGGCTCTGGTGCGTGTTGGCGCCCCATCCCTCAACGCGAAGAGACGTCGGGGCCGGAGCACGGGGCCGGGCCAAGAATTTATGGGAGATCGTTGGACTCCGGCCAACCAGATGCGGGAGAGGAATGTGTTCCTGTGTAATCGGCAAGGCCCCCGGTCGCAGCGTGCGGAGTGGCGCGGGCCCGCGCCCAGGACCACAGCGTGGCCCGAGGTGGGTGGGCAGGCGCCGGCCGCGGCCCACCGGCGGTGGGGCCGAAGGGCGACCCCGGCTGAGCGCCGTCCCCGGCGGAGCGGTATCACTGTTGTGCAACAGTTCTCTGAGATGCCTGGCTGGGCTCCAGGCGACCGCGATCTGCATTCCTAGAGGAAGAACAGAGGGCGGGAGGCGCTGTCCCCTCGGCAGCCAGCTGACCAGATGTCCTCGCTTCCCATGTGCTGGCCTCGAGGCCGCTGTGGTTCCCAGGGGGGCCGCTGTCCCGGCGTGGTCGCCGAGGCTGACGGGAGTCCGGGCCCCTCGGCCGGCACAGGCCCCGCTGCAGGGCCATGGGCACGGGGCTGCGAGCTCGGCTGCAGACGTGGCGACACAGCGGTTTTCTCCCGAAAATCAACTTCAGGTCTAAAGGAAACTGAGTTTCTTTTCCCGACACTGTGGGGCCCGCGCCGTGGATTCCGTCTCTCCAGGCGAAGGCTGCCCCCCGCTGTGCACCCTGCAGACCGCTGGGGGCACCGGGACGAGGCCCCGCCCCGCGGAGACTGCCTTTGCCAGTCGGGTTTTAGCGGCTGAATAATCCTCGTGTTGCACGGCCTGTACGCAGTCGCCGGGCGCCAGGCAACAGGGGCGCGCAAGCCACTACTCAAGGCGTCCCACGGTGGGCGGTGCTGTCTTCTCGCTGTGAGCGCGGGGACAGATGTGGTTGGAAGCAGGTTGATGGCACTGAGGGACCCTGGGCGCCCGCGTTGGGGACTCTGGCCTCCTCCAGGGCAGCCCCCCCCCCCCCAGCTGCAGGGAGCACCGGGTGTCTGACTCCGCAGCCCTGCCCTGGTCGGTGGGTGCAGGCGGCGGTGGCGTCCTGGGGTGGCCCACGGCTCCGTCAGCAGCTTGAAGCCCAGCTCCAGGCCCGCGGGGAAGGCTTCCCTCCGAGGAGCGTCCGGGGCCCGGTCTGCGACCGGCCCGGCCCTTGGGGGGCTGGGGGAGGAGGCCCCGGGCCGGACGTTTCCGCGGAGCTTTTCAGATCCTCAGGGAGGGTCAGGTCTGTGAGGCGTGGTTTGAGCATCGCACCTTCGATTTATTCTCATTCTTGGAAAATTGGTTTCCAGTCACGATCCTCAGCACGGCCAGCACCGCCAGCCCATGAGCGTACTTGCCAGGCTGCTGGGAGGGATCACACGCCGCCCCCGCCCCCGTAGCGGAACATTCTAGGGTCAAGGACGCCTTTGGAGCCTTCAGAGGGTTTTAAAACAAAGAGATTCTCTGAATTTACCGCCCCCTCGCTTCCCCCTCTCCTGTGGGTTCGGGGCCCCGGGCCCCGAGCGCTGCCTGTGCTCCGGTCCAAGCCCATCCCCTGCCTCGGGGCCCCCGGGACCCTCACGTGTTTAAGGGGCGACGGGGTTTGGTGGGTGTGTGCGCTGTGTCGGGGTGCTGCGGCGCACCAAGCGCCCTGGAGACGTGTAAACCGCGTGAGCCCGTGTGACCTGAGAGGGGCGTGCAGGCCTGCGTCCGGGGGCACCTGCGCGAGCCCCGCAGAGTTGCCCGGAGAGGCGCGCCCCAGGCTGTGCTGATGGTGCAGAGCCTCCGTGGGGGCGGCGTGGCCTTGGGTCCGAGCTAAGACAGGGCCTGGCACCTGCCTGGACTCGAGTCAGAGCCACCTTCAAGGGAAGCTGGCGGGGAGTGGGCGACGCACCCAGCACGACGCCAAGCCCCCCAGCCCCCCTTTACTGAAACCGGAGCGTATTCCCCTCCCACCCCACAACAGTGCGCTTGAGTGAGCCCGCGGAGCACGCTGTGTGGCCCTGCGCCCGAGGGCGTGCACCCCCTCGCTTCCGCCGTCCTGGCGCCCAGACCACCGAGAAAGGACACATGGCATCCCTCCGGGCTGTGGGCGCCCATCCACGGGGAAATGCGTGTTCGTTTTGTTTTAATCATTGTAACCTTTTCTTTTTTTAAATGAGAGGCGAAGGGAGGGAGAAAGAGGGAAAGGAACATCCACGTGTGGCTGCCTCTCGTGCGCCCCCTGCTGGGTACCCGGCCCCCAGCCCGGGCCTGGGCCCTGACTGGGCCCCTTTGGTTCGCAGGCCGATGCCCAGTCCCCTGAGCCGCGCCTGCCGGGGCCCGCCCGTAAGCCTGTGGTTTTGTGGGGTTGAGCGCATTCACCAGGCAGCAGACGCCCCCGTTTTTGTCCTGCACACGGGGAACTGCCTGTTCATGCAACGGCTCCAGTTCCTCCCCTCCCCCGGCTCCGAATAACCTCCCTCTGCTTTCTGCCCCAATGCGTCCGACCCCTTTAGACACCTCACGGGAGCGGGACCCAGAGCGTGCCCTCCTGTGACTGGCGTATCTCAGGAGCGTGACGCCCTCCCGGTTCTCCCGCTGCGGCAGGCGTCCGGCGCTCTTCCTCTTCAGGGGTCCGTATTGTACTTTGTCCGCCCGTCAGCCACCGACAGGCCCTCAGGCGGCTCCCCCCTCCTGGCTGCGGTGACCGGGGTCTGCCCGTATCGACCCAAGGCCTTGCCCCCAATTCTTCCGGCTGCGCACCTGGAAATAGGAGGGCCGGACATACGGCGGTTTTATTGTTAATTTCTCAGTAAACCGCCGTCCCGTTTTCCCTAGAAGCCGCACCGTTACATTCCCACCAGCCGTGCCCAGGGGTCCGATGTCTCCACGCCGTTGCCAAGGCTGGAGGTTTGGGGGCTGTTACTTGAATAGTAGCCGTCCTAATAGGGATTAGGTCGTATCTCATTGTGGTCTTTATTTGCATATCTCTAATTACTAGTGACGGGGGACCGTCTTTTCAGGTGCTTATGGGCCACCTGTGCGTCCTCGCTGAGGAAATGTCCGTTCACCTCTTTGACTCGTTTCTTAATCAGGTTGTGCGTTTTGTTGCTGAGTTGTAGGAGTTCTTTAGAGGTTCTGGGTGTTCAGCCCACGGGGACGTTCGGTTTTCCGGCACTGCACGCGAGGGGACACTTCTGGGCGCTCGTCCCGACCCTGTCGGCTTGTTCGTTTGGTCTTACGCCAGTGGCCCCGCGGTTTTGATCGCAGCAGCTTTGTAGTGAGTTTGAAACCAGGAAGCTGACGTATCCAGGCTTGTCCCTCTTTTCCAAGATAGTTTTGGCCATTTGAGGTTCCCTGCGATTCTGTATGAATGTTCGGGGGGGTTCTTCTATTTCTGCCAAACACGCATTGGATTTTGACAGAGACGGCAGTAAGCCTGTGGGCCGCTTTGAGTAGTATTGGTATCGTAATGACACAGAGCCTTTCACTCCATGAACGTGGGGTATCTTTCCATGTATTTCTAGCCTTCCTCTCCTTCACCAAAGTTTTGTAGCGTTCCGTGTACAAGTCCTTCACCTCCATGGCTGGGTTTGTTCTTAAGTATTTTATCCTTCGCGACGCTACTGTAAATGGGTTGGTTTATTGAGTTCCCTTTTGGATTGTCCGGGGTCAGTGTATAGAAGCAGCACCAACTTTTGCGTGTAGATCCCGTATCCCACAGCCTTGCTGAACTTCTTCATTAGCTCCAACAGAATCTGGGGGGCTCTTCACGGTGAGAAAATGATTTCCGCAAAACCCGGTTGAAGCCTGTCGACGACCCCCCACAGTTCTGTGACTCCACCCGCTGCCTCTGGTCCCCGCGCCGGGCTCTGCCCGAACAGGGGTCCCTCGGGGCTGGCTTAGAAAGTGAGCCCAGGCCCGGGTGCTGGGCCCCGCCCCCCGCTGCGCCCCCCACCCCACATTGAGTAGATGTGGCCCCGAGGCCGACTCACAGCCTGCGTTCCCGATGTCCTCCACTCGGCGTCTTCCCTTCAGAAGAAGCGAGGACGCCCCATCTCCACTGCTTCAGCGGAGACAGGGAGAGCTGTCCCGAGAGTCGGTGACTCTGTGACCTTGGAAAGGCACCCGGAGTTCCCCAGACTCGCTCCCTCACAGTGCTGGGACCAGGGGTCCGCCGGCCCCTGTTTCTTTCCTTCCCTCGGAACGCATTGCTCAGCCCGTCAGGGGGCCAGGCCTGCGGCCCCTACCCCACCTCCCGCCGGCCTTGCTGGGCTCTCAGGGCTGGAGAAGGGGCTTTGTCCCGCCCCCGAATTCCTTGGGATCCAAAGAGAGCCCATGAGCTGGGGCGTGCGCGTGTCTGACCGAACCCCGCCGCCGGCTGCCAGGGGCGCGTGTCGCGGAGGCCCTTGCTGCCGCCGCTCGAGGTCGGCCCGAGCCCGAGGCCTCCGAGATCAGCGCGTGGCCGACCGGGCCATCTCTGTCGGCCGTGGCTCGCACCAGGGAAGCCGGAAAATGTCAGCAGTGTATTTTCTGTGTCAACTTTGAGTGTTTTGAGAGGCGGGGCAAATCGCGACTCAGCACATCGGTGCTGTTTCCAAAGCTTTCCGAATGTGGTCCCCGCATGGCGGCAGGACGGCCCTGTCTGGGGCGGAGGCACTGCTCTGTCCTCGGGGGCGCGGCCTCCATGCTCCTGGGCGGGAGCTGCTCGGGCGGACCCTCGAGCTCCGAGCAGCGACCTCTGTGACCAAGCTGGACGTCCCCGGGCGGAGTGCTCGGGCCTCACCCTTGGGGACACCGTGGGTTCGGGATTTGCCTGAAGGTCTGGAAGCAGACGCCAGTTGCTGGGTGTCCGAACGACATGCAACCAAACCCAACGTGCTGGATGAGCCACAGCCCCTGGGCCGGCGTCACCCCGGCGGGCGGTGGCCCCATGCGCGGGTAAGAGGGGCGCACGCACCCAGAGGCCAGCTGTCCCCGGCCGACCTGCCTGTGCCAGGCCAGACATTGGGTCCCAAATCCCACGACAAGGATCCTGATAAGAGACAAAGACAAGACAGGCGCAAAGGCGAGGCCCCGGGACAATGCAGGTGGAGACCCGGCGACAGGACCGAGGCCGGGGAGCACCCAGGAGCTGGGAGAGGCCGGAGGGTCCCCGCGGCCCCGGGACCGTCCCACAGTCGCTCAGAAGAGCCGAGGCCTGGGCACCGCGTGTCCACCTTCTCCCATGCACGGCATGGACCCCCCACCCCCGCCCCCCTTAAAGATTTCCAGGGGGCGCCGGGCGCGTGCCTCGGGGGACCCCACGTTTGGGGGCGGGTGGGCACCGCCGCCCCTGCGTGGCAGCGGAGCTCCGCCGCGGCGTCCGGCGGTGGCCGCGTGCGAGCCGTGACTGTCCCCCCAGGTTCGGGCCATGAGGCTGTCCTTCGTCGGGGAGCTGGGCTGGGAGCTGCACATCCCGGCGCCGTCCTGCCTGCCTGTGTACCGGGCTGTGCTGGCGGCGGGGGCCAAGCACGGCCTGGTCGACGCGGGCTACCGGGCCATCGACTCCCTGAGCATCGAGAAAGGTGAGCACAGCTCCGATCGGGCTGGCGGGCGGCCCGGGCCCCCGGAGGCCGAGGAGCCCCCGCGACACTCGCCACCGGGTCCTTTCCTCACATGACGCCGGCCGTGACGCCGGTGTTCCACCCGGCGGGCACGGTGCAGGAACCCCGGACCCCTGCCCTCGGACAGCGACGGGGACAGGGCGGGCTGGGTTCGGAGCCAGTGCCCCGGTTCCTCGGGGCCCTCGGGCCCTGCGTCCGCCCTCCTGCGACGTCCCGGCTATGGGGCGAACACGGGAAGCCGGTGGGTGTCCGGCCCCGGGGCCCTGAGCCGCGTCTCCCCCGCGCCCCCACCCCAGGATACCGGCACTGGCACGCGGACCTGCGGCCGGACGACAGCCCCCTGGAGGCCGGCCTGGCCTTCACCTGCAAGCTCAAGTCCGCCGTCCCCTTCCTGGGGCGCGAGGCCCTGGAGCAACAGAGGGCGGCGGGCCTCCGCCGGCGCCTGGTGTGCTTCACTGTGGACGAGTGAGTGTCCGCCGCCCTGGGTCCGTCCGGGGTGGGTCGGCAGGGCCCTCCCCGGTGCGCATTTCAAGAGAGAAAGCTCCCGCGCGGACCCAGGCTGCGGGCTGGGGGGTGACAACCCTGTCACTGAGCTGGGAGTGGGACAGTGCGGGGAGAGCCAGGCTGGGGCCGCCATCGCCCCTTACATAGGGAGGCCGCCGGTGCCACGGGACGGGGGGCTCAGGCCGGCCACGCAGCAGAGGTGTGGAGAGCCCCGTCTTGGGGGACGGCCCCTCACCCCCTGCGCTCCCCCGAGGGCCGGCGCTGAGCACGGGCTTGGCTACAGGCTGGGAGCCAGGCCCAGGGCGTCCCTGGGTTGGGCCTCCTGGGCCCCCCGGGCTGGGTCGCCCTGGAAGGGCCACACATGCCGGCGTCCGCCCCGTCCCTGGACAGCGAGGCTCCGGCCCTGCTGATCTGGGGCCCACAGCTCCCTTTCCAACGCGGCGTCCGGTGCGGCCGTGGGGTGGGCGGGGCGGAGGGGGAGCGGGGCTGTGCCTTGTCCCCACCCTGGCCCTGCGGCCCCCCCGGCTCCTGCCAGCCGGTCTCGGCTGGGCCGCCGCCCCAGCAGCCGCGCCTCTGTGGTTTGGGGGCGGAGGCGTGGAAGGGGTCCGCTTCGGAGGGAGGCGGCCGGGATGCCGGCTGGGGCGTCGCAGGGAACGCCCGCCCCTGGCTCTGGGCCGTGGCGAAGCAGGTGGCTCCTGAGCCCATTTCCGTGCACAGAGCCTGTGGGACGAGAGGGACGTCCAAGGAGACAAGGACACACTTACAGAACCTCCCGTCCCCTCCGCGCCCAGGGGGCACACGGACTCCAGCCCACTCCCCTCTCTCCTCCCGCGTACCCCGTCGGGAGGGGCCCCGGCCCCAGCTCTCCCTACTGCATCTTCCAGGAAGGTGCCCATGTTCGGCCTGGAGGCCATCTGGAGGAACGGCCGCGTGGTGGGCCACGTGCGCAGGGCCGACTTTGGCTTCGCCATCGACAAGACCATCGCCTACGGCTACATCCGGGACCCCAGCGGCGGGCCGGTGAGTCCTGCTCTGCAGCCCTGCGAGGGGGCCCGGGGCGCATGAGAGCAAGGACCCCATGCCAGCGCTGGGTCGTCGCTGTGTCAGGTGTCTGAGGGCACCGGAGGCCACCCACGGGGGCACAGGGGGCCCTGAGCCCCACCGCACACATCACGGCTCGGGAGCCTGGCCTGGAAGTGGCCTCCCTCCTACCGCTGCTGCCCCGTGCAAAGCCCTCCTGGTGTTTCCTTGTTCCCCCAGTCCTGAGTTCCCAGACGGAGGGGCCCCCCGATGTGCTCTGTGTGGCCCGGCCCTGGGTGTCATCGCTGGCAGCCCTCGGCTCTGCCGACCCGGGAGCGCAAGCCCACGCAGGGGCGGGGCGGGGCGGAGCCTACCCCCTCGGGCCGCTCCTCCGTGCAGACGAGGGTCTCGGCCGGGGACTGGCTGACCGCGGGGAGGCGAGGCCGAGGCTCTGCTCCTGAGGCACAGGCCGGTGGGAGCGCCGTGTAACAAAGTGGCGGGCGCCAGCGTCCCCCTCCTGTGCTCCTAGGTCTCCCCGGACTTCGTGAAGAGCGGGGACTACAGCCTGGAAAGGATGGGGGTGACCTACCCCGCCCAGGCCCACCTGAAGTCCCCCTTCGACCCCGACAACAAGAGGGTGAAGGGGATCTATTGATGGGGCCGGGGGGCGGGGCCTGGGCTGCTCAGGGGGCCAGCGACCCCGCCCCCGCCCCTGCCCCGGCTCCCACGGGGCCCGCTGCACCCTGGCCCCGGCCAGAACTTGGGCCCTCCCTGCCAACGCCCCCCAATAGATACAGACAGAAAGGCGGAGAGGGTCACCGACCAAAAGGTAGTCTCTAGCCCGCCCAATCCCCACCCCCGTCAAACAGACCTGCAACGTCTTGGGCTCATCAGGGACAATGAAAAACCCCTCAGAAGGTGTGTGGTCAACGTCAACAAGCCCAGCATAAGGGGCTTCACCTGCCACTCGGAGCTTCGGAGGCCCCCCAGGTGCCTCCGGGATCGGGCCGAGCAGGACTGAGTAGTAACGGCCGTCTCGGGCACGGCGCGGAGGGCAGAGCGCGCACACGGGACCCGGCCAGCCCCTCGGTCAGGGCCGCCGGCAGGATGGCCCGGCTCCCAGGTCCCGGGGGAGGGCGCGGGGGTCTGGGAGGAGCGCCCTCCCTGCCTCCCGAGAGTGTCCAGCCCTGGGACCCAAGCGGGGCGTGCGGCAGGTGAGGCCGCCCAGGCAGGCTGCAGCGCCGCCCCCGCCTCCGTTTCCCTAGGAGCCCGTGGGGGACGCGGTCTGTGTCAGACCCCGGCCAAGTCCTCCTGCCCGGGCGGCCCTTGTCCTCGCTGTGTGAGAGGGCCAGGTCCTGTCCCTGCCTGCCCCGGGGAGGGGCTGTGCACAGGGCCTTAAGAGAGGACCCTGCCTCCCCTTTGCGGGGCATCTGCTGGGGGCCCTGCCCCCCCCACATGCCCAGGCCCCACCCCCTGCACCGGGCCCCCCACCCACAGCGGGATCTCACCGACCATTGCAGCCCAGGGGCTGGGCGGCCTCACCAAAGCCGCAGCGCACGGTGCACCCCGGGATCCGCGGTCCTCTGGGGAGCGGGGGTGACAGCCGCTCGGGGGACAGCAAGCACACGGCTCCCACAGACAAACTCAAGGGGCAGGGCGGCCTTGGGGGCAGGCCCTGGCCGCCCTCCACGGCCCCCACGCGCGCCGCCCTGCTTGGGGCTGCGCTGGAATGGGCCAGGCTAATAAAGCTGCAGCCTGGGAAGATGCGTGCCTTTCAGACGGTCCTTGGAGAGCCGGTGCGGCCCCTCGCCAGGCCGCAGCTGGGGCGCGGGGCCTCCGCGAGGAGCACCTGCTGCCGGCCCTGCCACCCCCGGCGGCTCCGGCGGGCGGGGGGGACGGGGGGGAGGCCAAGTGCACCCGAGGGGCCGGAGGAGGGGGAAGCGGCGGCCCAGACAGCCTGGCCCGCGTCTCCGTCTCTGTGACTTGGCCGCAGAGCCCTGGGCTGGGCCCGCACGTGTTCATTCCACAGGCGGCCTCTGGGGGCGGCTCTGCGGACCGCGGGGTCAGGTTCCAGTCCGGCTCCTTCCTCGGGGGCTGAGCTCAGCGGCAGGAGCTCTCGTTTTGCCCCTGTGTGAGTGTTTGCCGCCTCCCAAGGGGGAACAGCCCGAGCCCTCTGGAGAGCGTCTGTGGGAGAGGCCGCCCTGGGCCGCCTCCTACGCCCCCCGCACATCCCGCCGCGCCGCAGGGAGGTCCCGGCCTCCCCACCCCCGCGGAGCTCTGCCCGCTGACCTCGGGCCGGCCCCCAACCGAGGGACACCCCTCGCCACGTCTAGTTCTGCGGGTTTTCCCGGACAAAACCGCGTGGGGAATCCTGGGCAAGCCGGGTGGAGCTGGCGCGGGAGCCAAGAGAGGAGGAAGGGGGCCTCGCGCGTCCCCGCGGCGCCTGGAGCTCAGGGTGGGCGGGCCTGCCGAGGGCCGGGGCGCAGGCCCCGGCCGCCCGTCTGTCCCACGAGCTCCTGCTCAGGTGCGAGGCCGAGAGGGAACGAGGCTCCGTGGGCCGTGGGGAGCAGCAGCGCCGGCCACCGCGAGCTGGGCGCCAGGGGCCGCACCCCAAGATGTGGGACCGCCGCCCGGGGAGGGAAGGCCCGCTGGGCGGCCTGCCGGTCTCCTGCCTGCACAGCCGCAGCCCCGGGCCTGGCGGCCGGCTGCTGGGCGCCCGGGGTAGGGCCGCAAGGCCCCAGAACGTCCCAGCCTGAGCCGCCGGGCCTGCCTTTGCCCCGTCAGCTCCAGTCCTCAGTCTCCCCAGGTAGAGGCTCAAAGCCCAGGGCTCCCTCTGTGTGCAAACGTGCACACTCTGACCCTCGAGGTGTGAGCAGACTCGCCGAGCCCCTCCTGCCTTTGGCCCGGGGCACAGGGCTTGGTGTCCTGGGGGTGACCGGCCCTGGCGGCCCTGGGCCCTAAATAACCGCCCCTCCCCCTCTCCCGCCCCCAGCTGTTAAGGGTGTCCCTGGTCTCAGGTGAGGAGGGACAGGGTCGGAGCCCCGGACAAAGCTCAGCCGCCAACAGGCACAGGGGCAGAGGGCGAAGGTCTCTACTCAGGAGCCAGCGCCTTGTGGCGCAAGCCCGGGGTGGGAAGACCAAGCGCCCCATGCCTTTGATTTCTGCGGGGGGGCCTGGCGTGGAAGGCGGCGTGAGGCCGCCCCTCGTCCCCTATCACATCGTTCTGGCCGAGGCCTGCGAATCTCTCCAGCTGGGCCTCCCGCGGCCTCCGGAGCCCAGCCCGCTGCTGCCCCCGCCGCTGCCGCCCGGGACCCCTCGCCGCGCCTCGGACGCCCCCCTCAGGCCTCCGCCCGCGGCCCCCTCTGCCGGAAGCGGCTCCGCCCCAGATGCCCAGGGCACTCAGTCACGGGCCCTCAGGATTTCTGCCAACCTCGTCGCTTCCCCAGCGAGGCTGTCCCTGCCGGCCCCGCGCCTCCCTCGCTGGACCTAAAGCACATGCCGCCATCTGCGACCCGGTGTGACGCCGTCCCCCGAGGAGAGTCAGCCCCGCGGGGGCCACACGCTCTGGTCACAGCTCCCTCCCTGGGGGCCGCTGCACAGGCGTCCCGGACGGGACGGAGGAGGGGCAGGCCGAGCGAGACCCAGGACCGCGGGGCGGGGTTGCAGGGCCTCCGGGGGCAGCCCTGGGCCCTTCCTGGGTTCGTGCCTCTGTTTCTGAGCACATGTGCTGGAGGGCGGCTTCCGGACCCCCCACATTGGCTTCTCGGGGGGCCACAGCGCAGCCCCTCTGAAGGTTCGGAGCTCGGAGTGAGGCCTCCTGGGTTCTAGTCTAGAACCCTCTGCTGAAGGCTCCCCAGTTCCCTACTAGGACTTTTCCACAGAAACAGAAGCTCTGGTTGAGGAGTCAGGAGAAACGGTGGCTGCCTCCCATCCAAGGGGCCCCTGAAAATCCCCGGGAGCGTGGAGTGTGGGTGTGGGGTGGGGGGTGCGGGGGGCGGTCGCTGAGCGAGACAGGAGGAGGCAGAACCGTGCGAGACCCAGGCCGCTGTTCACGGTCAGGGCCCCAGCGCGGGGCGCGTGTGCGGAAGGGGACTCACGGGGCACTGGGCAGTAGGGCCCAGCTCTGGTTTTGGCTGCGGTGGCGGCCCCCGGGCCCCCCCGGGCCCAGCCTCCCTGTCGGCAGAGCAGGGGCAGTGGGTGGGGGCGGGGGCTGAGCGACCCTTTGACAGTCGGGGGAGCCAGAGAGTGAAGAGCGTCTGCGCCCTCCAGGGCGTTTGGGCGGCGGCTGGGGCTCACAGCGGGGTGCTGCCGGCGCCTCCTGCCACTGGAGGGAGGATCCTTAGCCACAAAGACTGGTCCCGCCCAAAATGCCCTGTGGAAAACCCCGCACCCCCAGGGCGGTGGTGTGCGCTCTGCCCAGAACTTTCTATGACGATGGAGACGCTGCACATCGGTGCTGCTGGTACGGTGGCCACGCGCCCCATGCAGCGCAGAGCGTGCGCGGGGGTGGGGGAGGCGGGACGGAGGCCCGGGGCCACGCGGCTGAGGGCGGAGCGGGACCGCAGCCCCGCACCCCGCTGTTCCCCCCACCCAGCCGCTCAGGAGGCGGGCCGGCCCGGAGCGTGGGGGCGGCGCGGGGGGGGGCCGCCCCTGGCCCTGCCTGATGGGTGGTTTCCAGGCCCTAAGGTGTCCCCCCGGGGGCCAGGGATGGAGCCGGCTCCCCGAGTCACACCCGGGGCCACTCCCGGCCCCCGCGGCTCCCTCTGGGGACCTCGGCACGGAACGCCGGCGCTCTAAGCCTCAGTTTCCCCATCTGTCTGTGGGAGCAGCAACAGCACGTGGGGGGGTTTCCTGAATGTTGTCGCAGAGCCAATGTGCCGAGTGGCAACTTTATCAGCGGCACCGGGCGTGGCAGTCGGGGGGAGGGGCGCTGTCCCCACCGGGGCCTGGGTGGCACCGGGCGCAGCCAGTGACCTCGGGGGAGGAGCCCCGCAGGCCTCCCCCGGGAGGCAGAGAGTGACCAGCCCGAGGGCCCAACTGTGAGCGCAGGGATGGGGGCCAGGCGTCACTGTGGGTGGCGGAAGGTTCTGGAACTGGGTGCGATTTCTAACCCGCACTCATGCTCGGGGGGCCTGGGTGGGCTGTTTCCACTCTGAGATCCTCGATTCCCTCCTTGGTGAGACCGTAAGGCCACACGCGCCTCTCCGGTGTTCGGGGACAGACTGACAGGGGCCGCTGCGGGCCGGGGGGTGTGAGGGGTCGTGTGAGGCCCGCAGAGCTCCGGGCTGGCCGGGCCGGTCTGCGGCGGCAGGTGGGCGTAATCAGGAGGAGCCCAGGCCAGAGGCAGGGCCTGCTCCTGGCCCTCGCAGGGAGGGGCCTCCCCTCACCTGTTCCCAGAGGCCACAGAGATCGCAGAGGGCGGCTCCGCAGCCACCGGGTGGGGCATCCCGCCGTCGGTGCCCTGCGACGGTGGCGAGGAGCTGCGATTTATGCGAAGCCGTGCGGCGCTGCGGGTCCCGCGGGTGTCAGCAGGCTCTCCAGGGCCCACCCCTCCCCCGCCCCCCGCCCCGGAGGCCCAGCCGCGCGTTTTGCTGAGCTGGCTGAACGGAGACTCATCCGTTTCTCCCGTTTCTCCCACAGACACCAGGAGGCCGCCCCTCGGGGCCCAGGTCGGGGAGGGGAGGCGCCGGGCAGGCAGGCCCCGCGGGGAGAGACTCAGCCGAGGCTTCCTCTGGGGGGAGCCAGCCTGCCCCGGGCGTGAGCTTTATTGTCTCGTAAACTGGCCCCGCACTGGCCCCATTTTACAGATGAGGACACGGAGGGGCAGGGAGGTGGAGCGGCCGGTCCAGGCTACGCCCGCACCGGGGGCGCCGAGGGGCTCCGGACGCAGGTCTGGCTCCAGAGCCCTGGCCACCAGGAAGGGCGGCGAGAGGAGCCCGGGCGCCCCTCCCGCCCCCCAGGAAGCCGGCACCCGAGCCCGGACATCCCCCAGGCACATCGCTAAGTAGTGGAGTGGCTGTCCTGCCCCCTGTGCGGGGAGGCCGCCCGCTGTGGCGCGGGAGCCGCTCTGCGGGGATGCGTTTAAGCAGCGCGCCCACCCTGCACGCTGGCCCAAATCACGTCCCCGGGGCTGGGGATGGGGCGGGGCCCGGTGGCTCACGCCCCCGGTGGGCTGGGCGCTCCCAGAGACGTGGGCAGGGGCTCCGAACACCGGGCTCCCGACCGCCCGGCTGCGCCACCCTTGGGCTTTGTCGAGGGCTGTGGAGGGGGACCGGGCACGCCCAGGGCTGGGGGCCAGCGGGGGGCTCTGATGGGGCGCTCCGGGCCAGGCAGGGGAGGGCGCTGGGTGCACCGGGGCCTCAGGCGGGGGCGCGGGCCAGCCCCGCCGTCCTGGGCGCACAGGGCCGTGCCACGGGGTCTTCACAGAGTGGGGGCGCACAGAGCTGGCACGAGCCCCCGGAGGTGGCCAGGAGGGGAACGGGCGCAGCCTGACGCTCAGCCTCGGCCCCCACCGATGCGGACCACGGTGGGGCCGGCGGGGCCCGGGCGGGGGCCGGCCAGGCACCGAGGGGCGGGCTCCGGCAGCCGGGCGGTGATCTCCGGCAGGGGCTGCAGCTCCCACTCGCCCTGCAAGGACAGCACCACGAGGTAAACCGAGGCTGGAGGGACGAAACGGGGCGTCGCCTCCCCAGCCACTTTTCCCACTGACCCCTTGGGGTCTTGTCCTCAAACTCACCTTGTTGCCCACGAAACTCCCCCCCCAAAAAATGCCCGGGGGCTCCTTGGGGGCCCCTCCCCCAGAGGCCATCCCGGCCCCTGCCGCTCCCTGCCGGCTGCCGCCCAGATGAAGCCGCCGGAGCCCCCGGGTGCAGGCTGCAGCGTTAGCCGTCCCTGCCCCCAGGCGGCGTCAGACACTCCGTGTGCTGCCACGGCAGCTCCCCGCTGCCCCCCGAGCCGGCACCAGCCTCCCCCGGGGCCGGAGTGTCGCGGAGAGACATCAGTCGGCTCCCAGAGCCTCCCAGATCATCAGCCTCCGGGTCTGCGGAGCTGCCCCCGCCCCCGGCCCTGGGTGTGCATGAGCTGCCTCTGAACCCCAGGGGTCTCGGGCAAGGCGGGGGCAGCCCCCAGCTTCAGCCGGTTTGCTTTCTCACTTGCCTCGCCCCCTCACTTTATTTTTAGGCTCCGGGGGAGGTTGCTGGCACCCTGCTCACACCGCCCCATGACTCCCCTGACGGGACGTCGCGGGGGGCACTGTCGGCTTCTCCCTCTACGGGGCCGTCCATCTGTCTGTCCGGGCCAGCCTGTCACCCCCCGGCCTCCCTGACGGCTTCGTGTGGGTGCGCCTTGCCCGCCCGTCCGAGGGGGGCCCAGTCGCCCCGCACGGGGTCTCCTGGGGGCCTGGGGCCCATGCGGGTGCGGGGGGGCGTGGCGCACCGGGAAGCGGCTGGCGGAGGACTTGTTGCAGTGGACGGAGAGCGGGGCGAAGCCATACAGGGCCCTGAGCGTGTCCCGGCTGAAGGAGTTCCAGGGCACCGCGGCGAACTGCTCGGGGACAGAGGCCTGGGGACAGGTGCAGACCTCCTCGCTGTTGAAACTGTGGGCGGGAGGAACGGCGTCAGGGGCGTGCGTGTGGGAGGGGACACAGCAGGGCACAGGGGCACCCCCGCAGAGGGGCTGGGGTCCCCAGCACGGCCCTTGGGCCTCCCGCTCCAGCCGCCGCCTGTGCCGGGCCTCCTCGCGGGCCGGCTTGGCCCTGTCTCCACGCCCGGGCGGCGGGCCGGCCCGGCTCTGTGCTGGGTGGAGGGCGCCCCTCCGGCCGAGTCCCCGGTGACGCCTGCGGCGGGCCCCTTGGGGGCACCCCGGGCGTGCTCACCCTGCTCTGGGAACCCAGCCTGGGTCCCTCGCCTCTGCCAAGGGCCCTGCAGTCCCGGCGCCCGGCTCCCGGCTGCGCCGGGGGAGGGAGCACGGGCCGGCACGCCCCCAGAGCCATCACCTGTTCACCAGGTGGAAATACTTCTGCAGGAAGCCGGGGTCCACCGCGCTCTTGCAGAGCTCCAGCTGCGTCCGGGGGTAGTAGTGCACGTAGTTGACGCACATCTCCTCCAGGATGCCGAAGCCGCCCTGCAGGGCGGGGAGCCGTCAGCCCGGCCCTGGACGCCGGCCGCTTCCAGTACTTCTGTTCGGCCAGGGTGTGCGTTTGCTCACTCGCTCACTCATTCATTCGCTCACTCATTCATTCACTCGCTCATCGATGGTGCCTGGCGCCAGGGGGCCTCTGCGCTCTCTGCGGCCCCACTGCATGTCGAATGCACGAGGGAGGGCCTCCCCGCCCTCCAGCAGCCCCGGCTGCAGGCGAGGAAGCACACGTCCTCTTGGAAGCGTGGACAGTCCCCAGTCGGAAGCCCAGGCCGCAGGGGCCCAGGGGCAGGGGGCAGGGAGAAGCCAGGGCGACTCACCACAGTGGCCAGCGTCCTGTCTTCCGTGTTGTAGGTGCAGGATGTGATAAGCAAGTCCCCCTGTGGAGCCGGCAGACGCCCATCAGCGCCCGCCCCCTGGGGGCAACGGGCGCCCTGGGCCTGTCCCCACGCGGGACCGTGTGGGTGTCCGTCCATCTCTGAGGAGCCCAGCAGCGGTCCCTGGGCCCCCACACCTGAGGGTCACAGGCTGAGCCTCCCCAGGGTGTGCCGACACGTCAGCGTCTGTGATCCCTTAGCACACAGGCCCCGCGCCGGCTGGTGGCCGTGCAGGCTGGCCGGCCACTTCCACACCCTCATCTCTCGCTAAGGCCCCCGGGCTTTGTGGCCGGCTGACGAGGCAGACAGACGCACGGTCCCCGAGGGCTGCCTGGTCCCGACCCCTCCCAGCGACCCTCACCATGGCCCGGTCTGGCCCCACCCCACGTGGACGTGGGAGAGACCTTCTCGTGGCCTCCTCGCCCCCCGGCTGTCTGCCTCTCCCCACCGGGGACCACGCTCCGGCCGTCCCCGCCGTGCCGACCCTGACCGGCCACTCACCGGGAGCACAGTCACGATCTCCTTCAGCATGCGGATCTCCTGGGCGGGCAGAGCGGGGGTGGGGAGGGGCTTCAGGCGGCTGCGGACCCAGCCCCAGCCACCTCCAGGCCTCTGGGGGTGGGGGTCCGCCCAGCCCCTGCGGGGAGCCAGGGCTGGCCACGCTCGGCGTCCGCCAGGAGGGACTGGAGCGAGAAGGTGGGTCCCAAGACACACGTGGCCACCGGGTCCCGCAATCGGCCACACACCGGAGGCCGCCAAGAGCCCCTCCCTTAGACTAGACCCCCAGGGGAAGGGTGGCCACCGTGCACCCTGCCAGGGGTCCGGGCCTCGCCCAGGACAGGGACCTGGGACCGCGGGGTTTCTATGGCTGTTGGGAAGGAGGAGGTACGACAGGCCCGGGCGGGGCAGGACTCCCCACCTGGAAGTGAGGGCTGTAGTGGTTGTCCCTGTTCACGATGGCCCTCTCGCGGCCGTCCCGGGCCAGCACGGTGACCACCTTTCTCCCCGTCAGGTGTGTGTGCAGCTGGGAGGCAAAGATGTGTATCCCGGAGGGAGGCAGGGCCTGCGGGCGGGGGCGGCAGGGTCAGAGCCGGACCTCGCGGGACCCCTGACCGCTGCCGGCCACTGGCTGCCAGCGCTGGCCCCGGGCCACAGGGCAGCACCGACCCCAGGCCGCGGGCGGCATCTGGACACTGACCCCTGGGGACAGCTCAGCCCGGCCGGGACTGGGTGAGGCGCGGGCACCCGGGGCATGGGGTTGGGAGATCACGCCTGCTCCTCCGGGAGCGGGGTCCCCCACTCTTCGCTCTGGGCCTCGGTGCCGACCCGCCTTCGCCCGGGCCCTGGCGCGGCTCTGAGAACCGGGCCCTGCGCCGCTCGTTGGCCTCGGCCGGTCCGCCCTGGGGGCGTCCACAGGGAGAACCGGCCGGGCTGCACGAGGCAGTGGTTCAAAGGCAAGTCACAGGACGCACCCGTGCTCTTCGGTTTGTTTTTAAACACGCCGCGTGCGAGGGCGCCACCAAGTACCCAGGAGGGGAGCCGAGAAGGACATGAAGTTGCCGCTCTCTGGCCCCCTGGGGAGCCGGGAGAGCGCGCCGGGCGGGGGCGGGGGGGGGCGGATTCCTTCGTCCCGAGCGGCTCTGCCTGCCTTTGTCCCGGGGGCCACCGTCCAGCTGGCCTGGGGGGCAGACGCCTGTTTCCACATGCAGTACTGGGGGGACGGGCCCAGGGTGCGGAGCGAGCCGGCCCCCGGCTGCCGCTGGAGGGGGCGGCGCACGCGCTCACCGCCCGCAGGAGGCGCCTGGCACACGGGGCGACGGGGACGGTGGGGGGCCGCGGGGACCTGGGGCGAAGAGACCGCAGCCACCGAGCCGCCCTTCCGAGCGCCCCGACGCCCGCCAGCCAGGCCGCGGCAGGGGCCCCGGGCCGTGCGGCCGCCCGCTCACCAGCTGGGTGCACTTGTCCGTGCAGTAGCCGCGGAGGACGAAGGCCGCCTCCCGGGGCGGGACGGCCATCAGGGGCGTGTACACCAGGCCCAGCTCCAGGACGCCCGCGTCGAAGCGCCGCAGGCTGGCCGTGTAGTGCAGGCGGATGCCCGAGGAGTCGCGCCGGCCTGCGGGGGCGGGGGGTGAGCGAGGGGCCCCGCCCCGCACGCCGGCCGCACTGCCGCGGGCAGGAGGCGACAGGTCTCCCCCTCCCCCTCGCTCCCCCCGCCTGTGGCATCGCCCCCACACCGCCCGCCCCAGGAGGCGGCCCCGCCGCCGTGGCCTGCACCCCCGCGGGGAGAAATGCGCCCGTCTCTGTGGACCCTGAGTGGGAGGCTGGGTAAAGGCAGGCAGCTGAACCCGCCGGGGGTCAGGCGGGGAGAGCCTCCGCCCGCCGGCCTTGGCGTGGCTGCCCGCGGCCCCGGGCGCCTGCGCTGGGACCGGCCTGCGGGGGCCGGCCGGCGCGGTTCGGGCGAAGAGGAGGCCGTGGAGCGCCGTCCGCAGACGGGCCGAGGCCCCTCGTCAGCGCGGGGAGGGGGCGTCTGTGTGTGCAAGTGAACAAGGAGCGTAAGGTGCGCCCTGTGGGGGCCGCCCGCTGTGTTCCTGGGGTTGCTGTCCCGCAGGGGCCAGGCAGACGCGGGGTGTCCACGGAGGGCCCCTCTCGGGACAGATGGGAGCAGCCGCCGCACCTGGCAGCAGGCGGCCCTGAGGGGCTCCCACACGGGCCGGGGTCCCCTCGGTCAACGGTGTGCCGGGTGCGCTCAGGCAAGTCACTGCCCCTCCCTGGGCCTCGGCTCGGAGTCCAGGGGGCGCCTCCTAAGGAGAACTCGGGGCTTCCCCCTGCCGCGGTCCAGCCTTGCCTGCCGGCTCCTCTTAAAGGTGCTAACTGGAGGGGTCGCGAAGCTCCCTGCGCCGCCTCCCAGAGTCATAGGAAGGGAGGCGCAGAGGCTTGGGGACGCTGCCACCCACGTGGCTTCTGGCGGCCTTTCTCCTGCCCTGTCCCTGCTGGGAACTGGTCAGTGACGGGGTCCTGAGAGCTTCAGGGCGGAGCCGTGGGAGGGTCCCAGGGGAGAGGGAAGGCGACAGGAACATGGGTGGGGAGCCCAGGTAACCGGAGAATCACCGCCCCCCACTTACAGATGGGGAAACTGAGGCTCGGAGCCTGAACAGAGGTCCCCGCCCCAGGTCGCAGGCCTTGGGAGGCGGGCGAGCTGGGGTCGGCGTCCAGGCGTGGCTGGGGGCCCAGAGGCCCCCTGCTCACCTGCTCGGAGGGGGAGGAGGATGTCCCTCCTCCCCACCCCCCGCCACGTCCGACTCAGCCCCGGTGTCTCCAGGCTGGTTGCATCAGCGGATAATAATAAAAAAGAGCTGCAATTGGTTCACGTTGAGATAGGGATTAAATAATGAAATGCCCGTGGAATTCTGACATTTATAGAGGCGCCGCCCACCTCCAGTCTGCGACGTGGCAGGAGCGCCCCGGTATCGGGTCCATAAATACAGCCGCATGAGCAGAGGAGGCGGGTTTGCCTGGTGCTTAGAGAGTGTGCAGACACCCATCCGCTTTCAGGTTTTAAATGAGCAATAAATCCTGCCTCACGCCAAGGCCCAGGCTGACTTACGTCCCTCTCCGTGCGCGCCGTGCATGATTCCGTGGCGGGAGAGCCGGGCGCACCGCCAGGGGGCTGCCGCCGACCGCCGTGGGTCACGCACCGCGAGTGCCCACCTCCACACACGAGTGCTACACGCGTGAGCCTTGGCAGCCTCAGGAGGGCCCCCGGGTTAGCAAACACGGCAGGGTGGTCACGCACGCAGGGTCAGGCAGCGAGGGGCCCAGCCTGAGCTGATCATTTTCTCTCTCATACTGTTTCTGCCCCTCATTCACACAAGCAAAATAAGCACCATTAAAGAGAGAGAGCGCGAGAGCGAGTGAGCGCGAGGAAGAGGCTGTGTGGCCGTCTGCGGGGGACGATGCTGGCGAAACAGGGAGCCAGCGTCCATCTCTGATACGGGGCCCACGGGCTGCCCACCTTCGGGCGCGGGGACCCAGCCGCAGCCAGGACACGGGCCCCGGAGACGGCATGTGGCTTGGCCCTCTCCGTTCCCAGCCGGTGACGGCAGCGGGACACGTGGCCTTGCTGGATCCACGCTCTGGGGCCGTGGGCTGGACAGCAAGACGGCCGTGCTGCGCCGTGCGCGGGGGCCTGAGGACCTGCATCAGCTGCGTGGGGAGCCCGGGACGAGCCCAGCCGCGGGGGCGACGCCGCGCCCGCGCCCAGGGCAGAGGCTGCCGATCAACCCGCGCGGCTGCCGGGCCGCACCCCGGGCGCCCTGTTCCCGGGGGCTTGGGCCGCCACGAGGGGCCGTCAGGGGACCCGCGAGTGGCACCTCCTCAGCGTCCCCCGTGAAAACCCGTTGGCTCACCCGGGGCTCACGTTGGCTCTGCGGGGAGGTGTTTTGAGAAGCAGGAAGGAAGCTTGAGGCCAGAAACGCCCCAAATTGAGTCAGCGCCGACCCTGGCCCCAAGGACGGTGCTGGGGGCGGAGCCTCCCTCGGCCGGGCTGCGGGGGAGGGGGGTGGCCCCGGGCAGGGACCGGGGTGGCCCTGCAATGGCCTCGTCCCTGCCGTTCCGCCCAGCGCCCTGTCCCGGCCCGGCCTGTTCTGGGAGGGCAGAGCCACTGCGTGGCGGTGCTGGTGGTCACCTAGTCGGGTGTGAGGGGCAGGCTCACCGAAGTGAGGCTTCTGGGGGAAGCGGCCCCGGGGGACCCGCTGGGGTCGGAGGCCTGAGGCCTGGGCCAGCCCAGCTGCTCTGGCTGGCCTGCCGGGCGTGGGGGCGGCCGCGGTTACGCCGACCAACCCAGCTCCTAGCGGGCTCCGCACCGCTGTGGGTCAGACCCGCCCTGCTCGGTGGGAGCGTGGGCTCAGCCGCGGCCGGGCTGCGGGGCGGAGACCGTGGAGAGCGCGGAGCCGGGCCTCCCAGCTCCGAGAACCTCCGCCCATTTTGCGGCCCTCGCGGGGTCCCTTCCCTCCGGGCCTTCATCTCCTCACCTGCAAAACAGGCCCACCGCACCCTCTGCCTGCCTTTCCCGGGGCTGCTACATGGGGCGGCACCGTGCCCTCGGGGCCGAGCCAGCCCGGCGGGTCCTGCCCGGGAGCCCGCTGCAGTGACGGGGACGGAGAGCGAACGGCCGGCGTGGGAGGCATGTGCGCCGCGGTGGGCCACGCGGGAGGCGAGGCTTTGGGGAGGAGCCCCAATTGTCCCCCCCCGACAGGACACGGCACGTGGGTGGGCTTCTGGCGGCGGCCCCGGAGCGGCGGCCCTCGGCCCCTACCTTGTATCTGCAGCGGGTTGTGGTAGTGAACTTCCAGGCGGAGAAACCGGGAGGACCCGGAGCCCCCGAACGCAAGGCCCGCTTCCTCTGGGTAGTAAAAGGCCTGCAGGAAGCCGGGGGAGGGGGAGGTGCGGGCATCAGGCGCCGGGCGCTGCAGCCCCGATGGACAGGCCGGGTGTCCGAGGGCGTCCCCGATGGCGAGCCCACAAGACCGTGGGGCCAGAGCCGCCGGGGGTGGCGCGGGGGCGGCAGTGGGAGGAGGCAGCGCTCCCCACGAGGGGCTGCCCCTCACCGGTGCCCACGGGGCTCCTGGACTTGGGTGGGGGCCCCTGCGTGGCCTCCGCCGGCTGCGGAGGAAGCTGAGGACCGAGCTGGGGACGCAGCCCAGGGCGCCGGCCTGCTGCCTGCCGGCCCCAGACCGCCCCCTGCACCCCCCGCCCAAGTCCGGCCGGGACGTGAGATCAGTCCCAAGGAGAACATCGCACTTTTATGGAAAAATAACAAAGGCCGGAAAAAGTCTCTGCGGCTCGTAAGAGGGGAGGAACGTCGGCAACGCACAGGCAACGGCAGGGTGGGGGGTGGGGGGTGTGGGCCGCCTCTGGCGGCCTCTCGGATGGGGCAGTAGCGGCTGGGGACCCCACGGACGCCGAGGAGGCCGGGCCGACGCACCTTGGCACCCAGGGCCCAGGCGGCCAGCACGTGGCGGCAGTAGTTGAGCCGGTCGGGCTTCATCTTGGAGTCACAGGGCCCGCTGAAGTGGGGGAAGCTCTCGAACGTGGCCGCGCACTGGAAGACCTCCATGTGGTGCACCAAGGCCTCGTTGCCCTCGGTGACGATGGGCTCATACTGCGGGGGGCGGGGAGGGGCGCTGAGCCCGGGGCGCTGGCCTGCCGCCCGGAGGGCGCTGGCCCGGCGCCTCCCTCCGTGGGCCTCGGCTTGCCCGTCGGTGGCACGGGAGGCTGGGCCTGGCGTTTCCAGGGGTGCTCCTGGGACTCCGGAGTGGGAGGGTGGAGCCAGGTAGATTCTTCCAGAAGCCCGTAAAGAGCCACGGAGGGAAGAAAATGAGGGCCATTTCCTGACAAGGTGGGGACCGGAAAGTCGTGTCCTTGTGTGAACGTGGCCGTGGCTGGAGAAGGACACAGAGGCCGCCCCAGGCGGGGCCTGAGCCCAGGGACAAGGCGCGGCTGTGAGCCCGCCGGCCGCCGCCTGCTGTGCGGCTCTGGGCGCCCACGCGGCCGCGCTGGGCTGCGCCTCCCCCGCCCCCGGGCCGGCAGGGAGCGGGCATTCAGGAGCTACTCTCAGGACTGTTCTAGCTGCAGGCGGGTGTTTAGAGCAGCTGAGTTCTGAGTTCAGCTGCTTTCAAAGAAGGGGGAGGGGGTCTGACTGACGGACAGGCAGACGCCATTCCAGTCTCAGGGGAAGATGCAGCGCTCAAGGTATCCGCTGCCTTTGGTCCAGGCTGGGACGCTGGGGTGCAGGGGTCTGGGGGACGGCAGCGCCCGAGGCAACACAGTCAGGTCACTCTCGCGGCCGCGGGAGGTCGGGGTGCCTGGGGTGCAGGCGGCGGCTGGCGCCGGGCTCAGCCAGGACCACGGACAGCTCCCCGGGACAGCCCGCGCGTCGGAGGCCCCGATCCCACATACCATGACGATGTGGTGCCGGGAGAAGCCGACGGGGAGCTCGGCCACGTGGCACCAGTACGTGGTCTCCTGGCCCGGTATGAGGATGTCGGGGGCGCGGACCTCCAGGGTGCGCGTGTCCGCGGGCAGCGCCGGCACTGAGATGTTGGGCTTCAGCAGCTGCACCCTCTGCAGCCCCGTCCGCAGGCCCGAGGCGTTGATGGCCTCCAGCGATGGGAACGGCCGCTCCAGGATGCCGTACACCAGGTGCACGGTGCCGTCCTGCAGCCACGGCAGGGCCCTGTGCTCGCCCCCTCGGCCCCGCCCTCGGCCTTGCCTGGCGGGGGACGCGCCCGGCACGGACCCCGTAGAGCTGCCTGACCGGCAAGGCCGCCCCCCGCCCCACCGGGGCCGGGCAGGGTGGACGCGGCGAGTTCCCCTCTTGGCCGAGCTGGAGGCCGCAGGCAGACCCGGGGGGCGGGGTGACTTATCCCGTGCTTCCGTGATGTGAACCCAGGCGCACGCGTGGGAGGTGGCGTGGGAAATGCCCGACTTCCGGGTGCGGGGGGAGCCCTGGGGTGGGAAAGCGCTCCCCGCCGCCCACGCTGCCCCGGGCTCGGCCATCACCCACCTCAATGAGGTAGTCCCGGGGGTCGCAGGTGCTAAAGGGCCTCCTGAAGAGCAGGGTCAGGCCCTCGGGGGTCCTCTGGGCCTGCAGCAGCTCGTAGTCCTGCTGGGCGTCCAGGTGAATCTGCCCCTTCTGGTCACTCCAGGCGTCCTGCGGAGGCAAGAGGGGCCGGAGCACCAGACCGCCGCCCGCAGTCAGCGCTCTGCAGGACGCGCCGGCCTCGGGGGCCTGGGGTTCCTGTCGGGTGCGGGGCTGGCTCCCCCGTTCTGGGTCTGCCTGGAGGCCGCACGACCTGGCCTCACGCTCTGGAGACCCTGAAGCAGAGCCCTCGGAGGCTGGCGGTGCCCGGGCTGCTCGGCCCGGGACTTCGGTCTGGCTAAGAAGGCGCCGCGACAGGGAAGGGGCCCCGGACAGATGCGGCTCCCGTCGGGCTTGCACGGAGGGGCCGTGAGGGGCCCGGAGCCTTGGAGGGGGACACAGGGGAGGGGCCCAGGGATGGGGTCCAGGGCGGGGGCTGTACATGGGAAAGCGAGAGAGGGGGCCCGCCGGGGATTTAGGGCGCCACTGTGCTCAGGCACCACTGCTCCACACACGCCCCCGCTCCCGCGCTCGCGCCGCCCTGGGACAAGCACCGCCTGGCGCACTGCGCCGGGGCCATCGTGCCCCGCCCTGGTCCCAGCCTGGCGCGGAGAGGGTGAGCTGAGGCCCAGGGAGGGCCCGAGCCTGCTGCCTCCTCCCAGGGCGCTAAGCAGATGGGGCTGGCCCCTGCTGCCCCCCCCCACAGCTGCTCCCCTCCTGCTGGGGCCCGGGCCACCGGCGCCCCCCGGGGCGGCCGGGAGGGGCCCGCCTTCCGCAGCGAGCGGGCCTCGGTTCCACTCCGGAGCGCCCCATCCTTGGCCTTGCTCCAGGGCGAACGCGTGTTTCTTCATTGCCTTGAGAAACAAGGAGCCTGCCTGCCCACGGCTCCGCAGGCACGTCCCCGGGAGGGAGGCGCGATGCCAGGGCGGCCCCTGTGCCGAGGGACTCCTCTTACGCCCGACAGAGAGTTCGCCTGTGATCCCAGCGCTGGAAACCCAGGATGCGTTTGTTGAACATATTGCTTAAGGGAGCAAAACAAGCCTGACATGTGTTTGCATAGGAATTTGTTGTGCAAATTAACGGCGGTGCCGGCGGGGGAGCCGCTGCCCCTTTCGCAGCGGCGGCGGCGGCTCCCCTGGGCGGCCGGCTCCCAGGGCGCTGCCCGGGCCTTGCCGGGCGTGGCCCCGAGCCCTTGAGGGTCCTTGCGTGGGGCAGCCGGGCAGCCGGGGGCCAGGCCGGCCCCAGCCCGGCGGCTCGGCCGGATCGAATGGAGCACAGTCAGGTTCCAGAGATAAACGCTGTTGCCAGTTCGCGTCGACTCAGAAAAACCAAAGCAGGGGAGGCCGGTGCCCTGCCCACGCTTCTGAGGCGGACGCGGCCGGGGTCAGGCTGGTGCGCGGCCCGCTCCCCTCGCGTGGGCTGGCGCTCCCGAGGGTGCCCCCTCCCCGAATCTCAGCCCACAGGTGAGGAAAGCGCCGTCTGATTTAGGGGAAATCCGGCCTTCCTATGCCTGTTTCTGTGGAGACTTGGGGTTCGTGCTCCGAGCGGCCCTGGTGGCCAAGCCCAAAGAGGGGGTGGTGGCTCGGGGCAGGGGCTGGGCCCCCACCCGGGACCTCCTTTCGATTTGCCAAGTCCCCAAAGATGCTCTAGAGTGACATGAAACTGCCCCCTTCCTCCACACTTCACAGCGAGAATGGGGTGAATTCGAAGGCAGGGAGTCCAGGGCTGAGCTCCTTGGGTTTGCTCCACCCTGGGGGGCTCTGCTTGCTTTGTTCACCTGCGTGTGCAAAAGGAGGCCTGCGACGGCTGCGTCCGGGGCCCGGCGTGCACACCAGGCGCTGAGCTTGGTCTCAGGCGGCCGCGAGGCCCCCGAGGGCGCGGGTGCCTGGCCGTGGTTTGTGGGGGCGGGAGCTCGCGGGCCTGCACCCACGGGCCGGCCAGGCGTCCTTCCCACGCCCCTCGGGCTCGCAGGGTCCTGTGGCTTGGGGCGTGCGGCCCAGGACCGTGGAACACGTCTACTTCTTATTTTGTCCTCCGTGATGGTATCCCCAAGACACTCAGGCTTGGGACGCAGAGTTAGGGAGGGTGAGTGTAAGAGGGCAGCCAGCTGGGGGCCAGGGCGGGGGCCCCTCAGGGCGGAGGAGAGACTCACCCCGAAATAGGCGCTGTCCCCGTCGGTCCAGAGCACGACCAGGTCGGCGCCCTGCAGTGCGCCGCGGTCCGACATCCCGAAGAGCACCCCCGCCCGGAGCCCCCGCACCAGGAGCCGGAAGTACACCGTCTCCTGCGCGTAGCTGACGTTCCAGGAAAGCTCCAGGGTCCCCTCGGGGTCCAGGGGGATGCGGTAGGGCAAGGGGCTCTCGGGGGGCACCGAGCCCTGCAGCGCGGCCACCAGGATGACCAGGAAGACGGCCACCGCGGTGCCGTACATGGAGGCGGCCTCGCGCGCGCTGGGGCTGGGGACCTGCATGGCGCTGAGCTCGGCCGCCCCCCCGGCCATTTATGCCCTGGCCCCTCTGCGGGGCGGGCCCAGGCAGCCGCCGTAATCGCATTTGTCTGGCGGAGAATCGAATTGTCCCGGCGACCCTCCCACCAGCTCGCGCCCCAGGCCAAACGCCCTGTCTCCCCGGCTCTCCTGATCGGCACTAATGGCACATGGGCCTCGTCAGCGGGAATTGAAACCGACGGGCGGTGTCACCTCGGAATTGTCCCCGAAGAGCAGTGGGGAAGCGGCCTCTCCCTGCAGCCAGAAAGCCTGTCCGACGCCCCCCGGGCAGGCGCTGGGCTGACCACCAGGCGGGCCGGCCCGCCCGGTGCCCCCGCCGCCGACGGGGTGGGCCCTGTGCCGCCCTATCCGCGGATGGGCTGGCTGAGACCCCACGCTCATCTCCCAGGTGGCCAGGGAGCAAGAGACCCTCTGCTGTGCGCCTGGCCCAGTGAGCCATTTCTACGAGGCTGGAGGGTGGGTAATTTCAAACTAAAAATAAAAGATGATCCCCAAATAGGCCCTGTGTTTAGACACTGTCTCCCTGGCCTGCTGTTCCTCTCTGCTCCCCCGCAGGCTCCAGCTGGCGCCACGGCTGCTCCAGAAGAAGTGGGCGCAGCGCTGGGGGGTGGGGCAGAGGGCGCAGGCGCAGCGCCGGGCGCGGGAGGCCACAGGGCGCGTTTCTGGAAAGCCGACTTGGCGATGCCTTGCTGAGGGGTAAAGTGCAGGGCGCCTTGCTGGGGGAGGGGACAGGCGGGGGACGAAGGCGTGAGTAGCAGGCCTGCTTCCCTGTCTCCTGAGCTCCCAGGCCCTTGACATCCTACAGCCGAGAGTGGGCCTAGTGGGAGCTTGGACCCTCCCAGGGCAGCTGGCCATCACACTGGCTCTCCTCTGCTGCAGGGCCTTCCCGCAGACCCGCCAGGTCCTGGGGCCCTGAAAGCCTCAGGTGTCAGTCTCATGGCCTCGCTCCTTCTCTGTGAAGAGAGGACACCACATGTGCTGTCACTTCCAGGAAGTCCTCCAGGATTGCCTCCTGCTCTGTCCTCAGACCCCTCCCCTCAGGCACCCAACTCCCTGCCTTCCTCCCCCCCCCCCTGCTCCGTTCTTCCTCATCCTGTTCCTCCTCCCTCTGGAGAAACTGAGAATCCAACCACAGGAACACTCTGACATCACCGGCTGGTGCCCAACTTTAAGGCCTCGAATAGGGGCCAAGATGGGCTGTGAGGAGGCAGCGCCGGGCGCTGGCTCTGCGTTAGCCTCGGTTCCTAAGGAAGGAAAGACCGTGTCTGTGTGAAGATGAAATCCGGAGAAAGTGCCAGCCCTCCCCCGGCCCGGTGGGCGGTGCCCCTGCCTCCCGGAGGCCTGGCAGCCCAGCAAAGCCAAACCAACCCAGGCAGGAGACGGACAGACAGATGGAGCGAAAGGCCGCGGGACCCCTCCCCCATCAACTACACACAGAGGGGTGCACTTACCCCCGCCCGTGGTCCCGGGGGGTGAGAGCGAAGCGCGTCAATCGCTGGGTGTCGTGGAGCTGACCCCCAGCGGCTGCTCTACGGGAGGGGGACTGTCCGCCCTGCCCATTGCTGGGGCACTGAGGCACCGAGCGGGAGGCCAGGGGCGGAGAGAGTGGGTGCGCAGGTGAGTGGCCAAGACGGTGCCGCCTGGGCCTGGGGACAGATGTGGAAAGATACCGAGCAGGCGCCGCCCCTGGGGGGTGGGAGGGACCGGGCAGGAGCGGTAGGGAGACCCCCAGCCCGGCGCCGGCGGTTTGCTCCCCGGGAAGGGGGGAGGGGCTCCGGCAGAACCCGGAAGGCCGTCTCCCAGTGGCCGGCGCCGTGGGCGCCCGGGCGGTAGACCACACGGCTGGTCCCAAAGGCTTGAAGGCAGAGCTGCCTCGGTTGGGCGGGTCCAGGTCTCCTCCTCCAAGTTCTTTCCAGAACCTCCTCTTCTGTGCCCCCAGCAGGCGCCTGGCGTCGGAGGGCGCGGCACAGCCTGGACTTTTGCTCCCGGGCCAGGGAGCAGCCGTGGGAACAGGGGCGGCCTGTGTGTGGCTCCGGCTTGGAGATGGCAGGACGGGCACCCGCGGCCCCTCCAGGCGGGCGAGACCCGTCGGGCTTGTCCTGCGTCACCCAGCATGTCAGTGCTCCAGGTTCGGACCCGGGGGTCCCAGCTGGGTGCCCCGGAGAAGCGCTTTCCCACCGGGTCCCGCCCCACTGGGAGCTGGAGCAGTCGGCTCAGCAGGAGCCCGTCCACCCACCGGGGTCCCCCCAGGCCGGGGCTGCCGGGGCTGCCGGGGCCGGAGAGGCGGGGAGGCCCGGGAGCGAGGCCTGGGGCGGGGGTGCGGCCTCACTCGGCAGCTGAGCGCACCAGGCTCTGCTCCCTTCGGGGCACGGGGGTCCCCAGCCCCTCGGGGCGCGGGGACAGGAGGCCTGTGAGGTGTCCAGGAACCGGCAGGGAGCCGCTGCAGACGCACGTGCGGTTTTCTGAGGATTCGGAGGCCGCCTCCTTCTCCGGCTCAGGCGGTGGCTGGCATGTCCGGCTTCCCCGCGCGTGTTACGACACAGGTGCAGGCGGTTTCAGGCACAGCGATGACCAGGGACCAGGAGTGGGCAGGGGAGGGAGGCACGGCCCCTCCCCCGCCTTCCTTCTGGCCGCGCTCTCGTCCCCCCACGCCGGGCTCGGCTGCCGGCCTGTGCTGTCCACGGAGGCGTGGGTGATGCCTGGAGAGGTGAGGTGCCTGAGGCACGGGAGCCGCACCCAGGGGACGCCGCGGGAATCGGGAGGAGCGGGCGCTCAGTCGGGGGAAAGCGGGGGGTCTGACCCCCGCCCGCCCCGTCGGAGGCTGCTGCCCCGCCCATAGCCGCTGCGCCCTGTGCCACCCTCCGCATTAATGGATTTTTAAAACGAGCCACTCGGCCCAGGGCTCGGAGGCAGCGCTCGGCTGTCCCCCGCCCCTGCCCGTCCAGAGAGACGCCTGCCTGCCCTGGGCGTCGGCGCGGTGCCGAGCGGCGCCTCCGCGTGGGCCCCTGGGTGGGGGCGCCCCGGCCCCTCCCCTCCAGCTCTGCTCTGGAGCCGCTGCCCTGCAGTGGAGGGGCCGGGTGGCACCCCAGCCTGTCACCGCCACCACCAGGAAGTAGCACCGTGCCCTGCTCAGCCCCGGCTCTCTCCCCAGGCACTGTGACGTCTGGCCTCCCGCGGAACCATCTTCAGTGGTTCAATAAGGCCCTGCTCTTGGTGGCTCTCGGCACCATCGCCCTCTGCGCGCTGCCACCCGGCCCACTGCCTCTGCCGCGGGAGGCCAGCACCGCCGGGTGCCCGGCCCCCAGGTCGTGGCCGTCGAGGGTGGGCCCTGGAGCCACAGGGCTCCCCAGTGACCATGGGGCACACACAGGCCATGCCCTCGGCCGAGGGGGCTCTTGTGTTGGTAAAAACGGGCGCCCGCCGAGGGGAGCAGGAGAGGCGGCCGTCCCCCGGGCGGCCCACCTGCCTGGAGAGCGGGGCGGCCCCCGCACCTCGCTGCCTCACCCTGAGCACCGCCGGTTGTGACGCGAAGGTTTAAAAGACCACCCCCCGGGGCATCTCCCCACCCCTGAGGGCGCTCCCTGAGGGCGAGGTGGGGCCCTGAGCTCAGCCCAGGGTCCAGGGCACCCCAGGCCCCTCTCAGCCCCCCGCCCCCTGCGGACCCCCATCCTGGCTGCTGGGCCTGAGCCTCCCGGTCGCGGATCTCTGCACCCAGCATGGGAGGCCGCTGACCCCGGGGTAGCCGGTATCGGGACCCCAGAGCAACACCCTGTGGAAGCAGCCTCGGCGGATGCAGGGCCCCAAAGTGCCCCCAGCTGGCTCCTGGGGCCACCGGGACGCCCTGCATGACATGGGGTAGCCCGGCTGCGAGGCGCCCACTGTTGGCGACCGCAGGAGCCTGGGCAGAGCCTAGTCTCGTCTGCGGGGGACGGCCAGCGAGAGGGGGCGGAGCAGGAGGGCCGCCTCGGCCACCCCGCCAAGCTCTCCGTGATGACCAGCCCCCAGATGCTGCTCAGAGCTCCGGGGCCACCGTGCCCACGGCCCTGAGACTCGGGGGCGACCACGCCCCAGTGACCCCGCCGCGGCCGCGCAGCCCAGGACCCTGCCGCATGCCCCCCGCTGCTTACGCCTCAGCCCAGAAAAGGCAGCCCGGGCCCCAGGCTCGGAAGAGCCCCCAGCCCCCTGCGCCCGCTGTGAGGCCAGATGGACGTGGAGCCCAGGCCTGGAACGCCGGCCCGGCCCCCTCCCGGCCTCGGGGCGAGCGCCGCCTGAGGCCCCGCTCGCTTGGGCGCCCACGATGCCAAGCAGCTGCGTCCGCCTCTGAGCGGGCCGGGCTGCAGCCGGGGGTGCGCCGTCCCTGGACGTTCAGACCGTCATCAGCGGCGGGACGCGGCTCTTGCCCCCGTGAGAGGCAGGGAGGGGAGCCCGGAGCGCGCGGCTCCTTGGCGCCGCCCGGCCGGGGCTGCTGCTGAAGGGCGGACGTGCCCCCGGTGTGTTACACAGAAACGGGGTCCCCAGAATCCCGTCCTCAAAACAGAGCTGCTACTGCCTGCTCAGTGCATGACGTTCCGCATTTCTCCTCACTGTTAAAAAAAAAAATTAACTTTGTAATTTATCATTTGTTAGTTTTTTTGTTTATTGCCTAACAAAATGTACCAAATTAACCTTTTTTAAGCCTACAGCTCAGGGGCGTTGGGACATTCACACTGGTGTGCAGCTGCCGCTGCCACCGGCCTCTGCGGGACTGTCCATCCTCCCACACGGACACTCTGTCCCCGTCAAAGCCCTGCCTCCACCCTCCCCCGCCCGGCCCCGGCCCCACTGTGGGCTCCCTGTCTCGGGGGATCTGCCTCCCGCAGGGGCCTCGTGGGGGTGGGGCCTCCCAGGACCGTCCCTCTGCGAGGGGCTCACTTCACTCGGCACGACGCCCAGCGGGGCCGCTGTCGGGGAGCCGCGCGGGGATCGCCTGCCCTGCCAGGGCCGAGGGCTGCTCCCCGGTGCG